TCAGGTAAGACTTTCGAAAAGGCAGTAGTAGAAAGCATGTTAAGAGAAAATTAACGAGAAGTTAGTAAAGCTAGAATATTAATAGATAGGAAGGTCTTTTTAGCATAGGAGCGTACGCTACTAGCGGCTCGGTAGTAACCGGGTAGTCGCTAGGCTGAGGCGCGGCGAGGTCGAGAAGACTCTGCCGGTTGACTTGTTGCTTTCTTAATAATCGTGGAGAAGGAATCAGGGTCCTGGTGATTAGTTTCTATTGTTTCTACGGAAGCGACGAATTCGTTATTATTTAATTCGTTAGTAATGCTGTTACGAGGTATAGTAGTAGTCTCTAATAGGTTTTCTAGTAGCGGAGATATAAGATATATATTAGTAGGTACTATCGCTTTTTTAACGATAGTCTTATCTAGTTTAGGATTACTAGTTACGGGTTTTTTACTTTTAATAGGCTTCTAACGGATAGTATACTAGATGATAATATCTAGTTTGATAAATACAGTATTATGTTTAATTTTATTAATATTAGGTATGCTAGTAGTTAGAGGCAATACTGTCTTATACGGTTCCTTACGAAATCGAACATCTCTATAGCGAATAACCTCCTTTCGATTAGGTAGGTAAACGTAGTAAATATAGCTACGAAGAGAACCGTAACTAACAAGGAATCCCTTAATTGCTTATAGTTCTATCTTAGCAAAGCGTATAAGGCGTCGAGGGCCCTTCTTATATACGTAGGCGGCATAGCTAAACGTTCGGAGATGTTTAATATAGGGGGCCTTACGTTTAGCAGCCAAGTTTAGCTCTCTTGCTATGATCTCGTAAGGGCTTAAGTTACCTTTAGAAGGTATAGGTAAGAGGTTAAGAATCTAAGTTACCGAATCGATACTGTAATCCTATAGTTCCTCTAGAAGGGATATATTAATCAGCTATGTCTAGGCGCCTTCGACGATAGTACGACTAACATGCTTAATAGTACCGTTTATAGAAGGCGTATAGGCAATAGTCGTGTTGTAGCGAGTACCTTCGAAGTAGGGGTCGTTGAAAACCTTGATTAGCTCGGGAGTATTGTTAGAAACCTAAACCTTAGGCTTAAGGCTAGTAAGACTATAGAATTTAGTATCCTATTTCTTAATAGCTGCTAGGATAGTAGCAAACTTATAGTTAGGTAGAAAAACAACCTAGTAGTAACTACTATACTTATCCATAAGGTATAGAACCTAACGGTTCCCTTTTATTAATAAGGGAAGAATACTAACGAGATTAAGGTAAATTTTATCACTAATACTTATAAGTAGAAGTAGTTAGTCTCGACTAATCCGTTTAGTAGATTTGCTAAGATAGCAAGACTTATAGAAAAAAGCGTTAATTTCTAACGTTATAAACCGAATGCTAACACGGCGGCAAGCCTTTACAACACGTAATAAGTAGGCGTAAACTAGCCGGCGGTATATTAGTTTAAGAGACGGTCGCTAGGTAGCCTAGAAGGCAGCGAGGCTGATAGTAATATCTCGAAGCACGTGATTTCTAGTATTATAAGTCTTAACGACGTAAACGTTAGAAACCTAATAAACTTTAGTAAGGGAAGTATGCTATGTTACGTATATAAGGCTTAAGGTCTGCTAATCATATTCTACGTAATTACGACGAAGTTTTCTAAGGCTTAGTAAGTTGGCTAGGCTAGAAGGGTTATACTTAACGTTATAAAGTATCTAATCGTAAATAACGTTAGGGTTAGTAGGGTCTTAGGTCTAGAAGAAGACGGTACCTACGCTAAGTAACTAGACTAGAGCGCTAGAGGCAGAAGTAGAAGGTGCTAAATCGCTCTTTTTAACGTACTTAACGAAATATCGCAAGTTATTAAAGGTTAAAGTAGTATAACTAGAATCGAGAACGATATTGTCTTGGGTAATAAGGTTATCGCAGGCAGTAGTAAAAACTGCTAGGCTAGTAATAGAAGCAAGGGCAGACTAACCTAAGATAGTAGGTAACGCTTTAACAATAGTCTAGCAGGTACTATTAATAGAAGTAGGCTGATCCTAGCGGTAGCGATCGCTATATATATACTTTCTCGCTTTTTTAATTAACTTATCCTAGTTAATATAGTATAGAAGGATAAGATTAAGGTAGGCGACGTAGTACTTTATAGTCTCGTAATCATAGTTATAGTGGTCGCACTTCTTCTTTTCCTTAGAGGCAGTAATAGTAGAGGTAACGGTAGTAGTAACGGCTAGAGAGGCAGGACCCTTACTGCTAGCAGACTTGCCTCTAGGTGTATTACGAATAGTAGTATAACTATGCTTTTAATCCTCGTCTTAGGTAAGTATGTAAATCGTATTAGCTACCTTATTCTAAGTAGGATAGGTAGCGCCCTTCGATGTAAAATGCTTATACGTATCGGGAAGTCGGTTTTTAAAGAAGTTAAGGAGGAAAATAGCGAGGAAGGAGTCTAGTAGACGACTATAAATAGTCTTAATACGCTTTCTAAGGTAGTGATAGCGATTAAGGGCATCGTGAAGAGTTTTGTAATCGTTGGCGGTAGTCTTGGCAAACTCGTTAATAAGGGTAGTTATAGCATCTTGTAAGATTCTCGGAATATGCTTCTCGAGCGCCTGCTATAACTAGTATAGGTTTCTATCGTCGATCTAACCCGTAGTATAGAGCCTGTCGAGTACCGATTTGCTAGCGTTTATAAGGAGACTATACGTGACGTTACGGTTCTTTCTCTATTCCTCTGCAGCGATAGGGTTAGCAAGGCGAGGGACGTTAGTCTCGAGGAATATCTCGAAGTCGTATCCTCGCAGGGTCGCTATAACAAGCATACGCTATATATTCTAGTTGGATTCACCTTTCAGGCGAGGGAGAGGCGTGAAGACGGTCTTAAAGTCGTTTTGAGACATCTTGAAGTAAAAGTAAGGGTATTATAATAATGCGGGACAGACTTATAGTCGCACCTCGATTATAGGCGTTTCTCCGAGGCTGTAGCTTTGGAGGCGTGTCTATACGTTAGATAGCTTACTTTCGCTGCTACCTACGCGTGCTGTTAGAAAGGGAAAGTATTGATAAGTAAATGGTACTGAAGAAGTATGAATATTGTATAGGAGGGAGAATCTCTTGCGTAAGAATACGAGAAATAGGTAGAATTATAAGATCCGACCGTAGAAATACGGTGAATCGAAGGGAAGAATAAATACTTATAGAAGATATAAGAAACTGATAGGCTGGTTTGAAAAACCGAAGCTAAAATAGTTGAATTCTTATGAGAACGAGGAAATCGAAGTAAAAGTTATAGTTGTAGTGTGGTTGTGACTGAAAAGTCTGTTGTTGTAGTGGAATTCCGTGGTGTTCGTGAAAACTAGTGGGTTGTGGTGGTCGGTCGCGTGCTACGTGATATTCGTGCGCGCCAGGCAGCCAATATCGCGTTAGAAAGTGAAATTCGTTAGCGAAGGGAAAATAAGGCGAGAAAATTGCATAGAAGGGTAAATAAAGCAAATAAAATCGCAAAAATTCGTGAATCAATAGAAAATTGATAGACGAGTAGAATAATGGGTAAAACGACGTTATTCCGAAAGAATAACGCTGGGCTTATAACCTGTGGGCGAGAACCGGCATAGAACGCTCAGAATGGGAAAAGTGGTGTTGTTGGTTGGAAGAACTAACTAACTAGCTAGAGGGCTGTGGAGGCTGGCTAAGACCAGTGGTGGCGGCCGTCAGCCCACGTGACGGGCCGGCGAGGCCTGCCACCCATATATATCGCGTTAATTTGCTAACCCGAGGCTTGTTTCGATTTATCTACTACTGCCTAATACTAAGACCCCTTGCTAGAAGCGATAAAAGTACTAAATTAATAGATTCGATAGTAAATAGAATCGCCTAACCGAGGAATAACGTTTATCTTACTCGACCTTATAATAGCTAAGATATTCGTTTTCGTTAATAAGTCGTTTGCTAATAACTACGACCTTTCCTCCTAATTAGGGTTTCTAATTATCCTAGCTAACGATACTTCTTCTAATAGTAATAATAGAGAATTTACGATTTATAATAACCTTATTTATTATAGCTTTACGAAGAGTAAACGAGTTACTTATAGCGTATTAGCGTTAGAGATCTACGGGATAGTTGCTAGCGTCGATATAGCCTACGCCCTTGCTATAACCCTAGCGATAATTACTAACTACCTTAACCTACTAACGATTTAGATAGTTATCTATACCGATTCTTATTCGCTATATAAGTATCTCGTAAAGCTAGGCATTACTAAAGAAAAGCGACTTATAATCGATATTATAGCGTTAAGACAATCGTATAAAAGACGAGAACTATAAGAAATTCGTTAGATTAATAGCGAAGACAACCCTACTAATACCCTTACGAAGAGCAAACTAAATCGAGCCTTCGAGAGATTCGTTAATAGCAATACGATAACGATACGTATAGAGGGATAGGTAACAAGACCGTAACTACGGGAGAAAGTAGGGATAGGAGGCCGAATTAACGAGGAGACGGAACTATATAGGGATAACGTATTCCAACCGCTTCAACACTATAAAAAGAGAGTTTCCAGTGTTGCGATAGTTGGAATACGGAGTCGTGTAGCACTTCCAGCCACACGCCCGCCAGGCTGAGAGGCCCAAGCCTCCCAGACCCACGTGACAGGCCAAGGGGGAATATCCCCACCTTCTAGTCAACAACACCACTTTCAACTATCATAAACCATCGATTAGAACCAATTTACTGTTATTTGTTATTGACGAACGGAATTCCGTTTCACCCCCTGTGAAACCTACAACACCATTATGCTTAGAAGATGATGTTAAGTCGACTTTATGGCTCTGTTGTCGTGAGCCGATGTACATAAAGTAGGTGAACTTGCTGTCCACCACAACTTGAGCTGATTGATGGCGATCACTTCTGAAAGTACTTGACTATCAACCTCACCCAACGTTCCATTTCAAACTTTCCAGTTGATTTAAACCATACTAAGCTTTTATAAAACTAGCTTTCCACTACTTTGTTGGACCTAGAATTTCCATGGAAGTCCCCGAGCTCAAACTGGTAGGTCTATGAGCCGCCGTGGGAAACCACCTCCAAAAAGCAAACATGACAGTAAGCATTGGCACTGCATCGAACACATATAGTGGCCATTCATGACTGAGCAGATAGCCATCTACCCCCATGATGTATTCAACGACCCGAAAGATGGATCGGAGCATGACCAAACCACAGACAACATAGAGCATTCGCAACATATTATCCCACTGGAGATCGCCTAGACCAACAGTTGTCGAATATCGACGCAGTCTGCGGTCGAACACGAACGCCAAAGCACAAAATATACCGAAGAGTATGATTTGCAAGAACAATCCGGTTAGCACCATTGCTTGTGCCAACTGATTATGGGTTCCAACAACCATAAGGCCCGCGGCACCACCTTGTATTGCCAAGGAGAGGATATCTCCCGTCACAAACAGCCTTGTGATTCGTTTTGGCCGGATAAAGGAGAGATTTTCTTCGCCCGTGTTGCGAATAATTCGACCCAGGGTCATGTAAATCGTTGCTGCGAAAAGGACAGGCGCAAGCAGGATGTTGTTTTGCTGAATGACGTAGGGCATCAGTTTGCCGGTTTTGTTATGAGCAGCTGCGCGGCATGCAAAACCAACTACTTCCACTTCATTTCAGAAATTATTAGATGCCAAGACTAATGTCAGGCTTGGAAGCGGAGACAAGAGGCTTACTGTAGCCTCCCACTGTAAGAGGGATACTGAACCACGCTCTGTTGCGAATCATCTGATGGCAAATAGCTCCTGTGGCAATTATGAATAAGGCACAGAATGTTGCTGCAGCCTCTATAGAAGGAATGTATTTCCACAGGTAGTAGCCGTGCTTGTAGGGCTCCAAGATCGCCATGATGATCGTAGGCAAATGCGTTTTCGGGCTCGCCGACTTGCGTGAGAGAAGTCGTTTGTGATGAGCCGTCCGTAACACAAAGGTAAGGGACTCCTGTTCACTTAAATGCAGAACAGACCGAGAATCAGGTCACTATTTTAAGAATGTGTCTAGACCTTGGCGTACTACTTCGTTTTTTCCTTCTCCCTTGTCTGGAAGGCTTGGAAGACCTCCTAAGCTTGCAGCCTCTGAACACTCAGTGGAACACAAGGCATTGACGTATCCAATCGTTCACGTTGGAATACGGCACCAGAGGGTCTAGCTCACAACAGGTCCGTAGTTTTAGCTAATCCAATGCCAAGTATGTTATTTCGTATCCCCGTATTAGCGTATTTCAAGCATTGACTCAATAGCCTACGCCGTATAGACCGTAAACACCACTTCGGCTTCGCCAAACGTATCTACCTATCCGTATGAGACCATTGCATCTACGCCCAAATCGCTATCCAGTTTAACCCTCTATTTCCGCAGGTAGATGAGGATGCTCTTCCAATATGATCGGCCCCTATTAGGAAGCTGAGCACTCCAAGGCATAGCATGCATGCTCCAGGTTATCGTATGAGTACTCCTCACCACGTTTGCTGTCAGTTCCCTCAATTTTCTTTTACTTTAATCCATACACACGAATCCCTAGGTCTACATAATCCGTATCTCTATGATATCGGTTCTAGTTGAATGTTAGTCCGTTCATCAAATGTCAGGTCTTTGGTCTAGTCAAGAATCCCACCATTGATTTTAAATATTGTTAAATTTAGATACCCATATGATATCCAGGGAATGTCTCCACTGATGAACAGGAACTTTGCATGAACTCATTGGCATAAAAGAACAAAGGTGTCGGTCACTACAACCTTTGGTTGGGTCACACGTACACAAGCAGCTTTGATAGGACGAGGCAACTTTATTACTAGTTCTCAAGCCACGACAAACAAGGCTTGTCGAGGAGACAATTTTATACTATGACATAGACTCGGTAAAGAAGCTCATGCAATCTAACCATCAGGCAACGAGTAAACGATCAAAGCGTTCTACCGGGTGGAGTTGACGGTGAAGTTGCCACAGCAGCTTGTAAGCTCTATCTTCCATTTCTAGAAGAACAGCTCGTCGCTAGCGGGTGAACCAATTTCATGCCTCATTTTACAACCAAAAGAAGTAGTATCACTAAGATCACCGCCAACATATACCTGCTGCAATGGGAATGTACACAGTTCACGGTGCCTTCCGGTAGCATCTGTAGCATACAAGGTAATGGGAACCGTCCCATTTTCAACCCAAGACACCAGCTGTTCAAACGCAGCTGACGGGGCTGCTCCAGCGCCACTTTGACAGTGACCTACCCCCGGTGCTTCATAGAACCGAATGAACTTGTCCGAATCGGCGTGCGTTTTGAGGACCCTTTCCATGTATGCAATCGTGCCATTGGGCGGTATAATCTCGTCGGCGAGTCCATGCCACGTAATTAACTTTCCGCCCGCCTCTCGAAAGGCGGAAAGGTCCGGGTTGGCTGCAGATAACAAGGAGCTGTATTCATGTTTGGACTGCTGGAGATATTGGAAAAGCTTCTCGCTGCTCATCGTAGAAGCATCCCATCCAGGGCTTTTAACCAAGAGGTACTGAATCCAATTAGACATGAGGTTGGCATTCGGTGCTGTGCAGGAGGCGTTTGATGTACACTCCGTGGAGAGCAAAGTGCCAGTAAGGGATGCGTCCTTGTTTACACCAAACCAGCCGGTCTTCCCATCTGCACTGCGAGGCCCAGTCCAGGCTGCTTGCACAATGGTTGCCGCGGCTGCAGTGAACTGTTGCATAGTACCATTGCAGGAAAATTTCTTCCCGACGATGTCGTGGGGATCAAAGTTACACAGGGCGGGTAACGATATGATACCATCGTTAACGCCATCCAAGTTGTCGCATGCGTTGACTGCCGCCTTTGTGAAGGCTTCAATTTCGCATGGAGCAGGGACTACTCCTACGTCAAACATGACCTGCGTTGGCCAATATGCCGCCGCGAGAAAGTCTTCAATGTTTATAGCTGGTGCCGCAGCCATGATGCCATCAAAGTCGTCGGCATACTTTTGTGCAATCATCATGGCCTGACGTCCGCCTCCAGAGCATCCAGTGAAGTACGAATACTTAGGATTGGCGCCATAGTAACTCTTGGACACGGCTTTCCCAATGACAGCCATCTCATGCAGAGAAGTTGAGCCCCAGTTGTTGATTAGCTGCATGTCGACTTTCCCGGGACTTTTGAGGGCCCATGCTTCCGGAGTCGTCATGCCCTCAGGACCTCGCACATGACCGGCGTCAGTATCGAGAGCAACATAGCCATTACCAACAGCCTGAGTCATGTATAAAGACCCAACACTGGCACTATAACCGCCTCCGCCAACGGCCTGGAGTCTGCCATTCCAAGAGATGGGTGAGGGCAACCAGACTTGCACATTGACGGCGTCATCCGTGCCTGGATGAGTGTATGTGACTGAAACGTTGCAAAAGCTGATGGTGTAAGAGGCTGCGTCGACGGTCCCGGGGGCCGTAGAGATATCCGTATAGTTGGAAATTGCTGCAGCGGTAATGCTGATGGGAGCAGTCCCGTCAATATCTGGGAAATGGAAACGACCGGGTGAGCATGCGTCGGTGATATTAGGCTTCGTGCATGCCGCTCGCGCCTGTTGGCTCAGCATGAGCGCTAACAGCGAGAGCATTTTGGGAAACATTGACTATAAATGAACGACTGGTAAGTCTTTGAAACTAAAATTCCATATTGATCAAACCAGAACACATTGGGGGGTCTGTCTTATATATAAAAATAAAAATAAAAACCATGAGCTGCATCAGCGAGTGCTGAAAACATGACGTCTGTTCGCTCTGCTATGCTCATGCTACCTTAACCACGATGGATGGCATCCAGCCATGCCAGTGACTTATACGAGCTCAGCCACTTCCATATTTCATTTAGGCAATCTCAGCAACACTTATTCACGCATGAGTACATCCCCACCCGGGTGACAATAACGTTGGCACAGTTTTTGGTGCTGGCTATAGGGAAGAAGACTGTGCCATTTTCTGTCACTCGGATGATCCCGATGCCATCCAGGCCAATTCTAAAAGTAGAGTTCTCACTTCTCCACAAACAAGTGGAAAGAGACCAAGTCTAGTTTGGAAGGAACGAAAATAAAAGAGGGGGTGTTTGAGGCAAGGTTTACGACTTTATGTTATTGACGGTGACTTGCGCCGCATCGACTAGTTTTGAATCGTATTACGTCTATTCTAATTGGTTGGTTTCATCCAAACGTCGACTTAGTTGCCGTATCCCCGCCAGGTACCGATTCGCAGGCGTATCCGTATTTCTGGCTTACCTTAATGTCAGTATGTGCTTGTCTGTACCGATAGATCCGCTACAGTGCATCAAATTATACGGCGTGATCACAGGATTCTATAGAAAAAGAAAACAGGTTGCTTCTTAAAACTCTTGTCTATGAAGCCTAGTTGCGAGGGACCTTTGAGGCAAGAAAAGCATCTGCGTATTGCGGCGGGAATGACCTAGTCGTAAAACCAAGTTGGGTTTTAATAACCGTATTTAGTGCGCTCTGATTCGTTGGTTTTCACCGGTATTGCGTATTGTTCGCTTTCACTTTTGCTTTACGAAGATAGTGGGGGCCCTCGTATATAGCACCAGAGGGGTTTAACAGCGTATTCTCTTTTCTTTCCTCCCCAATGTTGGCACGTATACTGAGCATCGACAACTCGTTGCTCTGACCGATACAGGATTTCAGAGTCATGACAACAAACAAAAAAGGGCAAGTGACAAAGCGTAGACCTCACCGCAAGTCTCGTGGCGGGTGCTTGCAGTGCAAACAGCGCCATGCCAAGTGTGACGAACATCGCCCAATCTGTATCAAATGCACCACCACGAGTCGCAGATGCTCATACCTTGATACGCTTCCCACCACCAGTCCAGCGACTACCACCAACCCAGTCAACACGAATACGACCGCGGAAAAACCAGCACCTATTACTCCAGCCCCCTCAGAGGCTACTGCCATCGCGCTGAGCCCCAAGTCAGTCATACAGAACACGGCCTCAGCCACTTCAACGCCTGACGCGGCTACCCTCCGACACTCCAGCACTGATAAGATCTTGGAGCCTCCGCCCACAGGCATCGCTGCCTCGCCTTCTTCTCCCCTCTTCGAAGTGCGTGATTTAGTACTTCTACACCATTTCGATACGGTACTGATGAAGGACCCGTTCATCAATGCTGTGTCAGACGAGCATGGGAGTAACCCCATCACAGAAATCGTCTTCCAGTCGGCTATGGAGGCTCCTTATCTCCTCATCGAAATACTCGCGCTCTCTGCAGCACACATTAGCACCACACAGATTGACCCTGTCGAGCGAACGAAGAACCTTCAGACTGCCCAAGAGCTCCAGACACGGGCACTGAGCCTATTCAACCAAGCACAGGTACATGTCACGGACGACAACTGCCTGCCCATGTTTTTCTTCCCGTCCATCCTTGGCATACATACCTTCTTCAACACCGTAACCACTGCAGTCGGACTGAGCGATTTCCTAACCAAGTTCGTCCAATACCTCCATATTCACCGTGGAGTTCGCGCTGTCACCGGCCAGAGCTGGCACATCATCCGGAACTCTGGCATGGGGGACATAATCAACGCAACGGAGACTGTCAGCCTAGAACAGGCCATATCGTCATCTTCCACTGACGCTTCGGACAGCTTAATGGAGCTGTTGTTGGGAGTGCGTCCCACACTCAGTGACGACTTGTTTGCAACGTACGTGCAAGCTGTGCAACAGCTTCAACTGGTGTTCAAACAACACCATGCCGCCCCCCAACACTTGCAGCCGCACATGACTATTTCATGGCCTATCCGTATCTCTAGCGATTACATAAGCCTGCTCCAGCAACGCCAACCTGTTGCGTTGCTCATACTGACCTACTGGGCCATTCTGTTGCATCAAGACCATAATTTCTGGGTCTTTGGTGCTGTGGGGAAATCCCTGGTAGAGTCTGTTGCAGACTACCTTGGGGCATATTGGGAAAATTGCTAGCCATACCAAGGGACTGTTGTCGCAGCCTCGATGGAGAAGTTACGATACCTAGCTCTTGAGTAATTCAGGGTGTAACTCGGCGTATATTGTGATTTTGTACTGTTGTTTTCATCGTTGACCTCGTTATGCAGATGAGCGCAAGTTGCGGCCGTAAGATAGAAAGATCAGCTTATCATTCCAAGTCTTTTGGTCTAGACGAAGGGGCAGCTGGGCATCATGCCAAGGAGAGAATAAGAGCCTTTTTTCTACTATGATCAACTTGGTACGCAGGTGATGATGGCTTCAACCAAGGTATTTGTTAGAATAGATGTAATAGCCATGGCGGTTAAATCGGCTGTGCCACAAAGAGTCACGATGACCCGAAATATACAACATTGCGTCAACCACAGGTCGCGAATACCCGAAAGGCCTGCGTTGTTCCTCAAGGTTGGTGATCATTTTGATGGTTCTGTTGCACCCTCCGTAGTTCATTAGGTACTCTGCAATAAAATAGTCAGAAATACGGGGTTGTGTGGCACCGTGGCCGAGCAAGCGGCCGAACGAGGCCTTTCTCCAGATGTGTCACCCGGAAGATATCTATCCCCCACTTTTTACGGCACTTTCACAATTATACTACTATCACCATAATTCACCGTCTCCAATTTTTGCTTGCTTGTCCTTTCAATCTTGTAGGAAATCTCCAAGGGATACTACTACAAAATACCCTGAAAACAATAGAGTCAAAAGCTGCATTTCGTCATGTAAGTCTTTGGCCACCTTCCGCAGCCTCTGGCTCTAATTATAACTCTATGAACCAACCGAAATAACAAGCAGCTTTGTAGCGTACTAGAACATAACTCGACAGGATATAACGACACTGGTCACGCGAGCTTGGTGCTTTTCTTCGTTCCGGCCCGAACCTCGATAGCAGCATTCGGGGCCCGTCTCCCATAGCATAGGGACGCAATTCTCAACAGATTCAACGTACATTTATGCAGACCTCTTATACTTGGCTAATATAGCCACAGTAACCACATGGTTACCCAGGCGCAGTTCCAAGTTGAATGCTAGTCTGTATTGATCGCAACGTGATACAGACAGCCAGGGGATTAAAAAGCGATGGCCTCGGTTCAAGGCCATGCCAATGCTGACCTTTCAAGCCAGAACACCTGAACGGAGGATTTTACAATATATTAATTGCTCATTTCCAGGCAACTGTGGCATCGTTACCATTTGCCTCATGTTGTAGCTCTCCCTTTCAAGCTCAAATTTGATGCACGGTGAAAGCTCTATCGTAGATGCTGTCAAACAAAGAAGCCTCTATTACCGAATTATTTGCTCGGTACCGTTTCATACATTAACCGCCCACTCACGGCGTACTCACGGCAAGGAGGTTGCATGTTGGCTTTAATGACAAATCGTCCAGAGGGTCCAACTCAGCGAACTGTCGCTCAGAAGCGAAAATAGTTGCGATTGTAGGGTGTCTTATTATGTTCTCGGGTAGCTATTAAACCATTATACTATTCTTGTGTATTATGGTGAAGTGAAGCAGTGAGTAGGTCTTTGCGGATTTTGCGGCTCGGAGCGCCATATGCTGATCTCTACGGTCTTATGAATTCCTCGCAAAGGATTACCAGTCTTTATGTCATCCGAGTCCACATCGCAGCCAGGGACGAGTATGTCTTCTTGGGAACGCATCCTTTGGCCTCCACGTACGTGGACCACTCTCTCGCTCATCTGGGTGGCTGGGTCCCAGTCCTGTGTCTTTCTGGTCGATACCAAACTCCGTAGAACTGGGCCATGTGGGCAGCTAGGCTCATAAGTCTGCGATGTGAAGACGAGCTTGGATGCCAGAATATCAATGCTGCGTGGATCATGTTAAATCAGTCTTTGATCAAATTTAATAGAGGGTGCTGTCCACTCACAACATGACGACCGGAAAGAGGCACTCCATTGTGTACGCAAAGCGATCCAGTTGGCTAGCTGCGTTCGTTGCGCTTTGAGCCGTCATCTGGAAGGAGTATGTGATGGCCCTCGTTGTTCCGAGAATAGCAAGCGTCGCCACACGGACTTCGGTGCTGCGCATGAGATATTTGAATAGGCCACCTTTCAGAGTCGCTCTTATGGACGTCGACTTCACTTCAGCAAACGTCTTCAGCAAGAAGAAGGAACTAAGGCATTCCAGCGAAGCGATGAGCACGAAGTAGGCGATGTGGAGGTTGTTAACTGTGCTTTGGAGGTTGGTATTCCCCCTTAGAACAAACTTGACGCGAGAAACTGCGATCATGATGCGGAGGCTGATCAAAACCAAGATGATTGTCCAGAACAAGGTGTTGAATAACTTCCAGCCCCAATCTTTCAAAATCCTGCGCAGGAGGACGTAGCTATAGAAAGACAATCCGACCTCTTGTACCTATTACGTTTGTTAGTTGTTTTCACTGGGTGCCCACTTGACTTTTGTTCAAAAAACACACCAGCCAGAAGAAGTCTCCGAACGCAGAAGCGGCTGCTTTATTCTTGAGGGCATATGTGCCATCATAATATGCGTAGTAGCACAGTCCGTTCGCGATAGCGCCGGAAGCCGAAGACACGATTGGGACCACAGTGATCTGGGAGAAGGTTGTGATGCCGATGACGAGTAGACCAAACAGCACATTAGCGGCACCTATTGTGCTCAAGATTGACCAGCTCAGCTCGAAGTAGACTGGTAAAATTGGCGTCGACATGACTACGCCCGATGGTGTTTGTTCAGTGGTAGCCTAGGAGATGCATGGCGCGTGGGGGCGTGACAGTGGCACCGAGAACAACATAGTTGATGAGGAGGTGGCTGATCGCCGAAATATAATTCAAGAAAACCTTACCCGAATGAACCACATGTGTGTGTTATTAGTTGTCGGGCTACTTCAGTGGTATACTTTTTGTGAAGATTCATCTTGGCACAGAAGCTTCCGCCTTTGGAAGCGAAAGCTGGATCGGTAAAAAGAATTGAGACGTGGCTCATGAAGAACACCAGAGTATGTGTGATGGTTCATGAGGGATGTTGCCTGGTGATAACCAGTCATCTCAGAGTATCCGGGGCCTTACTTGCATCTAGATTCAGCACGAAAACCTTGTGAGCTTGGGGTATTTGTAAGTTGTTCACTGTTCTGGGGCGCATCGCCCAGGGCCGTCTTTCGGAATCCAGGATGCGTCTTCCGGCAAACGCGAGTTCTGCGGAGAGTGCGGACATGCTCAACGTCGGGTATCGGAGCACTGCAGTACCATGTGTCGTGCAGATGCAGAGGGGTTATTAAACTTTCTAAACATCGGCACGTCGCCAGCTCGGATCGTGAAAGCCTTGTGGACGCACGTGTTATCTTTGGCATTCTAGACAGCATACAAACTTCATCATAACAATTAAACCAGCAGAACCATTGCGCGCAGATGGAGTGCGAAATGCTACAGCTTTCATACATTTCTCTGCTGTCAGAAGATAAGCAGAAGATGATGGGACATCGGGCAATCCCCTTTCCTCCCATCAACAAATCCCTCGAGTAAACTACCCATTCAAGTAAGGGCGTTTCTTGAACTTTGGAAACGCACTGAGCAGTAGATCCCACCATTGATACGTCTCACACATCAGGGATAACTGTGTGCTGTCAAGGTTTTGTGGCGCCACATTTGCAAGTTTTCGCAAAGCCTAAGGCCACCCACACGCCTCCCCTTCAGAGGGTGCGAGAGTGCTTACTACGACAACTCAGAGGCCTTGGGGCCCCTTGCAAGATGATGTGCGACTATGCTCCACTCAAAACGTGGAAAAGTGATCAGCATCAAGGGCGCGCCATGGTCGCCACTCCGACCCCTTCAAGGCGGGGGTTTTGCTGCACGAAGCGGCAAGGAGGGGGCCGGGGGGGTATTGAACCCTGAGAAACACGACGTGAATATGACGAACCTTTCTTGTCATTCTCACGATAGATGTGAGAAAAGAATTGGGACCAATGTTCTGGTGTTTGAAAAGAGAACATGGCATTGCTGCTGACGCTTGATTGGAGTACGTAATAATGTATCGATCAGCTGTTACGGTGACCTTCTGCCTCTGGAACGAAAGCGCCCTTGGTCTTTGGCCGCTTCGGATGTGGGTGGAAGTGGTCGGCTTTTGGCTTTGCCGCCGTCTGAAGGCCTGGAGCATGGACTGTAACTGATAGGTTATTGGATGATTCCTAAAGTAAGTAGAGGGAAGCTTCTCAATCCTTGAGCTGTTGGTAGGACAGCTTGAGTCGTGGCTCGCACATCTGATTTCGTCCGATAATGTAGGTTTGCCAGTTGGGGGCGGGCGTAGTACGGGGACGCCAGCGAGCCAGGTTTCGACCATTATATTGGACTTGTGCTAGATGTTTCGCTTCTCTGAGGTTGGTACAGACCGATGGCTTGCGGAAAAAAGAAAATGTTGCTGGAGTAAAAGAACAGCTAGGGGAAAGAAATGTGACCTGAAAGCCCTAAATGGTTACAAATAGACAGCGCTTGTTGCAACACCTGGGCCGGAACAACCCACGCTCGGCCTCGTATTAAAATCCGTCCAAGAGCTTAATACTCCAAATCAAGAAACATTCCAAGAAGAAGGGACAGAGCCAAGCAATTATTCGTAGGCAAACCTTATGGGGTGGATAAGGCACGTGTAGTGGTGGCCACCATCTGAGTGAAAGCTTTCGGGGGATTGCCGAGAACTATTCGAGATATTCCTCTGCGCAATCGCTGGCACCCTTGCCCGATATTTGTTCGCGTTCTCACTCCTCCCTCGTTGCAGTCGCTAACTTCTCGAGTAAGTTCACGGCTGCAAGTCGCTGACACAAACCTGTCCTCAAAGGCCCCCCTCTTCAGGGTTTTGCAATATATAATTCACCGGAGAGAACACAGACCATCACCGTCCAACGTGCCATTGGAGTGTAGACCGATATTTGACGCAACATGGGATTTTGTTAAACCACCATCATGCTAACTTGTCTTAAGCTTGTCTAGGATAATTCGGAGTGACATGGTATGAAGCAATGCAATGGTCTCACAATACTTTTGGGAGCGCTTATTTTAAATCATGGATCTCATTAGAGTTTCTTCCAACGGCTGAATCTGTAGGCTCCTCGTTTGGCTTGAAACACATTCCTCCAAACGTCATATAACCAAACGCCCTGGCTTCGCCTGTTGTTTTCGTCGAGATGTCCCCTTGGAATCCGTGAGGACCTCACATTTCTTCCTTTCCTAATCCAAACGCCACGCCTTCTGAGCCTTTAAATCGAACACCGATTTCTTACAAGTGTTTGTCTTCTTCCCCTTGAGGCCCCTGTTGCTATGCCATCATAGCACCTTGAGATTGCGCTCTCGCGCTGTGGGAGACCGAGACATCATCCAGACCCGAGAACCCGCTTTCCGAGTCCAAGGGACGCATTTCGGATCTGCGGTCCATGTCGAACATTTTCCAGTCCACAAACCCTTCTCCTTCTGCACCGTCGACCCCGGGATGTGTGACCATATCAGGTCTTCCTCCTGGCCCTGCCGGAGGCGCCGCCGCCGCCGCCGCCATGCTCGAGTGGACTAGGTTCTGCGCGGCGCCAGAAATGTACTCCTCGATGTAGGAGCATCCGCACCCGCCGTGTTGGAGAACCATGTTCTTCAACATCAAAATCTCCCCTCGCAGCATAGCCGCCTCGGCCGTCAAACTCCGGTTAATATTCTCCGCGACAGCTTCCTGCGATTGTAGCTCCTCGATGCCCTTCTGCTTCTTCTGTCGGCATTTATATGCGGCCTCGCGGTTGCGGGCGCGAATGCGGTTCTTCTTGTCGTCGGAACCGTTTTCACCCCTGAATTCGTCCGCGCCGCTGACGGAGGCGGTAGACGCGCGTCGTGCCGCCGCGGCCTTCCGCTGCTGTACTTTTGTTCCGGTCGAGGAGGCCGCTGTTGCTGTGGAAGGTGCTGCACGTGTGGCTCGCGCATTCGTTTCAGAGAGGCGAGGCCGACCCCTTCGTCGCTTCGGTAGCTCTGTCGTTTCCGCCGGCTGCGGCTTGGTTTCTTGCTCGGGGCTAAGAATCAAGGGGTCGACTGGGGGAGAAACACTGCTGGGGTGTGGTGATATGATGGAGCTCGTCGGCGACGATAATGAGTTGCTTGCAGGAGAATCCTGCCATCCTCGGGAGCTTTGCGTGGACGAATCGGAGATGATCGAAGGTGGTGCCTCAGGGGCTGAAGTCAGGGCAGACGGCGTCACGAAGGCTGGTTGTGAGCCATTTGCTGATGTGTTTTGCGCCTTCAACTTCAGCTGCTGCTGAAGGAAGAACTGGGCTTGTTGGTTTTGTTGTTGTTCACTAAGTTGTCGTTGTTGGTGGTGCTGCTGCAAAGCCTTCTCGTCTGCCGAATTGGCAAAATTGTTAGGGAGCACTCCAAAAATGGTGCTACTCGGTAACCCACTTTGAAGTGTACTCACACCACCTGCTGAGCCAAAATCCATGACTGCTGAGCTCTGTGGCTATGGAGCCGTATGGACGGGGCAGAAGAAAGAGTTTACCAGGGTAGCTCGGCCTAACTAGACTATGGCTGGTTGGCTAAGAGTGCTGGAACCGTGTGGTCTCTGCAGTGGCTGTGCTTGGATGTCTGAGATGCTGCGAACTATTATAATCACAGAACTCAATTGAATGGCAAGTTGCTGATATGGCCGTCTAAAGAAACCTTTTTTTTTTTTCCCGGTTTGAAAAGCAGGTAATGTCTAGCACAAATAGGGTTGAGGGTTGAGTGAAGTGTATATATGGGTTATGAAGGGGGTCGAAAAGAGGATATCAAAGGTACTTTATACAATCAAACAGGCTTGGGCACGCGGAAAGTAAGACACCCCAAGTCCGGTCTTTTACATGGCATGAGGATCCGCCATATGGCACGGCAGGATGGCATGGGCAGGCAGGACAGTGGCTCAATACGGTGGGAAGAGTTGGCCCTGTCGCCAACAGATCTGATCGGGAAAAAGCTGCGCTACCATCTGAGGCTCAAGAGCCAATAGTACTGCATGGTTAAGTTGCCGTCGAGTGGATGGGGAGGGAACATGGGCGTTACAGTGTCGAATATCGTGTGAATGGATGCTGGCATCGAGATCTGAGCCATTTGCAAGCTTCTCGCAACCCATGGACCAGAAACCATTCATCGCCCACAACTACGATTGGATGGTATCCCAGGGGCCAGATCACCGGGCTGAGAAGAACTGGTGGGCGATTGTGGGCTAACACTGTACAATGACGACTGATACCCCTTCAACACCATGTCAACATCCTGTTTTCGTCACACCAAGTGAGGAGATCCGGAGGTAACCTCCGGACAAGTGCAACACCTGGTTGGGCCAGAGAGGGCCGGAGGGGTTTCCCCGTCTTGACCACCACTCGAACGGTGAGAATCGTCTGTGCACAGGTTGGATACAACCAGGTGAGGGAATGGAGACCGTGGCTGATCGACCGGGTACTTGTAGACGGTTCGACATCTGTGGCCTAGTCTGGCACGCCAGCAATCCACTAAAATGCGATCATTCTCCAGTCTTCCCAGGCACACACTCCCGAGCTGCCCTTTTCCTTGGTGTCTCCACCATTTTGTTCTTTTTTTCTATGCCTCTTTGCGTAAAGATGTGCAGCTCGCCACCGTCTCGACGTTCCAATCAGCCACAGCCGTCCACGTTTACCGAATATCCGAATATGTCGATTGGTCGAATTAGTCAGAGACCCTATCGGCTACGAGGTGGCGAGTGCCCCGGACCGTATCTGGAATCCTTACTCCCGTACCGACGATTTTCAGCAATTTAGGAACATGCAATCCCACCATTCAGAGCTCCCGGAGGGCATTCCGTCTCGCATCTGCTTTTCTGGAAACGCTATGATGGAATGAGCTTATGAAGTTGTTCTTGTCCTCAAGCTCCATCACATCATCATGTCTGGTGCCATTGGACAATGGAACCTGCTCCGTGGATCTTCACAACAACTCAGTTGACGTGAGCCTCATCATTACCGTCTACTGATGGCCACTTACTAATGCCAGACCGTGCACGACCAAGTGGCCTATAGACATCAAAATGGTCCACGGAAGGTTATTCCGTTAGGCGGGGCCAACTCCGATGGGCTTTTCCAACTCGATCTTGGGAAATCCCATGCTATCCACTCCAACGTATCAGACGGACTGGGGGCCCCTTAGGTCCTTTTTCGGACAAAAACCTCCTTGAATCCAGTAATGGCCACCGCGCGCTTGAGTTACGGTTGTCCAAGGTATCCTGCTTCTACTCTCTCCCTTTTTTTTTTTTTTTTACTCCCCACATTCGAGTCTCATTTCTCCGTAGACTGCATTGGAAACGGTTCAAGTCAGATCACAGTCCCTTCATCTCTGCTACATCTTGCAGCAAATACGTGTGGTTGCGTAACGTTAGCTGCCACACTGCCTGCCCATCGTTTCGACCCTAAATTAGCCTACCCGGTGATGCAGGCCGGAGACGTCACTGAAGGCTCCAACAACTGACAACGGAGCTTGCCCCTCCTAATGTTTTTGGCACTCGAAGCTTCCGTTGACGGTTCCTAGACGGGCCGGAACTATTTCGTCGGTGTTTAGCTTCCAAACTTACCTTCTTCGAGTTATTAGCTGCAAATTGTCCATAACTAGATTCAACCTAGGGTTGCCATTTCCCCCGTTGGTGGTTGGTGCCCAACCTTCTCCCGCGGTTCAGGCTAACCAGGGTCGGCTGGGAACTGAATCTGCAAGACGTTTGCCGTCTTTTTCACGTATATGTTCCTGAGCCTTAGTGGCCCTAGCCCCTAGTCTTCCTTCCCGCTGCCGAAACAATTGGTCTGCTCCATCAGCTTCCGTCTCAATGATCGGCCCCAATATAGAAACAATGGTTCAAGAAGTGCAATTCTCTTCAGCGAACAACACCCTGATTTCACAACTTCACATGTTTTGAGTTATCTCTTGGCGCTACAAGACACTCCGGCAGCTATCGCAGCGACTGTTGGGCCAACATGGCACAAGACAAGAGTAGCTTGCCCCAGCGGCTGGGCTGAAGGACTCCTGATACTTAGCCCGTGCGTAATTAAGATGGAAAATATTGCATTGGGAGCATTGGAGGCATTGGTAGGATCTGCTATCTATGAAGTTTTTCGAGTAACGGAGCTTGCGGTTGGGGCCGGGACATGGCCAGTTACCCGCCCAGTTGCCCGACCGGGACGACTTTATGATGCATATCAGACGGAACACTGATACGGCTCCGTGGAACTACAACATCATAAGTCTTTTCCTGAGATTTGTGGGATTTAATGACGATGTCTAGGAAACTGTGGACGCCATGACCTTGCTAATGAGAGAGCCGAGCTTGACATCGTGGGAGAGAATTACGCAAAATCCGAACCGGTTTCAGTGGGTAACCAGTTGCTATAGTTGACATTCATTCAGTGCGTCCCTTTCGAACACAAACTCCCCAACCCAGATTATAGTACTTCCGCAGGTAGGCTTCTGCATACTCAAAACAAAGACGGCTGCTTCGTGGTATTTTCTCGAATGCAGTCTCTCTCCTCGAGCTATCCTCCCGAGACATTAAGGGGCCCCGTTCCATTCAATTCCAACAGCGAGCATTGAATTGCAAAGCCTAAAATGAGCTGGGCCAACGCAGTTTTCCCCGCTGCTAAGCCCGGCTAATGTCACCGGAAGCCTGCGATTGGGGAGCCCTTCGGAATAGTCACATTGCGACTGCTGCAGCTAATGATCAATTGGAAGAACGAGAAGGGTCCACAAGATTCTACAAGTTTGTCAAGAGGCTTTGCCTTGAATCCTATCGGCAGTAACAAGCGGCAAGATAAGAAATTTCATTGCAGCATGTGGGGGGGAGAAAGCTCAGAGCAGGGCCAGATGCCTAAACAACGACATTTTCCGGCTTGGAACTCCGCTACCGTTGACGTTGCCGATTTCGGTGTCACGGCATGCCTCAGACAAGACCTAGTCGTGGATATCCCGTTCTATAGACGTTGTCTGGGTCAAATTTGTTCTTGATCTCCTTCAATCTCGCCAGCGTCTCCTCCCCGTACGTGGCCACCCAGTTCATGTCCGTCTCGGGGCTCAAGTTGCGGTTGCCGTAAGGCAGGGCCAAGCCCCTATTAGCTACCTCACCAATAAGACCATCTGCCCACTGTTTGCATTCCTCAAAGTCCGCCGGGTAAGCCGAGGGGTCCGGCAAGCTTGCGACTGGGTTCAGAATATGATGACGGTTTCTGAGCGGGTAGCACGCTGCTGGGTTTTCCTGGAGCGCTCGTCCGTGGAAGCTGTGGATGACGGTGCAAGACAGTGGGCCTGGCGGCGGGTAGTCTTCCATAACCTTGCCCAGTTCCTCGGTGAAGGATTCGACTATAGACAACCGTGGGTGCAAATGGTTACCGGCAGGACGGGGAAATTCGTTGAAGAACGTGTAATCGTCAACTGCGGCTATTAGCATGATTTTTCCCTTTCCTTCTCTTTTCTTTAAAGGCTTGGGGTCTCATACCTTCTGCTACCGTGTCTAGTAGCGGTGTTCCAAGGGCCTTCAGTTTCTGATGAAAAGCCCAGCCATCCTCAAGATTATCATCATCCGAGGTCCAAACAAACAGCCAAGCTAGAAGAGGACCGACACCCGGAATGTTTGTTTGCAAAGCCTCCCCGGAGAAATTGACCGGGAGGTCCTTCTCAAGTTCGAGGAAGTTCTTCAGCACTTCAGCTGCCTGAGAATTGGAAAACCCCAGAAGACCACCCAAGAAGCCTGTTTCAGGGTACAGTTTCAGCCGAAGCTCTACCACGATGCCAAAGTTGCCATTGCCAGCCCCTCGAAGGGCCCATAGCAAATCAGGGTGATCGTCAGTGTCAACAACCTCGCCGCTGGCGAGCACAACCCGCGCACCGAGAATCTGGTCGACACCCAGGCCGTAAAAGGCACTCAAGTAGCCGTATCCTCCCCCAAGCGCCCAGCCGGTTATTCCTACGGTTGCGCACCAACCGTGGGGCGTCAGTAGCCTGTGCGTGTGAAGGAATTTGGAAAGGTTGATGCTGGGTGTGCCCCCACCAACACGAACGGACCTCTGATCCTCGGCAATGACCACGCTGTCCAGGCCGCGAAGATCGACGATCACACCGTCCTTCCCTTGCGCCTGTGCGGCGACCATATCGTGCCCCCCACTCCTAATGCCGAATGGGATGCCTTCGGACCGCATCTCGCGAACAACTGCAGCGACTTCATCGGCTGTTCTTGGCCGGATGACTGCCAACGGCCGCTGTTTGACGGCCGCATTGTAGAACGGGCTGACTTCTTCGAATGATTTAACCGAGGAAGTGTATATCAAGAGGTCTGGCAAGCTTTCCGAGATATTTCGAAGCTGAGGGGCGTCTGACGCTACCTGCTCCGAAGTCGATGCTTTGGGGTTCACGACGCGGAACTCCGCTGCAGCCTCAAGCGATGTCATTGTAATCGGTTTCACTCTGTTTGAACAATGTTGGGCAGCGTGTATCCTGACTGGCAGTGAGAACAGTTTAATTATATCGATCGCCAAACAAACCCCTCACAAGGAAGACATATGGGATCTTTCATCGGCACCTCTTGCATATCGTCCGTGTGGAAATCCCCTGTCCCAATGAGATTTGATTTAATAACTTGGTGCAGAAAACACCAATTATTAGCGCTTTGAGTCCGAGCTATATCGCTTCAGCTACAGCTTATAGGGGACCACCGATGCCGCTCACGTCAGACGGATTTGCGATACCTGGCGGATAACGTCAGATTGAGCTTCTACCTACCTAATTGAAGGATTCTTCCGTCTCGAATAGCTAGGATTTCATGTATATCTCAGAGGTCACAGCAGAAATAGGAGACGAGTTTCTGTTGCGAGTTTTCCAGGAGAGTTCAAGTATAGTTTTCCGCATAGGTTAGCACGTTTCGTGCCGACACCTAACCAATACTTGATCCTTCTATGGCGGCTGTCTCTACTTCCACAATTGGCATAATGAGTCCGTCAACAAATCACGCATTTAAAAAGAAAAAAAGAAAAAAAACTATAAAAGTTCTCTTAGGCATACTCAGCTTTTCTAGCCTGTGCCAGACGCACTTGGTCTTGGCAACGATCGAACTATCGCTATGCTGACAGCAGAAAGCAAAACGGTATCGCAGCCACATATGCCACCATGCCTCTTAGAGATAAGTCTAGACAATGACAGATTCATGTGATAAGTTTAAAGTATAAATCTACGCGCGTACTCTGCACACGATTGGCCGGCTTGGCTAAACCACAACTGCGAATCTAAATCTCAATGAGCCGGTCGCCGTGGGGGATTTGAGCCGCGTGCAACACCAATCGTTCGTACACTTTAACACCTTGCGAGTCATGTATGTTCTTAATCCAAACAACTCTTTGCAGGCGTTCCTTTGCTTCTGGCCATGTCCTTCCTAGATATTCGTGCACGCTAGCTAGTCTGGGCATCAACCAGACATCATCTTCTTCGGTGAATACCGCGAGAGAGCCCATCATGAGTGACCAAGCAAAGACTAGCTTTGCGGCAGGTGTGGAAGACTTTGACAGTTCGACTTGCTGGAGCGTTTCCCTGAGCTTGTTGGTCAAGTAGGTAAACTGTAGTCTCATTCCCAAAACATGTAGAAAGAGAGTGGCAATGCATCCGAGCATACTCAGTCGGAGGGATTCTGCCATCGCGTCGTCGGGGAAGTCCAGGTACAACAGGCGATACTCGATAGAGATTGTTAGTTCTTGGAACGGCCAGGGATCGCAACCTCCACTTCGGAAGATGATATTTGTTAATCGTGAGAAGTCTCGAAAATCTTGGAAAACGTAGCTAAGTCGTAGATCGAGGGAATCAACAAACTGTTGTATGTAGCACGGACCGTACTGTATCTTGAGTCCCTCAAAGTGTGGGCCAAGGATCGAGTCAAAGGCAGGCTCGTACGGCAGGTTCTTTCGAAAAAAGAACGGTTTGTTTCCCGTGATCATGGACCATCCAACGTCGGTACTGGACGCAAGTTAGTCTCTTTGTGCTTCCACGCTATACGTTAAGCGAAAAGAGAAAAAAAGAAGGAGAAAGGAAAAAGCTCACCGACAAAGTTTGACGTATAAGTGAAGATTATGTTTGAGACTCTCAACGCCGCCACGAAGCTTAACTATTTGTTGAAGTCCAGCAACATGAGCGGCTGAAGAAGCACGGTCTCCAAAGACCTCAGACATCATGCTCATGGTCACGACCGTGGCGAGTGTCGAGTCGGTCAATGCCGTGTCTGGATTAGCAAGGTTCTGATTCAGGAGATTCAACGTCTTGCATATGTGGTAGTTCGTCTTCTTGCTAAGCGCTCTTCCACGCATAAAGTCATGCAACATGCTGGCAGTGAAAATCACCGAGTGCAGATATGCTTGGTCTACCTTCAACCAGTAGAACCAGGGCGTCTTGCTGGGGTCGAATCGCAAACACCACTCCACTGGATACATGGCTTCTTTGAGAACAGCATAGTCTGCAGAATTTAGTCAGCAAAGACAAGAAATGGATTTAGAGTAGGAGACTCGCATTCGACCATCATCCCTCGTGAGGTAAAGTCACATCATCGGCGAACTGGTGTAACTGCGTATCATAAGGTTCATGCAGGAGTCGTAGTAGATACTCTCCATCATTCTCCCCCCACTCTTCAGCTGTGAGTGCCTTTGCCACTCCTCTGTCCCGAGTCTGCGATTTGGATGCGAGTGGTGCCACTTCTTGTGAGCTTTGTACTCTGTCGAGATCTTGGGGTCTAGTTGAGGATGTACGGTGGGACGGAACGGCCCGCGGCAAACGCGTGTTCTTGCCTCGCATGACATGGCTACGTATAAACTTTCGGTCACCTGCTTTTGGCTTCCCTTTTTGGTCTCCAATTACAAAGGCAAACCCCTTGTTTTCTACTGATGCAGGTCAGGGACGGGAATTTCCTTATAAAGGAAATGGAGCCATACCTGTACGCTTCTGTTGGCCCATTGCGGCTTAAACAGGGTGGATATAGTGCGCTATTATTGATTTAGGTCGCTGGGCCGGTTGATTTCTCTCCGGGATCGTTCCGCTCCAAACGCGTCAACGCCGGAGAATTAGTGTTGCTGAGGCACGGGCGTTCAAAGTTGGGAGAAATGGGTCGCGTTGGTTCGTTCGGTATCAAACAATCAATATTGACGGCACAGGGACGGAACACAATTTAGGCTCGTTTCGTAGGCTTGAAGTGGACTGTTTACTCAAAGAGGTATACAATCAAAGTGCAGAAAGGGAAAGATGCATAGGGATATCCGAGACAGTTAATGTGAGCATAGAATATTTCCTCCGCCGTTTCCTTGCTTACATCTCCAACTAACCTCATTCATTCCGAAGGCAGAATGTTTCAGGCCAACATAATTCGTCTAGGTACCCCGCTTGTCAGCGCGACGAGTCGTAAGCTCAAGAGTGATCCCACTCGATTATTACCCTCTTACGGCCTAGCGCTTATCGTCCCAAGACATACCCTGGGGAAACGCCAAAAGTGGCAAATGATCAGAAAAAGATGTAGTTCTTTCAAGTATGAGGCCCACGTGACCTGTCCGGCGATATAAGACTCGCCGGAGGTCCGGTGGGACTAGTTGGAAGTTGGCTTCCGGAACGGCCCCGGTCCGGTCTATGATTGGTGCTTCAGCGGTTTCCCGGCTTTTGGCCTTAGAAAGGCCCCTTTGAATTTTTTTAAAAAAAAAGTATCTGTGGCCACTGTCTTTGTGTGCCATAGACAATTTGCTCTCTTCAACTCGGTATTCAGATCAATAGCGGCCTCATGTTTCTGTCTAACCAAAGCGACCTCGATTCCATGATAAGCAGGCAATAAGAAAGCTCAACACCACTGGGAGTATAAAATCAAGTAGGAATTCCATAAAATACAACCGAAAGGCAACTGAACTGCGTAGTTGATGCACTGTTGACTGTCTCATAATTTCCTTCATTCGTTCTATTATTCTTCAGTCTCTGGCCGTTAAAGCCTTTGTTTCAAAGCTTGGTTGACTCCATTACATGGAACTCAATGACAGTAACGCAGGGTTGGTTTCGAAACCCGAATAGGTCTCATTTGCAAAACACCTAGCAGTTATTATGAGATACTGCGGTTGATCAGATTCCTACTGTCCCAGAACTCGCCCGGCCTGATCATGGATACAAGGCAGGCAGAAAGAGGACCCTGCTGCTTCGAAACGACTAAGAAGAATCGATTCAAGTTCTCTGGGCATCAAAACGTATTAAAAGGCCGTTCAACAGCTCTTCAGTAGTTACCGGTAGTCACTAATCACCCCAGTTCGACGTCCTTCACACGCGTGGAATCTGGTTAGGTGCTTCACACTCCCCAGCTTGATATCCCTGTTGGTTCATCAAACATCAAGCCGCCATCCTTGAAAGTGTCACGCCGAACTTGGCCGTTCATCCCATGCGGTAGACATTGCCCGGCATCATTGCATGCCATTGAAGTCTAACATGAAAGTGCCACCGTCTGGTTTGTAAATGCCACCACTCTGGAAGCGAAGTCCGAATGCAATATTTTGACATCCAATAGTTTTCAAACGGCGTTGAAGTAAAATATATATTGGTAGTGCCTTCTAAGTTAGGTAAAAAACTACACAATCAGACAGAAAGACATCACAGCAACATAGGGCACGCCATTGACAAGTACCTACACCGCAATGCCCCTTCTATGATTCGCACTAATTGTTTTTGTTGTATGTTGTATGGCCTAGACGATGACCACTGGCGATATCAAAAGAAGGCACTCCTCTCAAGTCAGCAAATCGCTCTCTTCCATTGGCAGATAGGTTTACTGTTGAGCCTCTTGCTGCAAATGTTTCTTCAGCGCCCAAGAGGATCATGATTTTAGGATAGGCTCGCGTGCTTGTCAACATAGGATCAGTTACTGTCATGATATCCCGCATCCTGCAACATGCTAGGAAATTCAGTCTACCTCGTATGATGACGTGAAATAGGCAAGAAACATCGATTGACAGGGTAGCTAAAGATACCAGGTCAGTTTCTCATCATCAGCCTGTTCACCGATGTCGAGGTTGAAGTTAAATCATTGGATTTCTCAAAGTGAAGGTGATGAAACGTATACGACCTGAGTAGCAATCCGGGCGGTCGACGATAAAGATTGCTGTGACTTCAAAACTGCTTTAGAAAAGAACACACGTATAGTAATGTCGCTTGATGGATGGAGAGAGTGCTAAGACGTCTTCCCGAGGCTGGGAAGAATTTCTGTCAGCTTGAAATTCAAGAGAGTCTTTGATCGAAGAGTAGCTGTCACTACCTTTGAATTCACTCTAACAACCTATGGGCCAGGAGGGCCCTAGAGAGAGATTGCTGGGTAAGAGAATGTACTAGCTCGTTCCTGGGGGCGTCTATTCCTAGCGTCATGCGCCCAGGTATAAGATAAGAATCGCGTGAGGTTCTGGGCCTTTTGTTCCGCCCGTCTGGGTCCTTCCTTCTCACTCTATGCAGAAGGTGGGCGTTGGATCATATGCATGAAGCCTAATCGTTGATGGACCAGGCCTCACTACGAATGTTCCCCCGCATATTGGCAGTTCGTTTGCTCAATGGCACAGATTGTTCTTGTACGCCAAGTGCCAGGTTATGTGCTTCATCGACATCATGCAAGTGGCAAGCCCTCCTTTTGCCGTCCTGAGAAAAGGATCATTCTCTCAAGCCACATCCGTGGTAGCTGTCATGATAGCAAAGGTTCCTCGCAGAAACCCCCAGCCCAGGTTATCATCTGACACTAGGCCTCGTATAGATTATCGTCCATGTCTGGAAGATGAATTCTGCCGGAAGCCAGTTGCCACAGCCGTCTAAGCCACCAGATCACGATGAACTATCTCTATCCTTCTCGGGAAGAGAGGCATAAAGACGTAGAGGCCACGCAAGTGGAGGCGACACGATGCTTTCAAATGCACGATCGCCCGATCACGTACTCTCTGGAGGCGAATATGTGCAGCAAACGACATTGGGTGCCATTCGCATTCTTGGGGAGTACGGCCGCTGATCCGTAGGCAATCGTTAATGATAGGGCTACACATGGTGAATTCACACCTAGCCAACTTGCATGGGAGATTTAGACGCCTGCATTGAACCCTGCGCAGAGCATTTGCCCCAGTCAGCTAGAGAGGATGGCTCGCTAGAGCCAAGGCATATCCGAAAGGGGGGGAGGCGTGATGCGCTGGATGAGCTCACGGTACATGTTAAGGTTATTCAACTGAGCACTCATCACTCTCTTCGGACGATGCGGGAGCCTTAGACTTTTGGAGGAAACCGGGATAGGCTATTATCGGTCTACTCTTTTCCGAAGAGGCTCGTCTACCTGCTTGCAAACCACCGGAGACTTGTTTGAATCTCAAATTCCGACGGCATCGTACTCGAAGGGTGCCACCGGCGGACGACACCCTCTTGTCGGGTCGTCGTTCAATCAAATAACCTAATGACCTTCCGCATACTGATAGACCGGTCCTGCGGCCATTTCCAGCAATCTGTCCCATGCCAAGCAGCTAGGTATATGGGATAGACTTCCAACAACTCTACCGTCGCATGCCAAGAAGTATTATCAGCAAGGGACTGTGAGGGGTATCCCAGGCCAATAACGTTGAAGCCAACCACACCAATCTGGCACATTATCACTGATGCGAGAATGTTAGGGCACAACACTCAAGCCTTGCGGTGATGATTTTCTTCCAAGACTTTCCAAGACGGCAACATGTGCCTAGACATGTGCCTAGACGGAGCATTACTATCGCCAAGCAGAGATCAGAAAGCCGGGAACCGAGATGTTGTCTGCAGCAGTCCGCGCAACGTCAAGCCTCAATCACATCGTCATACCAGCATCAAATAGACGCCGTAGATGGCTGGAGGGAGAGAAAGAGGTTCATAAAATGTTTTCCAAATAAACAAGTCGACGCGCTTAGAGAGCAAACTTGACGAGTCATTGGATGTCTCGTCGCCAAGAGCTCAGCGCATGGCTGATCAAATCCAAAAAGGAAGCTTCTTTCTCGGCCGGGTCAGCACATGACCGAAGTCGCTAAGCAGTAGCTTCATTCAGCAGAAGGGCTCCAAATACTTGGGCGCAGTGCGAGCATAGTGGTTTCACAGCCCGGCATGCGCCGCGGTTCTTTTGAACAGGAAAGGGTCTTAGCGATGCCATCGCAGAGTCGCGCCGCACAAACGTTCCCTACAGGATTTCAGCCTTGGCACTATGCTTGACTTTGGGCCATTTCCCATCAAGAAATTAGTGATAATAACCCAGGCGCGCGTGTTGCGATAACGGTGGAGGTGATTGCGCCATGCGACATTCGACCGGGGGATAAGAGACATCCCGCCCAATAACAAAGGCGGAAATGCACCTGCCGAATGCAGAAGTCTGGAGAAAGACCAGGGGGGGACGGTCCGGCTTGGGGGTTTTGACGAGGGAATCTCTACCTGCTCGTACGACGGGCGGCGTTGGTCCTAGCTGTGTCCAGACGACCCTGCAGACCAAAAGTCCGCTGTGACAGGGAACATGCCGCGGGTGGCTGGCTTGGTAGTGCCAGTCAGAGATAATTAGAATATTACAATACGTTGTATGATATGGAGAGAACTTGGCAGAGTCTGTTACGAGGGGGAAGTCCGCTAGATACTTATCATGGCCAGTTTCAATCGAGGGCAGACTCAGCGATTGACATGGGAATAGGGAGACCAGGGCCTGGTAGAGGACTGAAGAGGATGAAGAGGACTCATCAACGGGGTCGATAGCAATCTGACCCATCCTAGGCAGCCAATGTTATGATGGAAAACTAGCAGGGATGATGGATAGGACGCGTTGCCCGACCCATCTAATAAGCTGCCGATACTGGGAGCTCGTGAGGGGGAACTGGCTAGGGCCAACATACTATGGTAGAGGATGGCGCCCCCGTCAAACAAGTTCCTCCCAAAGTTCTTCCTATAGCAAGCGAGCCCAGAGTGAATCAACTTGCCACCATCTACCTGATCGGATGATACGAGTTCAGTGTAAACAAGGCCTATGAATGGTCAATTCACCGATGTATCCCCCGGTCGTATGGCCGATAACAGTTTGGGCGACGGCGATGGCAACCGGGGAACCTTTGCGATGATTGTGCAGCCCCCCAGTTCGTCCTTTTACTGCGCAGTAAGACAGCGGACAGCCACACGGCTCTTATCTTAGCTTTATTGCCTCTCATGTTTTTGAGGGTGTGCAGTGCAGTAGGCCAACAGCCACATAGTGCACAAGCTTTGATAAGATCTCTTGACATGTCTTGTCCTTCTCGGGATGACACGTCTTGGACTTCTTGGACAGTCTTGGAAGTATGTCGTGATGGTCTTGGGTGCTCTTGGAAATCGATCTTGGAAAGCTTAGGAGTCTTGGAAAACTTGGGGGGGAAAACGCCACCTACAGGGTCCAACGGCCTTGACGCCCTTTGATCATGTTCCGCTTTGGTCTCGGCCCTCGGAAGTGCCAAGCCATCGTTCGCCTATGCCGCTCGACTAACGCACAACCCTGTTGACGGTAAACAGATGCTAATTAAGGACTGATTCGTTGAAGGATACTTACTGGCTTATCCCGTCAACAATGTCAGGGCAGACATAGGTGCCAACCAATCCAAGCACTGGTATTTCTTCTACGCCGGTTCGACGGTGCCTCCCGCTCATGTTCTCGACAAGCCACAAACTTCTGGCAGTGTTGCAATGCAGCGTTTTTTTACGTCAACAGCTGCGTTCCGTAACTGCAATGTGCCTCTGTCCGTTCTGCTGAATGCGGCACAGCGAACTAAAGCTTATAATGTGTCTCAAATAAGGCCACAAACGGGGGACCAAGGTAATCGAAGGTTTGGCGGATAGGGTGCCCTTCACTTCAAGATCCCTGTACGACTTCACTATCCCCCATCTGATCTCATGCCCCGCTGGTCCCTACGTTCTAGATTGCATTTGCAAGGGGGGAAAACTGGTCCCCGAGACGTCTTCTTCGGCGACAGGTTCCTCCCACATGTTAGTAGCAGTCACACGAGCATCCAGGCCATTTTGCTGGCTGCTCGTTGTTGGCAGCACGGCAGAGACGGCAGATATACACATACCTAGTAGGGCCGCCCGGCGGTACTCCCACGCACACACACCTACCCGAACAACTCATGGCGAGCACCTGAAATGCTCTGTTATGGGATTAACTTGCATACATACGGTCGGGTAACCACTGATATTAACGGGAAACACACAAGAGTGTGGCATCCTGGGAACAAATCAGCCTGTGTCTAATTGACCAAATCCTGGGTTTTTCGTGTTTACTCGCCGCCACTCTACCCGATCGACAGTGAGACCAACCGGTAATCTTTCTGCGGGCGAAAATGTCGCACCATGGTGAAGCCATCGCGATTGCGACATGAGCGGCATGCTAAAAAACCCCAGAGTATTTTGATTGGAAGATACATATCCCGTTGCTGCAGCCTCTCGTCAGTCATTCAAAAAGTTCCTCGGCTGATAGCTGACAGCAGCCTTGCCTTGCCAAATCAAGGCTCTCCGCGGTCCCGGTTGCATGGGAAAATGGCTGAAAACCGACCAAAGACCGAACCTCAAGCAGACATCCGCGGCGTTGAAAGGTGCAAGTCGCCAATGGCGACAACACCGAAGGCTCTAGCACCATTAGCAAAGGTTCCATGTCACCCATGCCTGCACCAGGGATCCTTTGCTTTGGACCTGAAGCCCCATCTGCAGGTTCTCAGTGCAGACTGGGTATCATCCGGGGGGGGGGTATGACCGGGAGTGGACTGGGGTGGAGGTGGGTTTTCTTTTCCCTCCCGCCAGACCAGAAAAGCACACAGACAACGAGCCACAAGGACATACTATGGAGAAAGGTAACCTGCCATAAGGTGTTTCGTCCTTGTGTACGGGGATAGACGTGGTGTCTCTCTCTGTCTCGTTCATTGTGCTTCATCCCATCTCTCTCCTCTCTCTCTCTCTCTCCTCTCTGCCTTATACTTACTGTCTTACAATTGCTCGGCAGTTCGCCTAAAGCGGGCAAAGCAGGGACGTATATTCAACCCTCCTCCGTCGCCTAGGAACCTTTGATACCAGCCATGTCGAATGTAGAAGGTAGAGCTGTCTTCTGCCAGGGTTGTATTGCATGTTCGGATGTACGAGCAGATGAGGGAGCCGGTTGGAAGTCCAGCCCAGAATATGGTCACCCATGCCACCCCACCCTTGCTCCGAAGAGGAATCTTTGCCATCCCGACCCATGTTCATCGCAGTGTCCTTCCATCTTGAACAAGGGAAGCCTTCGCTTGATCGTCTCGTGGCGACAATGTCACCACCATTTCGGGGGCTTGCCAGGCAGTTGGGATCTCCGGAGGGGGGGAGAGGGCGCCCCATCGATAAGCATACGGTCACTTTCGGCCGATTGCCTTGGGGCTCTGGATATTAAAAGGTCGCGATGTCTTCGTCCGTCTTTCCACGTTTCTTTTCGTTCTTCGGTCACTGGCAATATTTCCAGCCCAAGAGTCAACGGGTCCCAGCCAATCAGTCTTTCCACGCCTTACTCAAGGTGAAGAGTTCTGACCCAGCGCAACACAATGTCCGATATTCGTCAAGAACGGCCCGCCGCCCAGGGCGGCGTGATCTCGAGCGAGAAGCCCGCTCCGGTAAGCCAACATGCCGCTCAAGGCCCACTTGAGCCTCACTTGTCTTGCATGTCGAAATGCTGAACTCTTCCTGCCAGGTCATCGACGCCCACCCTGAAGGCGTTGACTACAATGAGCACGTCGAAAGAGACCTCAACGTCACCGAGGACGATCTGCTCGAGGCCAAGGAGCTCGCCGCGCAGATGTCCCTGGAGGAGGTTCGGGAGATGATGTTCAACGTCCACAAGATCCACGAGAAGGACCCCAACTTCCCGCTTGCCATTATCGAGAAGATCGAGGCGTTCCTCCAGAACGACGACATTTTCGAGAACCCCGAGAAGCATGAGACTCTGATCCAGGAGATGAAGCTCGAGGCCGCCCTCATCACGGGCAACTCGCCCTACTCCGAGGTGCGCGCCGTCGTCGACAACCACGATGACCCGACCATGCATGTCTCGACCATCCGCGCCTGGACCATCGGTCTGCTCTTCTCCGCTCTTCTCGCCTTCGTGAACCAGCTTTTCTCCGTTCGATACCCGTCCATCACCATTCTGGCCAACGTTGCCCAGCTTCTCGCCTACCCCCTGGGTAAGATCTGGGAGAAGACACTGCCTGACGTTGGCTTCACCGCCTTTGGCTCCCGCATCTCGCTCAACCCTGGCCCGTTCAACCGCAAGGAGCACATGCTCATCACCATCATGGCCAACGTCGCCTACAACATTCCCTACACCAACTACATCATCTGGACTCAGGTAAGCCTTTCTTTGTCTATGCAACTTTGCATGTTTCCCCGAGAGAGACACGAGATTAACAAATCATGATAGTGGCTCCCCCAGTTCTTCAACCAGTCGTACGCCGCCAACTTTGGCTACCAGCTGCTCATCTCGCTGTCCACCAACTTCATCGGCTACGGTCTCGCCGGTCTCTGCCGTCGTTTCCTCGTCTACCCCTCGTACTGTGTGTGGCCCGCGTCGCTGGTCACCATCGCCCTGAACGCCGCTTTCCACGCCGACAAGAACACCGCCGTCGACGGCCCTTTCCGCAGCGTCTGGCGCCTGAGCAGACAGAAGTTCTTCTACATCGCCTTCGGTGCCATGTTCGTGTGGTTCTGGTTCCCCAACTACCTCTTCACCGCCCTCAGCACCTTCAGCTGGATGACCTGGATCGCGCCCAAGAACCGCAACCTCGCCACTGTCACTGGCTTCAACAGCGGTCTCGGATACAACCCCTGGCCCACTTTCGACTGGAACATCTTGTAAGTGATAATCCTCCTTTTGAACGTCCCAGAAGACGAAGTTGACTAACTCGCGCAGGTTGTTCGACAACACTGACCCCTTGATGGTTCCTTTCTTCTCTACCTTCAACAAGTTCCTCGGCACCTTCTTCTCCGGCTTCGTCATTCTTGCTGTTTGGTACACCAACACCTACAACACCGCTTACCTGCCCATCAACTCCAACAAGGTTTACGACCACTTTGGCAAGCTGTACAACGTCTCCCGCGCCGTCAACGAGCATGGTCTGTTCGACAAGGAGGCCTACGAGGCTTACTCTCCCCCCTTCCTGGGTGCCGCCAACACCATGAACTACATGTTCTTCTTCGCCATCTACACTGCCACCATGACCTACGCCATCCTGTACCATCGTCATGAGATCATGCTCGGTTTCAAGGCCCTGATCGGCAGCTTCAAGAAGAACAGCGACGTCGAGAAGGACCAGGTCCTCGATGTCCACAACCGTCTGATGAAGGTCTACCCCGAGGTTCCCGAGTGGTGGTACCTGCTCACCCTGGTCGTCGCCGTCGCCCTCGGCTGCGCCGGTATTGCCGCCTGGCCCACCTACACCACCGTCGGTGTCGTCTTCTACGGTATCATCCTCTGCCTCATCTTCGTCGTCCCCGTCGGTATCATCAAGGCCATGACCGGTATCGAGGTCACCCTCAACGTCTTGGCCGAGTTCATCGGTGGTTCCTGGGTCGAGGGTAACGCTCTGGCCATGAACTACTTCAAGTCCTTCGGCTACGTCACCTGCGCCCACGCCGTCTGGTTCTCCAACGATCTTAAGCTTGCGCACTACGTCAAGATCCCCCCCCGCTTCACCTTCTGGGCTCAGATGTGCGCGACGCTGGTGTCCACCCTTGTGTGTCTCGGTGTCTTGAAGTTCCAGATGACCAGCATCGACGGTATCTGCACCCCCGAGGCCAAGTTCAAGATGACCTGCCCCGGTATCAACACCTTCTTCACCGCCTCCGTCCTTTGGGGTACCGTCGGTCCCAAGAAGATTTGGGGTGCCGGTGGCCAGTACACCGAGACCCTCCTCGGTTTCCCTCTCGGTGTCGCCATCGTCCTGATCTTCTGGGGTCTTGGTAAGAAGTTCCCCAACTGGAAGTGGGTTCGCCAGATCCACCCCGTTGCCATCATGTACGGCGCTCTCTCCTGGGCTCCCTACAACATTTCTTTCGTCTGGCCCTCCGTTCCCATCGCCTACTTCTCCTGGGTCTTCCTCAAGAGCCGCTTCTTGGGTCTCTGGTCCAAGGTATGTTATCCATATCCTCTCTGATGCTTCGCAATTGAATCCGTAGCTGACTTTGTCCTCAGTACAACTTCGTTCTTTCCGCCGCCTTCTCCTGCGGTATCGCCATCTCCGGCATTGTCATCTTCTTCGGCCTTCAGTGGCAGGATATTGAGATTGACTGGTGGGGCAACAGCGTCGTCAGCGAGGGCTGCGAGGGAGCGGCTTGCCGTCTCCTCACCCTCAAGGACGGCGAGTACTTCGGACCCCGTATCGGCGAGTTCCACTAAAGGAGTCCGTCGTTTGCGCGCGGCCTGGACGTCGCGGTCATGCTCTTCGTGTTTCAGCACATGTACGATGTGATGAAGAGAATTTGAAGACCAGGGGATGAAGTTTCGTTGTTGTGGCGTGTAATGGGGGGATGTAATGATTAAGGATAAAGATAAATACCCCAAACACTCATTTGCGATGAGCAAAAGATTAGTCTTGAACGTCTGTCCTTTAACGTGATCCCTTATTGAGTTTGACCATGTCAACCGTGAAGTCCAGGTTATCTTGGAAGGATTCATAGATGTCTTCTTGTGCTTGATGATCGCATCGGTGTGTCGACTTCCTTTTCTTGTCATTATATTCGCCCGTAAACCTCGAGTAGGCGGTGTCATTGCGAATGGCATCGCCATTTTTTTCAGTGCTCCTGTGCTTACAGCATTCCCTGCGGACATGCTCAAGAAAAAACATACCAAGACCATATTAATACTATCACCAAACAAAGCAGTAGTCCACATTGTATGCCGTTTCGGTGCCGTGCCGGCGTGGCTGTGCTAGATAGCGCCGATGTTCGGTCCACTCCATGTCATCTTGTGGTGATCTGTTTGGCTGGTTCTCAAGTGACCCCGGCGACGAAGAACTGGGGCTGTTTGGGGTTCCATTGTCGATAGGGTCCGACTCCGAAGTGTTCGCGGCGTCAATTCTAAGGCCGGTAGTGGAGATGTCGCAATAATTGACGTTTCGGGGAATGGCAGGCCTCTGGTTGGATATTAAGTTGGCTCGTGAGAATACGGCCCGTTCAACAGGCCGCGAGCTGATGTGAAACAAGCCCTACTTCTCGTACTGAAGACATTCCAGAGCGCCCTCACCCCTGGGCGGCTTTCGCAACCATTGCTAGTGTTGGCAGCCTGGGATTGAGGTCTCAGGATTCTAGGTTGAGGCAGTTCGACAGTTGGACTGATCTAAGGAAACTTTTGAGCAGTATGATAGACTAGGAAATCAGTTGCCTTGCTTGTTTTCCGTTGGGAGTGAAGTCCATGCTTGATAGCGGACGTGTTGCATAGCGAGTAGACTTGCAGGTCGCCCAGAAGGGTGTTGGCATTCCCTTTCTCACGATTCCAAAGAGACCAAATTTGAAGCTGGCTTCAGACTCTAAAGTGTTTGATGCTTTCGCGGCCATGGCAGTTTATGTACAGCCGGTGCAGTGCTTTATATGAAGCCAGGACCCTGAGTAGCGGGCGTAAGACGCGAACACCATGGGAGATAACGCAACGTCCCAATCTGGAATCATTGCCAAAACATTCTAGCCTTGTCCTTATAGCAATTCCACCAGGGTGCAACCTGGGGCCAATGGCGGGGTGACTGGTGTTGCGGCACAGCTCCGGCCAAGTTTAACGTGGCTGATAGTGTAATATGAGCACCCGGCTCCAACCAAATCCAATATACAAAATCTAACAAGATTTTGACGTAACAGCTTATAAATACGACATCTCTTTGAGATCGCGGATTTTCATTCGGTCTTTCGTCAGTTGACTTGAACTATGGTAACTGTAGGATCAGTCGGTCCAGCTTGAACGATGCCGCCCCTGCGTATCTATCATGACCCCGGCGACGCCTGGAGGTAAGTCTACCTTCGCTGGATAGTCCCCCAGGCGGAAGAATATAAATGACTCGCTCATTATTGATCGCTACCGACCTTGTGACTGTGACTTGCTTTTCTTGTTCCGACGGCACATCAACCTGCCGGGGATAAAGAACCATTTCATGGCTTCCTCTATTCCGTCCTCTCCAATATGTGTGAAGACACTCAAAGCACTAAAAGTCGGCATGGCTTTCTCGTGCCTTGACTTGCGACAAGTCAAGGTGCGTGAATCGCCAAATTAGTTGATGAGAAGGCGCGGAAACGCAGCTCAATGACCACACGTCCATCCGACGAAAAGTGACGCCGGGCAGATTTCAAGTTTCCAAGGTCTGTTGGTATGAGTTTTCCAACGTACTTGTGATGATGATCGCAGCACGGTCGACATGCAATCTTCAAGTTTTGTAGATCTTGAGAGATGACACGTCTGGCATGTGCTATCGACGTGGTAAACTTCTATAGAACGCTGAAGTGGCATAGCCGTTGTAGATAACTATACCAGAAGCTTATTCTTCAGCTTTGTTGATCACGCACGAGATATGCTTCTAAACTGCCCGTGATTAAACGGGCAAGGGGTGACTAGCGAGTTGACTACTTTCGGCGTCATGGCCTTCTGATCCATCGCTTGTGATCTCTCTGTTTTGATTTCATGAACCGACTTTGTCAACCAACGACGACGTGAACAAAGTGCCGAGTTATTATACCTCGTATAACGCGCTGTATGTCCCCAACTGCTGCCCGATGAAGGAGTCTGCTGCTCAAGTTGATGCCTGAAGACATATGGCAATGAACCCCGACGGCAAGCACAAGCACCATTCATCCATCCACCTAGACGGGGAATGATATCCCGAAAGACATATAACACACTGAAAAGACGATGCCAATGCAGAAGGTCCTCGCAGTATGAGGAAATTGTATCTAGACTCAGGCGAGACAGAACTGAGGTGCCTGCTTCTAACAACTACCTGTTCCGCCCGGCCTTCATGCTGAACACATTAGAATCATACCCGGCAGTACCTACTACTCAACGGCCAAGCGAAGTCCCGTTTCCAAAACAGAATCCATCGGAATTACTCAGACCGTAAACGGGAATATCTCCCAATGTAGCGCACGCGTTACTCGGGCGTTTACGACGAGCGAGTGCTCCAATCTACATCTCATCTCGCTTTTACAAAGTAATTACTTCAAAACATATAGTAGCATCTAAAAAGAGCCTTCACAGACTGCCGGAATACACAAGACGCAATATCATTCATGCGTCAGACCAAACTAGTTCTGCCTCCGGGGGAAGAGACCATTCCTAACGGCGTCCATTCCGCTCCTTATACTCATGCAGCCTACGGCAATGGTCAGACATACACTATTTACCGTCACCAGAAACAAACCGAACGCGTATGAGAGAAAGGCATCGCGGCTAACAACGGCCGATATTCTATAGCCATAAACACTTGTACTATCAAAACCTACCAGAAACGCCATCTCTACCCGTGTTACTAGCCAAAGGTATCAAACAATTGGTATCAAAAGAATACATACGCTCCCCCCTCCGACAACCTCACCTCACCGTAGACCATGAGCATGCCTCGGCGCATATCCGCTACAACAACACGCGTCATTACTCGCAAAGCAACACCCCCCGTGATCAGAACAGCAACAGCCGCCGTGTGCAGACCAACAACATCCATCCGTGTCAGAGAAAATGCAGCCTCCGCGGTCGGACCAACAACACCCGTCCCTGGACGAATAAATGCACCCGCCGGTATCACTGCATAAAAACCCCGGCTGGTCCTTGGTATGCGCCCACTTGCTGTCGTCGTCGTCGTCCTTGCTGGCGATGCTCATCGGGGCCGTCCTCCTGTATCCCCCCTCCCCACCACCACCACCACCACCACCACCACCACCACTACCCCCTTCCCTTGTCTGCTGCTGCGTCGTCCGATCATTCCCCAGGAACCCCGCATCCTCGTCCCTCACAGAACTAGTCGAGCTCCTCGCGCTGTCTGCGGACGGAAAAGTAGAAGGCGGGGGGGTGACGACGGTGGGAGCGGGTCCGGATGCCGAGGGGGTATACCCGGACGGCTCATAAGGGGGCGGTGGTATATCGTCGTGGTGTTCCCCCGCAATAGGCACAGTTTGCCGCTGCGAGTACCTCTGATTAAAGTCCGGGATCTTGGACGCCGACGTCTCGTTTGCCTTTGACGGCTCCATTTCTTTTTTGGGTTTCGTGTGGTGAAAAAAAAAAAGACCTTGCTCGATTACCGCGGGTGACCCGGCGCGGCCAGCTTCGGTTCAGTCAGATCGCGGGGGAAATGGAGAGGGAGATAGAGAGAGAGAGAGAGGGTCCCCCGGGGCAGCGCCAATTTTTTGCCTATTTCGGTGGAGAATTTTAGGAACGGGTGGTGCCACACGTCCGTACGTAATAAGTTGATGGCGAGACGTTTCAATCAAGTAATCTGATGGAGTCTCTTTCTGGAGATCTTTTAAGAAACGTGGATTCGCGGGGTAAAATGGATTCGATTGATAATTGTGTCAAACTGAAAAAAGACGATGCGCGGGATCCCGGGGTTGGTAAAATGGACGTCACTTGGATATATCTATTAACCCCCCGGTCGGGGCGGAAGACGTCTTGAAATATCATCAGGCTGTTTGGAGGACTCGTAATCCTCATGGTAGAATAAGGAAAATCTTACCCGATCGGGTAATCGGCAAGCAGCCCAGTGTTCAGTTCAAGGGTAAAGTGGCTTGATGCGTACCGAACGAGGGAAATGCCTTGCGTGGCGAAGTAGTGAAATGTCATTGGCACATTACCGAGATGGCGGCACCCAAAGGCTTACGACTGTTTCTGGGCTCACGCAGTCGGAGGCCGCTCATGCAACGGTAGCTAGAGAAACGTGCGACGGGTGCCATTGCAGCACTAATGTGTGGCAGCGGCACAGGTGCCGTTGTCGCCGTCAATTGATCGGCTTTCATCTGGCTGGTTCCTTTGGCAGTGAGAGAGCTTCTTACCAGGCTGACTAACCTTGCAGCCACGCCTGCAAACTCGTCCTTGCAGGGCTTCGAAAGCAACCACTGACTGAGCCTGGTATGCGGACGCGCATCCAGAGATAAGAAGCCGCCGTCGCATCGAGGCCTGTCCGGGAGCTAGGAGAAAGGGATCAAGCCAAGCTATCCTGCTGCAAGGCCTCCCGCACTGGTTGCGGGCGTTCAGCCCTGAAGACGACGTTGAAAGCGTTTCCTGCGCCCTAGATGACGCCTTATCAGCGCCCTCATCGCTTGGCCATAGCAGCTTGGGCGCTCGAATACGTTCCCAAGCCTTCGGCAGACTGGGAGCGGCAATCCTTTGCCCAGCGTCCAAGAGACAACAAGGCAGGGCGCGGGCGCAGGTGATTGTCCAGGGCCACGTTCGCCTTGCCGTCAGCTACGAACGCAAGAGCGACGGGATGGATGCTCTCGGCGCAAACAAGCTCTTGGGTTGTTCTTAGTTGCCTACCTTTCAGCTGGTGATGTTGAGGCTTCAAAGGACGACGAAACTTCATTTGGCTGCGCGAAAGCAACGTCTTAGCACGACTTGTTTGCTGGCTTGATGAAGTGGCACCGGGACCTCTCTTAAAGCGGGCCGACCACCTTCTGCTTCATCATCACCATTTGAACCTCCTTCTTCTTCTCAGCCCATCATTTCCCCAATGTCTTCGGAATTGTCCCTGATATCGGATGTAGATCAGTTCATGATAGGAAGTAACACACAGACTCTCCCAACAGCTCCCTCCCCATCAACAACTTCCGATATCAATATTATGGAGACCAGGGTGCGGGCGGTCGACATAAGATTACAGACACACTCCAGCGGGTCACTCCGCTACCTGGGAGACTGACCAACTTCGGACAGTCCGAACGCAGACGACCCTCGTCCCACTCAGGAGGTCGTCGTCCCACTGTTTGAGGAGATAAGAACCGAGGAAAGCAGAGGCCAACGCCTAACGCCAGTCATTACGTACGAGAAACTCATTTCTTGCACGAATGAGGACCTCTCGACCTTTACCCCAGAGAATGCTAATCCACCGCCGTGGATTGGACTTGTCTGGAGGCCTGTTGAGAAAAAAAGGAGCCGAACAAGAAGCTGCTGCTGTTCCCCACGGCCCACACCTGTTCGTGCGAAAGGGGGCGGCTGCTCCATGTGTCTGTATCAGTAGCTCTGCCTATATCTGTCTGCCGCTAACGTGAATTGTGGCATTTGCAAAGTGGAGAGCTTTCTTGTTCGCATGGCAAATGAGGGGTTTTTTTTTTATTTTGATCGCGAGTCGGTCGCAAATTCTGGCGAGTTCAGAGGCTGCGAAAGTAATATTTCGCTCACGATATCCACTTCCGCGATGGGATCCCTCCCGCCGTCAAGCTGCGATCCAAGAAGCCCTAGTGTCGCGTATTTGTTGGGCGAGTTCAATGGCCAAGAATTGGTCGAATAGTAAGCAGGAGGACAAGTATGTGTTCTTGATGATACAGCCAAGAAGGCATCCTGGAGTTCATTGCCATTTCTAGCAGTCCCTTCTTGCCGGGCCAATTTTGAATACGGGGCTACTCGGACTGCCGCGCCGCAAATGTGGATTGTTATGAATGTTTGCCGCTAGGGCAACAGTTGGGGTTGAGTTGGCGCTGCATCCGGCATCACATGCCCCCGGCTTCTTAGGCGTGACTACAGAATGTGGGAAAGCCTGCCGGTAGAGTGCCTGGCGGTAGATGGGGCCCTTTGTATTGGGAGCTGAATGATACCAGAGTAAGTCGATACATAGATATAGAGCATGTGGGCATACAGGGCACATAGAGAGGTACAGCACTTCGATAGCTCGAGAGATGGAGCGGCGCCAAACTCAGCGCTGGCCAGGAACTCCAGAGGAGCCCCATTTCGCCTTTACTTTCTATCAATCCCTATCAGCAGCACGATCCATTGCGACTGAGTCGTGCACCGCGTAGCGTGAGGAATACCAAGTCCCCCCTCCCACTGGCTATAGTGCGATTTCAATGCCTCGGATTGGGTGTAGAAACCCCGCTTGCGGTCTCACGCTCGGAATGCCTCCCTTGGGCAGCATGTCCTTGCTCGTTGGCACATACCCTCTTGGGAGTTTCCCCGAGTTCACCCCAATAAATATGGAGAGCCTTTCAGGGGTTCTTCGGAACAGTGGGCACTGGTGAAGCCAAGGTCAAAGTCGGCTCCTCATGGAGCATGGTTCAGTGCTCCAGGGCCGCTGCATCTCTCGCATAGATAAGGGATTTCGTCTCGAGTTTCCGTCTCTTTGATCTCGGAACAATAGATAAGGACTGAACGACTTCACATATACTTTTGAGGATGCGACTCTTTGGAGTCTCAGAGAGGCCATGATCGCCCCTCAGATTGACGAATCGAGACGCAATGAAATGGAAGCACGAGATTGGCCATAAGGACCAATAGAATAGCGCTAGAAGCTCGAGTGGAAGGACCTAATCTTCCCATGAGGCAATACTGACTGGGTTGTGCATGCCAACCTTTTTAGCCCCCGGCGGTGCCTAAGCAGCTGGCGCTAGCCAAGGGCAAAAGCATTTTACAGTGACGGTGAAGAGGGTGGTGGTATTGGGACAGCCATGTTGAAGGCGCTGTACAACGAGGGGAAGGCATCCCCAGCCGACCTCGTCTTATGGTTTTGCCACATAATACGGGCTTGGTGTATTGCTGAATTGTTGACTTACCGCATTGACTGCTAGTTCGAAACATGTCGGCAAATGGGAGGAGCCGGTAACCAGTTTCTGATCGAAGCACTGCCCATGGTACCTAACGCGCCGGGTACGATGTTCTTTATCATTAACACATCACCAGATGTCGTAGTTATGGCAAGATTTGCATCAGTCGTGGTGCTATCGCTGAAGGACTTGACTGTCTCGCCATCATCCCACGCCGCCCTATCCGAGGGCCTGCTAGGATCACTCCCGGATGAACCGTTGATGAAAAAAGAACCAGTAATCGGTGGTCACAGATGGCGACAATGTGCGGTATTCGAGATAGGGTCTACACCGGCGACGACGCGGCGCTGTCGTATATACCGTGCAGTAACTGACAGATATCACCTGTGGGGTGGAACCCAATCTCCCACACTCCCTTGCACATTGCAGAAGTCCCGTCCTAGGTTACTCGTTTCCGAAACAAAACGCAACACGCCTAGATGACCCGGGTCGCAGCGATCTGACCTGGAAGAAAGAAGGTCTTGCTGGCTGCCCTAATGTCAGTTAAGAAGTCCAGAGAAACATGCCAGACGAAATCATAATAGATGAGTTAATCATGACTATGATAGCTGGCGTCGCTAGCAAGCCACAGGGCCTCGAGGAGGAGGCGACAGTGAAAGCCAAAGGTCAGGAGCGCTATGCGGTGGCCCTGTACCGCTGTCCTGCACGACGTCGGGGGTCATGCAAGGATGAGGGAAACCTGGGGCGGCCAAGATCGGCCACGGCCCACCCACACATGCATACCCGGACTAGCCACCTGTCTGCAGCAGGTTAAGCCAGGAAGTTCAGTGGTGCTTGGCGATTCGAGGAATGGCAGCAATTGTCCGTAGATACCGTGCCGAGTCTGGAGGGACCGCTGCAACCCAAGACAGGAAGCCGGCTTGGATGGCTTGTGGCTTGGTTGCGACATTTTTCTCCCGGGAGCCTCTTCAACGTCGAGTTTCTCAAGCCATATCGCGTGGTAGGCAAAAAAACGTGGATCATTTGGTCCATCTCAGCGCACTCCGCGGGGAGCTCCTCGGAGAGGTTTCCAAGGTCTTGGACCTGGACCACTGGCTGGCCCCCTCTAGCGTTCCCCTCATGCTGCCTGAACACCCCCCAGTCCGGACCCAAAGACTCGTGCTCTCTTCTCCACTTCCACCTCAGTCCCACCATCGAGTTTGAGGGGATGAAGGCCAAATGGATCCTCAGATAACATTGAGGAGACAGCGACAGTGGGTGGTGGGAGGGCCGACCACTTTTTTCGGGGCCATTTGCTAACGGCTTCAAGTGACACCTTGCACATTGGCCAACCAGCATCGCCGGCGCTATCTGCACGCTCCAAATATTCAATCGCCCGGATGGGGCGTTGCTGGTGGAGCGAGTCTGGAGAGCAGATTGCCAATCCGGTCCTGTGGCCCTCGTCTCCTCTTCTCCTGTCCCCCGGACCATATGTCGCGTCGTCCAGCCCTCCATTTGCTGTGAGTTGCGACGGCGAATGGTGCGTGGGTGCATGATGACGGTATCTGTCTGTCCCTTTCGTCGGCCAAGAGTGGCTTCTTTGTATCCACGCCTTGATCCCTCGTTAGCGTGCCATGCATGTCGGATGGTTAGTTGTCCGCCTAACCTCGCCTCAGCTTGCCCAAGTGCCAGGCAAAAGATCTGATGTAGCTTTTGCTCGTTGCCGCTAGGCCCATGAGGGTACGTATTCGAGGCGCGAACCAAAAGCCAAAATCGCCGCCATCCCACCATACAATAGTATGCGACAAGTAACGGGGTCGTTGTCCAGGATGGCCTGCCACACAGCCCGTCCCTGCCAGGATCTGCGTCTCTCTCCCGATGAGAAAGAAGAGAGAGAGAGGAGGGGGTACAGAGACGGAGGGATAGTCAGGTCCATCACAGGGCCAGCCCCAGTCCTTCGCCTTCCCTCCTGGTGTGTAATTTTCCATCGCCAACGGAATGCAGCCTGCCATGCACAAGTGATCCGCTTGCCGCCCTTGACCCAAACCCTGAGTCCTTGCACTCTTGTTTTCTCTCGATCTGATTTCCTTCAAAAGGGCCTCGCATCCCCCGTCCCATCTTGTCTGACGTGGTTTGGCATCCCTCTCTCTCCTCTTTTCATCCCTCTCGGGTCCTACTCCCGTAATCTTTCTTTTTTTTGCGACAGACGATCGAGTCTGCCAACCCCCAACAGTCTTGAGTAATACCAGCCTTCAGAACACTTCACCGTCATGGCTGCTCAAGATGGGGTCACCCCCGTCAAGGTGCTCGAGGCCGATGAAAAGGCTACTGGCAGCCTTCCTGGGTACGAGAGCGGCAGCGGAAAGGCTGTCCGCGGAGACATTAGCGAGGAGAGCTGGGCAACCCGCAACGGCTTGAACTTGGAATCGTTCAAGAAGCGTGAATATGGTCGTGGCATTGTCGAGCTTGACCGTTCCATGAGCAAGCGACACTTGCACATGATCGCCATCGGTGGTTCCATTGGTGCAGGTTTCTTCGTCGGTTCTGGTGGTGCTCTGAGCAAGGGTGTAAGTTTCCTCCATCCGTACTTCAACAGCGCTTGACGAGCCATCTTCTGATACACTGTACAGGGTCCCGGTGCTCTTTTCATCGACTTCTTGCTCGTCGGTATCATGATGTTCAACGTCGGTAAGTACTCTGAAAGTATCCTCCTCCGCCGAGTGCAGCACTGACGTGCAACAGTGTATGCCCTTGGTGAACTCGCTGTCATGTATCCCGTCTCTGGTGGTTTCTACACGTACTCGACCCGGTTTATCGATCCATCCTGGGGTTTCGCTATGGGCTGGAACTATGTGTTCCAGTGGGCCATCGTCCTTCCTCTCGAATTAACAGTATGCGGTCTTGTCGTTGGATATTGGAATGACACTATCAGTGTCGCCGTCTGGATTGTCATATTCCTTGTCGCCATCATCATCATCAACATCTTTGGATCCATTGGATACGCCGAAGAGGAGTTTTGGTCCTCGTGCTTGAAGCTCGGTGCGACTATCGTTTTCATGATCATTTGCTTCGTCCTCGTCCTTGGCGGAGGTCCTTCCAGCGGCCGCTACAGCGAGTACCAGGGCGCCAAGCTGTGGTACGACCCGGGTGCTTTTCGCAACGGCTTCAAGGGTTTCTGTTCCGTCTTCGTCACCGCTGCCTTCTCCTTCTCCGGAACTGAGTTGGTCGGTCTCGCTGCCGCTGAGGCGAAGAACCCTGTCAAGTCGCTGCCCGGTGCTATTAAGCAGGTGTTCTGGCGTATTACCCTCTTCTACATTTTGGGTCTGTTCTTCGTCGGTCTGCTGATTCCTTCTGACGACCCCTCGTTGCTGTCTGAGTCTTCCTACTCCGATGTCAAGGCCTCGCCCTTCGTACTGGTCGGCAAGTATGCTGGTCTCAAGGGCTTCGACCACTTCATGAATGTTGTTATTCTCGTATCCGTTCTGTCAATCGGTGTCTCGGGCGTGTACGGAGGATCGCGTACCCTCACTGCCCTGGCTCAGCAGGGTTACGCGCCCAAGATCTTTACCTACATTGATCGCTCTGGCCGCCCCCTACCGTCGGTCTTGGCTATTGTCATTTTCGGCCCCTTGGCTTTCATCAACCTCAGTGCTTCCGGTCCCGTCGTGTTCGACTGGTTGCTGGCGCTTTCGGGTCTTGCGGCTGTTTTCACTTGGGGCTCCATTTGCCTGGCACACATTCGCTTCCGCAAGGCTTGGGCTTATCACGGACACACTGTCGATGAGATCCCCTTCAAGGCCATTGGTGGTGTTGTCGGTTCCTGGATCGGTCTCATCCTCTGCTTCATTGTGCTTGCTGCACAGGTATGTTTTTATCCATGACAAAAAGAAAACGTAAACGCAGTCGCTGACATTGATAAACAGTTTTACACTGCCATCGCCCCTCCTGGCACTGACAAGTTAAACGACGCTGAAGGCTTCTTCAAGTCGTACCTTGCCCTCCCTGTTGTGATCATTTTCTGGATCGGTGGTTTCTTCTGGAAGCGCACTGGCTGGCTCCGAACCTCCCAAATGGATGTCGACACTGGTCGACGTGAGCTTGACTGGGACGAGATCCATGCCTACCGTGCGCGTCTCGCCGCCATGCCCGCCTGGAGGCGCGTACTTAACCATGTGTGGTAGACGGAGAAATCATCTCATAATGAGAAGGAGTAATCGACTGGCTCATGCAGTGTTCGTGCGGCACTTACGTCCATGAATGGCATCTTGCCTTTCCATGTACATTGTAATACATGACACTCGTTACCTGGCGGTGTGTCTGCGGGAACACATGTTCCTCTCTAGTATTTCGTTAGCAGTTTAAGATACCACGAGTGTTTTTCACCTACCACATTTCCAAGTGCCATTAAATGGAGTTGCCAGTGTATGAGCGAGGTGTGTTGCTTCTGAAAGATGACCCTTTTGTGCGTGGCTTTCGACATCAACATGTCGTGTCAGAGGATACGCGTTGCTGTCGGTGAAGCCTAGTGATTTGTGTCGTGGGGGTAACGGCGCCTGTGGTCGTCTTATATGCCAGACAGTGGCTACCCAAGAAAGCCAAGAAACAACTCTCTTATCTCTGCAGACGATGCCTGTAACGTTGGCGGCATAGGCTAAAAGGCAATGCATCTTGGGAGACAGGGCCCTGCCGAATGAAATCCTGTGGTCGGTCTTGGAGTCTTGGTGCGTTTAGGGGGGGTTATCTTGGGCGATTCGCAGGTAGATAACGCCAGATGACCAGGAACAGCAGGTCCGCCAGATACCATGGTGTGGCCGCAATCGCAGATGGTTGGCTCGGTTGGATATGTATCTCTGGGCGTCGGGGGGGTTCTATCAGAATAACCTTGAAGGAGATTCTAGCCGGATATAGTGATTTCTCCTCCTTCTTTCGCAGGGCCAAGGGCTCGAGACAGCTGCAGCAGGATGTTGAACCTTTCCAGGCTGGGGTAGATTGCGGGGGATGGAGATTGGGGGGTTGTCGAGGAGTTGATTTACAACGTATTTAGCTCATTGATGGTTGGGGCTTGGCATGCTGTAGATATCGGATGTCGAGCCCGAAATGAAGAGGAGTTAAAGCTAGGTAGTTGGCGATAACAGTTAGTGGTGTTGTAAGGGTGGAGGAATGTTAGAGAGAGTAAAGCACGTCAGGAACCCCCCCCCCCCCGTCCTCCTTCCCCCCAGGCAAGGACCGATACCGCTAGTGCAGTGTTCCTGCCCGCCACGTTTCTTGGTCGAATAGAGTATCTCCGCTGCGTAACATTTGGGGGGAAGGCACGATTGGCAATTGAAATTTGTATTGAGGAAACAAGCACCCGAACCACCGGTGGTCGTTACTTCCCTCGAAATTTCTTTTCTCCCCCCTTCTTCCCCATTTGGTGAGAACGCGAAAGAGGCGCCTTCCACCTTTTTAAAGGGCGTCTGATTTAGCGCGGCAGGGTGTCAAAAACGCCTTGTAAAGGGCGCCCTTCAGCACCCACAAAGTCAGTTCATGGCCCCATTGTCAGCTGCCATTCTGGCGCCCTTTGAGGACATTTCCCCCACAAACGCCCCGCTATCACCCAGGTTGACCCCCACAGGACCCTCTGAGAAATTTCCTCTTTCATCTGTAAACCGATGAAACCCGCGTATGTTAGCCTTTCTCACAATAAAACCCACTCTATATAACTACACAATGCTCATGCCATCTCACTTTTCTCTGACTGTTTTTCATAATGCACGCTATCTTCCTCGTCAAGTGTGTGATTTAGCGACTTCCCAATCAGAGTCCCAATGTCGTAGGTATTGCACCAACCGTGAAGAGGGCTTAGGATTTGATGTTGGCTCGAAATACGGCATACTTGGATAACCTATCCGTGATGTCCGGAGACCCTCATCACCGAGAAACATGTTTATTCTCAGACGTTGCTCAACACTGCTGGAAACGCGGCCTCTTTTCATCGTCAGCTAAGTCTTGACGAGAGCCCGTCATGATGGGAGGGTCAAGGTAGTAGCTACCTAGGAACAGACTCGGACGATGAAGACGCGTTACTGATGGTACTCGACATGATGGCGAATATATTGATCTGAAGACTCGAGAATGCTTCGAGAAACTAACATGGACTGATCTGTGAAACTCAAATCTGCTTGATAACCAACGGACATTGGTTCAGGCAGTTTCGTGTAGAAAGAAGAGGTAGAGGTGCTGAAGACCTAGATATACCCGAGCCTACATTAGTTCACAATCCATTGCAAGATTAATGTGATTAATCCCTCCGAACGCATATCCACACCACCAATACTGCATATCAGCCTAAAAGCAAGAAATGGAGGAAATGAAAAGGACAATCTCCCTTCTCATCATCCTTTCCTACACTAAAACGGCCGGCCTATCCACAAACCTACGGCGCACGGCCGACCCCAACGGCGTGAAATTTAAGTGGAGACCCGCATTCGGACAAGTGGGTCCTCAGCCGCAGTGCGCCCCCGAGTTTTACGCAGCCGCGCAAAACTCCCGTGGCTCAAAACGCGCCCTCATAAGGCGCCAGTCCCAGGGGCCCCCCATCGGCTTCCATCTGCTACACCTGTGCATGTGCATTCTGGCGCTCAGTTTTGTGAATAGCACATGTCTCGTTACATCCTACATTCAACCGTTCCTCGGTCACAAGGCCCATTTTCTCACATCTTCCCCGCTCTTGACGTGGCCTCATCTGGGATAAGGGAGCAACTATGAGCCCCCCACCGCCGGAGAAGGGCAAGGTCCCCGTTGCCGGCGACAGGACTTCGTCCGGCGCCGATGGCCGTCCCCGTGCCCGCGATGATTCAATTGATCCATCAGAATCTGACCTTAACGCATCCGAGAATGCGGTGGTGGAGCATGTCGAACCTGGATTTGTAAGAGATGGATCTAATCTCCTCGAGACTCCAAAGGCGGACGCGACTCAAGAGTCTAAGCATCAGGAAAGAGACCAAACCACGTTGCCGAAGGTCGCTGGCGGAGGTCGACTGTTGAGCGACATGGAAGGCTCTTCAGAGGGAAGTCAAGCCAATGATCAAAGCCAAGAGTCAACCACGCAGGCATCACAAGTGCAGGCACTTTCGGCTGCTGACTCTCTATCCGAATACAACAACCGCAAATTGGGAGGTGATGACGGCAGCGCAAGTTCTCAATCCGGTGATGAAGTATCTCGCTCCAAGGTAGAGGCATTGCCATCCGCCACGGATGACCGCTTCGAAGATGCAGCCAATGCCCTCGCGCTAGGAAACGACGATGAAGTTGCGACAGCCCAGTATGCTGCTTGGTCGGAACCCCCAGTTACGGTCAAATCATTACATGCCGACGACAGCTCACACAGTGCCCAAAGTCGGGGCCACTTGAAAACAGGACAGATGTCACCGTCAGCCAACGCCCAGGGGACAACAACCAAAGACCAGGCCTCGAAAGCCGAGAGTAATTCTGCCAGCACTGACGACGAGGATGCAAACGGACGCGAAGACCCATCCAAGGCGGTCCAGAGAATGATGGTAGACAGGGTCATGTCTTCCTTTATGGATTGGCTTGACTTGAAGTTGAAGGTGAAGGAGGAAGATGAGAAACCGCTGAGATTGCAAGACATCAAACCCGAACCTGTATCTGTTGCAAGCACTTATCAGCCACAAGATATGCCTATCCCGGAAGCATCGCCATCCAGGAGAGCATCTATCAAGCAGCTACCTGTCCCGCCGCCTCCGAAGAGGATGATGGCCGCTCCCCGGCCTCCACCGGCGGTGGAAGTGGCAGAACGCTCTTCACGGTCTACGCTTTTCGCTCGGATGAAGCGAAGCAAGAAGGAAACGGCTCCGCTGGCTCCCCCTCCACCACCGGTAGTACCTCCTGCCGATGCCTTTGGTTCCTCCCGTACATCGACGGGAGAGGAAGCAACGAAGAAGAAGAAGAGTTTGAAGACCGGATCATTACTAGGAGCATCTCCCTCGCACGGCACAGAGAAACTAGAGCAGGAGGGAAAACGGTCCAGGCTAAGAGGCTTACTGGAGAAGAGGAAAGTCAAAGAGCCCGAAGGCGTCGACCTGTACGACGTCTCACCCATGATCGCTCCCTCTTCACACTTGGCCCAGCGTTTTTCCCGGCGTCCGTCATCAGATCAGTCTGGCTATGCACCGAACACACCTCAACGCTCCCAGTCTGGGGTACAACCTAGTCATCTATACGCACCGCAAGCACCGCAAGCACCACCAGCACCAACAGCACCAGCTGCCCCAGCCGCTCTTGTGCCTGTACAAGCTGCACCACCGCCACCTCCGGGCGGTAGTAGAGAACTCGAAGCCCAGGTTTCTTCCTTTGACAAAGACAAGAATAGGAAGGCTGAACCTCCAGTTGCCGCCATTCAGGACTGGACTGAGAGCATGAAGGAGTGTGAGGAAGAGGATGACGAGGAGAGTGTGGATCTTTCACTTGATTTTGCTGTATTCGATGACGTCGAGGATTCTTTTGCCGGGGTATCGTATGCACTGCCAACAGAGAGATCCGTTGCCCCTGATTACATGCAGCCTCCGATGTTGCAGTCAGCAGTACCGCTTACTGTGGCAGCTCGGACAACAGCACCTCGGGGAGGTCCACAACCTGATACTAGTCGCCAGCCACAACGAAAGAGCCGCAAAGCAGGTTCGTCGGCTGCGAAGCGCGACAGATCGAACGACGAAAGTAAGGAGCAGGAAGGTGAAGGTAACGAGGACGAGGATGGGAACCAGCTGCCTCGTGCCAAGCTGCCGAGGGTCCAGGAAGACAAAGTCAGCGGCGCGAAATTGGCCTGCCCATTCTTTAAGCACAACCCACGCAAGTATAAGAACATGCGTCCGTGCTGTGGTCCGGGATGGGACCACGTCCACCGTATTAAGTAAGTACACTCCCCTCACCAGTCTGTAGAAACTGTACTTACTCGTTACAGGGAGCACATCTATCGCAAACACTCGCTTCCCAAGTTCTCCTGCCCGCGCTGCTCTCAGCCATTCGAGACACAGGCGGATCTCCAAGCCCATGCTCGGTCTCCTGACCCCTGTGAAGTCCGCGAACCGGAGATTTTGGATGGCATCACGCAGGACCAAGAAAAGAAGCTCCGATCAAGGAAGAAGACGACTGTGAAAGAACTCACGGAAGCGGAGAAGTGGGCACAGGTTTACAGCATTCTGTTTCCTGACGTTCGGGAACGGGAGATACCGTCGCCTTGTAAGCTGATCTTCTTCCCCAAACGGCAAGCTTCATTCACTAACTACTTCCAGATTACACCACAGAAGACGCGCAGACAACCCTCGGCGGCTACGAGGACTACCTACGCCGCGAACTCCCGCCTCTCGTTCGTCGCCAACTCGAGAAGGAAGTCGAGCGCGAACTGAGCTTCGTCGAGGAGGGAATGAAGCAGAAGGTTATTGAAATTGCGAGAAACCTCCAACTCACGCTCTTCAAGGGCTACCAGCAATTGGAAAATCAAGAACGGGGCACTGAAGGACCGTCACCTAGCATGGGCGACGTCTCGGGCTCGGAATCCGGCGGCTACTCGTCTTTTGCGACGACAAATACTTCCCCTTCGACGATGACGACGCAGGGCACGACCCCGGAAGTACCCGACCCGCTGGAGATATTCAGTGATCCTGCGATTCCGGATTTTGACTTTGGGTTCCTTTCGCAGGTTCCGTACCCGTCATCTGAGGGCCAATCCAAGGCTCTGGGATCCGAGTTTGAATTCATCAACATGTCCGGGATCCCGGAGCAATCCACTATCCAGCCTGGAATGGAGTTTTTCCCCGGGCAGCAAGTTGAGTTACCCTATTACGGGACGGAGGGTTATGATGATGGCCAGGGTAGAGCGACGAATGTCAACGCGCTCAGTTATGTGCCCTGAGGTAGAGCCTACTCTGCCAATGTTTTCTGAGATACCCACATGAATAGTCAATTCGATGTCTGCATGATTGATGGCCCTTCCTTTCGGTTTTGTCAATAAATTGTACAGTGAAGCTCTATTCACTCGCATAAACATAACCCGTATAGTCCTACCAATTCTGAAACCAAAGTAAGACAGTGCCAACAAAAAAAAAAAAGACTTCGACAATCTGACATTACGACTCAGGGAATGTAGATGTGCCCTCTGCTAGGAGTCCCTTTCACCAGACATTGGTCTGGGGAGATAGTAAGAACAACCTATTTGAGTGTTGCGGCCGGTGACGCGAAATATTAGGTTGCTGTCCTCCGTCCTTGTGGCTTGTTACATGTATCAACCAAGGACTTTTCACTTTGTTCCTAATTCCCTACATATGACTGAGATTGCGCAGACATGCGTACATATGACACCCCGCAGCCCTTACCGCAAGCGTAAGAATCGTTTCAACGATAGGTGCTTGTTATGCTTCAGCTATGGTGTGTTCCAACGTCGCACAGCCGATGCATACGCTCAAACAGCCGACCAACGCCCTGTTCCTGGATTTCAACTTGACGCAAATCGAATTGACAAAGGCTTCTCATGGTTTAAGGGCTCTTATCTACCAGATATGACCCCAATGATACTACTAAAAAGTTCAGTCACATACCCGATGAGCTTTCAGAACACCACTCTTGTCATCAATCTTAAAGGTGGACAGTTTGGCGAAGCTTACCACGTCTTGCTCTTACGCATCCTTCTTGGTTTCAATTCCGATTCATCAGTCAAGCTCCATGTGAACTTCGACTTTAACGCCGCCAACGCCGAGGGCACGGAAGAGGACAAGGAAAGGAACAAAAAGTCGCTCCAAGAGATTAAGAGCCTCTTTAACTGGTACGACCGTCCACGGGAAAATTCCACAAGAAAAGACAAGCCCGAGGTAAAAGCTGCAGGCGACGATGCCAAAAGCCTTGGGACTCGCATCATTGCTGCTGCTTTCAGAGCTTCAAACGACAAGGGATGTTACAAGAGACACAACTATACGTTCGACACACAAGCCGGCACATACATCCCCGATCAAGGGGGGATATCTTACCTGATTAGGAGAAGCCTCGACTTGGTTGAAAGGGAGTACTCTGCGCGGAGTTTTGACAATCATGAAATAGCACCCAGTAATATACGCTACTTTCAACCTTCGTACGCAGCAAAATACTGGCTAAACCGGTATTTCCGGCTTACAAAACAATTCAAGGACAAGCACGAGTATGAAGAAAAGAAGAGTAGAAAAAAGAAGAAAGATGATAGAGATCCTAAAGACGAGAAAGCTGTTCACCTCAAGAATACTCGGGACGACAAGAATGCAGTTGATCCGGACGACTCCGACTGGCCACATGACTCCATGGGCATGCCCAAGCTTGCCACTATTGATAATCTAGCTGTTGTACACGTCCGAAACAGTGTACCACGTAACAGTGAAGTCGGACGCTTGATGGACCGAAAGAACTTGGAGTATGTTCTTGAGTCTATCAAAGAAACTAACAAGCTTTGCAGCTTATGTCCTACCGAAGAAAAGCTCCCTCCTCGTCGGTTTTCGCATGTCATGGTATGTCGAAAGAGGTTTCTTCCAATAGTCAAGCTCATCAAAACGACGAATTCTCATTTTTTTTCAACGTCCAACATATGTAAACCAGAAACTTGTTCTAATCACTGAATTGGCAGCTATACGGCGACTTTGCCTATCTTGAAGGTGAAGAGTACCAAAAGAAGGCCGCGGAAATCCTGGATGGGGTGCATGTGTCATTTATATGCCGACCGTGGGAATCGTCCTCCAAGACCGCTCAATCCAAGACACCCAACTCATACGAACCCGATGAGAAAAGTCTTGCACAACAGGTTGACGATCTATGGGCGAACTTTCGCAATTTCAACATTGATAGGCTTCCAGTACAGGTGAAGATCCTTGGCATATGGAAAGTGTTGAAAGACCGTTATTCTTCACAAGTCTGTGTCATCGGCCATCGCTCAGGCTTTATAGAGGCCGCCGCAATTATCGGCATACCCGTCTTCTACTTGAACAACGAGCGCATAGACATCGACAAGGACAACAAGCTTCGGAATGGAGAATTTCTTTGGAAAGCCGCCGTAGGAGAGCCAAAAAGGCTTCGGGAATTGTCAGACCAAATGAACACGTTGATCCCAGTAGAAGCTCTGAAGAATAAGGCCGAGAAGGATGCTGACACCGACAGGGAAGTGTTTCGAAAAGACGAAAAGTTCAAAACGGAGCTAAGGGCGGCTCTTTTCATGTTTATGAGCTGTCAAGTCCCCTGGGAATATTGGGGGAACATGCACCCTAGACCAGCATGGCTAGCCCGAGTCAAGCTGATCCACGATGAGGACGGCCCTGGCAAAGCAGGCCCAGGTCAGAGATGGTTGCAGAAAAAATGGGAGCTTGCTACTCAGCCCTTGGAGACCTTTGATCCCAAGGCATATTCATGGGAAACGGTGCCAGGTTCTATAGATTTGTGGTAGAACGACTGATCTGTTTGGTAGATGAAAGACGAGGAACTTTATTTAAATACTTGGCAAGCGCTGCATCGTTACGAAATCAAGGAAAGCCTTTAATTTGAAAATGATTTTTGTGGAAATTATCCCAGAGAAGCTGCAAAAGGAGGCGGATAGAGCAGTAATGAAATCATAAAAGAATGAGAAGCATAAAATAGGATATCAAGTAAATGTAGAAACGGTAATGAATCTTCCTCGTGGGTTGCCATGGTGCCTCAATGGAACAGAAATCCATTTTAGGCCCAAGGCGTTTTGGTTTGTTCAGCATTGATCTAGCATCTTCAAACAAGTTGATCACTTCCACGGAATTTTCTAGTAAACATCGAGCTCAACTCTTAACTACGGACCCTTTTCTTTTGTCAAAGTTACTCCAGGTGATAATAAGTCCGCTAATCTTATACTACAGTATTCAATTACATGTTCCTCGAATAAGAGGAATAGACCTCGGCCGAATTACACATACTCCGTGCAGATGGCATCGCTGCCGATATCCATAACTTCGGCAATAGTGATGTTGTCGGCAGTTCCAGCGACCCATAGGATATGGTTCAGGGTGGTAACGTCACCGTTATCGCCGAAGTAAGGAACGAAAGCGGCCTCGGGGAGGATCTTGGGCTGCATAGAAGAGAGCAAGGCACTGGTGGCCACGTTGGGGCCGCCCATGTCGGTAAGGCGGGACTCGTTCTTAACCTGCCACTCCCACCAGATACGGTCCAGGTTGGTGTGGTGCATGAAGAACATGGGGTCGGCAGGAGAGAGAGAGGCGTCATCCATCTTTGATTCTTGTTAGCGTTTGTTCTACATGATAGTGATACTGAGTAACAAATGGCAGACTTACAGTGCCTCCGATGGCAAAGTGTCCAGAGGTATGCGTTGCGCCGCCGATGCAGTTGTTAAAGTCGTCGTAGGTCTGAAGGTCATTGCAAGCGTCGACGATCTCCTGTGCGGCGTTCTCGAACTGGTTCTGCTTCAGATCGTAGTTCAGGCACTGCGACTCGCCTCTCTCAAGCTGGTAGTTGATGTTGTAGGTGACCTTGGTGAAGGGGCCATCAGCAAGGCAGCCATCAGCAGTCCTAGCACCGGTGCCGAATGAAGTCGCGGGATCAGTGCCCCAGATGCTAGCCTCCGTAAGAAGGCCATTCGCCTCATCAGTCTGCTGATCCCAGTAGCTATATATGGAGTTAGCCACTTTACTGCGCTGTGGCATCCCAGTCTATGGGTTGGGAGCAAACTCTTACGGGTAGGGTCCAGTGAAACCGCACTCGTTGCGGAGGAGGTTCTCGTGGACCGTCATGAAGTAACGGTGCCACGGGAGGAAAGCGCCCTGAGCCAAATATTAGACAAAATAATTCTTAGACTTGGGTACGATCAAATGGGCTCCTACCACACGGTGAATGAACTGGACTTGGGCAACGTGAGCAACCTGAAGCTCATCCCAGCGAGTCTTGGAACCGGCATAGTTGGTCTTGGATGGCGACTGGGCAGGGTCCATTAAGCAAAGCGTCGACTGGATGTACTCCGCCTTCTCAGCATTTGTCATTGCAGCCCTGTCGAAATAAATGGTCAGCTTAGGTGTTTGGGTAAGAAGTGTGTATTCATCGCGAAGACACGTTCCAAGTTGACGTACCATGACTTCCGTTGGGTAGGGTTAGTACAAGCAGCAGAGGTAGCTTGAAAAGCACCAAGAGCCACAGTGGCGATGAAAGCGAGCTTAGCCATTGTCCGAAGCGGCAGAAAGGAGTGATTATGGTGTTGTTGGAGCGAGTGACTGAACGAGTGTCGAAGTCCGGTAAAAGAACGTTGCAGCTTTGAGTGAGTGACGAGGCACGATGGCTTGAAGGTTGAAGGCAAAACCAGACTTGGTGTTTGGAAAAAGCTCAGTCTTATACGCAAAGCAATACTCCCTTCACAGGTTCGTCGGTCAAAGTCTTCGTGACCCCCATTTCATGCAATGACTCGATTATCGAAGATATCGCCCTTTCTGCTGATGTTGGGCTATCCACCACTGTGCAGGGACGAGGGGCCTCTCGATGAAGATTCTCGATTTAGCTGCCAAGTATCGCGATTTCGGCGAAAGCCGTTACCTGTGATGGTCATGCGGTGGAAACGATTAGGTTCATGACTTGTGGCAAGGAGGATAGTGTCAATGCGAACCTGGAGATACCATATCTGCATGTCCAAATTGGATCAAGTTTTCCATCACACCTTTGGTGGACCCTAACTATCCTCCATGAGGAGTCCAAGGCCGTTGGATGTATGAATTCAAGGTCGGTGATGCAGAGGAAGCGGGCTTCGCCGTTCTGTTGCACAACATATTACCTTGATCCTTTGCCTCCACAAGGGTGGCTGCGGGTGGACCATGTAGCTTGGCCGAGAAAGCTTCCCCTTTTCAGGCTGTCTAGTAGTGATCGAGTGTGACGGGTCACATTCGTTCGGAAGCCAAGAGTTTCCTGGCGGCAATATTTGCCGTCACAAACTGTAACGACACCTGCACCTGAGACCACAATATCTGGAGGGTTCCACTGCAAATAGATCGCAGACTCGGCTCCAATTCGGTGACGAAAAACCAAGAAGAAAACCACAAGATAAGTGAGGAAGAAAGACGAACCGGAAAAAGAGCTTGCCATATCATGAGAACTAAAAAAGCGTTCACTATGTTCATTAGTTCCTGGCATGTTTATTTGGTCAATTCGAAAAGTTTTGATCTACACCACAGAGTGTTTGAACAGTTATTCATATCATGAAAAGAACCTGGCCGTGTCCACATTCCCTCTCATGACTTTGTGCAGTGCCTCTATGCATTTTAGAGCCTCAGCGAGCGGCCCCGTCTATTTCTCCTTCCCCACACACTGAGCAGTTCAACTTGGATATGGGGCACAGTGGGTATACTAAGAAGTATATGGCAAGTCAATCGTTAGGTGAGGGGGCGCATGGTCAACTTGTACACAAAGTAGTAAGGGCGACGTATGAATATGGGGACATAGTCAGTCATTTACCGCGCGGTTGGGGAATCGGCCGTGCTGTCACAACTACAGCTTGACCTCACATTTGAACAGACAGGGGACCATGAATAAAGGGAATAAAACAGGGGAAACTAAACCGCCGGTGGATAGCTAATGTTAGTTGAGTAATCATAGTATATTGCTTCTCACAAAGTCAGATGCAAAGATCCGATTACCAAGCTTTAGCTTTGATATTCTAGGTAATGTTTTGTTGTTTAACTAGGTTAAACATCAATTAGCGTCATGCAATGCTACGCTCTGACAGACTTTTGCTAGGACTATAGATTGGAGCGGAACATGAACAAATCAAGGCGGATCACTCCATGTATCACTGATCTCTCCCGCTCGGAACATGGCCGCCTGATTCTGGGTCATTCCGGGTCTCCAGCATAAACCCCACACCCCCCAATCTTGGTATGGTATCTCTACCGCTCGATGCTCCATACGCATTGTAACCCATACCATTGCTCAGGGCATGCATAGATGGCATCACACCAATAAATTACAGCAGAGCTTTACTGGTATCCGAGAGACTAAAGGATTCTAATCACAATGTATATTCATATTCATTAGAGAAACAGTTTGCAAAGCTACGCAATCGCCCCCAAACTGGTTAAGGCAGCTTTGACACCACGGCCACCAAGCTGTTTGCGTAACATCACCGTGCTGTGCTGTTGATTGACGTGATCTAGCCCCTGTTCGCTGGGTCCGGAAAAGTCGATTGCCCCCAATGCAACTACCCCTAATTCGACTGCTGCCAAGTGAACTATCGCCGCGTCAGCTATGTTCCTCACCTGTCCGCTGTATGCTGTGGTTGCATTTAGCTTCAGTTAAGGATAATCTCCCGTTCCTTGCAACGGTGACACCCAGAGCACATGCTGATAGTGCTTAGGCTTGGCTTTGGATTGCTCGGAAAAGTCGAGACCCGGAGCGGTATCCATGACAAGTTAGTCAACGGTTTCTTCTGTTCCGCTAGACGCGCGTACATAATATATGCATACTCATTCGTATGTGGAAGTTTAATGGTTGGGGTTTAGCTTAGTAATTTCGATTCAGTGAAAGGGTTACCACCCGACACCCGCACCAATTTGCTTCCGTTAGCGTACTTGAAGTATTCCGATCTAGAGCAGGTGATATATAGCGTTATGGCTCTTTGATCCAGAATGAAACTTCATCAGAGTTGGGCGCGGCGTCTTCACATAAAGAACACGCGTAGCAAGAAGTAAATGGCGTTACAGTCATTGAACCCTCCCAAATCCGAACCTCGCTTCTTGGAGTTTAAAAATGCTATAAACCCAAGAACGGATTCTTTCGAGCTGCAGAAATGTCAGATAAACTTAAAATGACTCTTTACTGCAAAAAGGTTTGCGCCGAAGAAATCTTGAGGCGTTTAGAAAAAATGACCATGCTACACTGATCATCTTTAGCTGCCTGTAACAATCCAGTTACGTTAGCAATGAATTTGTTCTGACCAATGATACTTGACGTGATGCTTGATTGCTCTAGTACTTCTAAGCAGGGATTGGTTATGGTTGGGCGGTGATAGGGTGGCTACAGAGTGTGGTGGGATAGTCAACGGGTGAAATATGGAGTCCTGGAACTCGCTTTCGGGTCTGTTCCGCTGTTAGCTTTTCCCAATCTCCTCCTCCCCTGTCTCACATGAGACCCCTGTCACCCTCGCCGCTCCTAGCGGATTAATCTATTTCCCCCAACTACTTTAAAGTAAGGTAGCATAAGAGGTTCACGTCAAACTAGAACAGAACGGTTAGCAAAGCAATGTATCGGGCTATGTAAGAGTGAAGATAATACCAGCTTTTATGCAGTTGAAATTGGTTCTGCTCCTAATGAGCAACATGAATTAGATAAGTCGCGCGGTAACCGGGAGAAGAAGCCAAGTTATACCTCCCTTGCGGATGTACGTTGGTGCATAGACCAGAACGTGTAACTACGGAAACATCCAATGTTAATCAAAGTTATGGACACGAGAATTCAGGCGAATATCAGAGACCAGCATAACCAAACACAATGTAGAAGGGGATATTCGATGAGATGTTCGTCCCCAAAAGAACCTCGATTGACAGTCCACGTATAAACACATTTAACGTAATTTCACATCGTGATAGTAGAATCAAAGTAAATCAGAGGACAATTTATTGGATATCATAATACCAAGCGGCAACAATCTTGTCACTACAACTCTTGAACGAAAAAAAAGTAATACGCCTCCTGTGCCTTATCCAAAACACCTCATAAGCCAACCATTCATAAACTCATGACATTACTTTAGCCGACCCTGTGTCCAGCAACACTGACAGGGCTGACAAGTCCAATCTTGCTCATCCGGCTCAACACGCTGCCCGCCTTCCTGCGGATCTTTCTCCCATCAGAAGGCGTCGCTACAACCGGCGTCGCCAGCGTAGAGGCGCTCATAGGGCTAACCGCGTCGTCGCTCTCGTCCCCATTAACAACCGCGTTCTCACCCTCACCCTCTTCGGCCTCGTACTCGGTGCGGCTACTACCGGTAGTCATGCTCTCCATGCTACTCGCGTCATGCTGCACCGAAAGGCTCAATGTCGGCCGATGGGGCTCTTCAAGCTCGACAGGCGAGGCTGTGATGGCAGCCGGGGCGCCGATGCTCGAGGGGGGACCAGTCGCCACCTCTGTGATAGAATCCAGCAACTGCTGTTGCTGTTGCGTGCTGTTGGCGGAGCCGCGGTATACGTCTACTAGGCTAGAAGAGCTGCCGCTGCTGACGAGGCTCTTCTCGCTAGTCCTCTGGGGGATCACGCTGGTGGTAAGCCTTCTCAGTCCTCGGCCCCATGAGGGGTGCGATTTGTGAGAGAAAACTTCAGAGATGGTTCTGCGCTTGGCGTCGCGCATTTTACGCGCCGCAAGCTCGAACTGCTCTGCCATTGTAGGGTGCGCCATGATCTCCTCCATGGAAATGGTAAGGTTGTGGCACCCAGGGACGCCCAGCTTCGGCAGTTCCTGCGAGAGAGCCTGCGCAAGCTGCGCGGCGGGCATCATGCTACCCCATAGATCATAGAATGCCGCGTTGTGGAGCTGGTTCTCGGGTACGCCCAGAGCGCGCGGGTCCAGGATCTCGGTCCAGACGTTGGTTATGGTCTTTTGCACGGTCACACGGTGTTCATCAGGCATGCTTGCGCCGACGTTGGTTGCCTTGGGCTCCATGTCGATTTGCGGGAGGGGGATTTGTGGCGTGACTGAAGAGTAGTCTGTGGTCGAGGGGATCAGGGGATGTAACATGGAGACCGAGGTGAGCAGTTCGATGGTGGAGCAGAGTGCCTTGAGAGTCTCGGTGGCGAACAAACTGGGGATGCGGTTCTCGCAGAACGTGATTGAAATCTCTCCGCAACTTGGGTTGTCTTGAGTAGAAACGACATGGAGGTCGTAGACGTCTCTGCTGGTTGGCTCCTGAATGTTGAACTTGCACTTGACGGTACCGAGGTTGAAGATGGCTGCCTCTTTAGCGGCGTCCTGGTGGCGGTGCTCGATGACGGTGCTGAAGCGTGTCCAGTAGGGCATCTTGGTGCACTTTTCGACGACCTCGAGCCAGCCCATGTTCTCGAAGGGAATGCTCATCACGCGCTGTCCGTGGACGTACCTGAGGAGCTCGAGGGGGCTGCTCAACGTCTCGGCGAAGCGAACGCGGACCGGGATCGCGTTGGAGACGGGGCCGAGAGTGCCGGAGATGTCGGAGCCATCAGCGAGTTTTATATGACGTCCCTCGACAATCTCGCCGAAAAGCACATCGCCGGAGCCGGAAAGGTTGGCGAGGACCATTGACCAGGCAGACTTCACAACGGTATCGAATGAGATGCCCAAGTTCGCCAGGGACATGACCGATACGTTCTGGGAGACGGTCTTGACATTGTTGCTGATGACAGCAGGTTTGTTATGTGCGACAACCTGGGTCATCTTAGCGCCGTCAAGCAGGGCGGTCCAATGTTCAAGGGCTCCGGCCACATGGGAAAGCTGCGCAGAGCGCACAAAGTCAAAGTAAGTAGCTCTTCTCGGAGGGCAAGACGGGGACACGTAGATGCTCTTAAGATGCTGTAGTAGCAGCGCAATGGACGCATCGTCATACTGTGCTCCAGATAACCGAAGAACGAGGTTGGACTGCTTGCCAGCGTCGACGAAGAAGAACTTGGTCATCGGCGTGCCGATAGAGAAGGGCTCTGCTTGATCCCTCTTGATCAATTTTTCGGTCGTGTTCGCCATTCTCCAAGTGGGAACCTCTACTCTCTTGAAGTCTGGCACAAAGGCTCTGAGTGCGACCTGATAGACCCTTCTCTCGTGAGTAACGAAAGCGGTCCTCAAGATCGGGTGAATTTTGGCGAGACAGATGCAAGCAGCCTCAAGCTTCTTCGCCTGGACAGGCCCGGTGAAGCTGAAAGTGAAGTAGGTGAAGCTGGATCCCCCCTTCAGAAGGCCAGTCTCGAGGAACTTGAGCTGAGTCGAAGACGCCTCAGACACGTCGCTAATTAACTCGCGGGAGAAACCAAGCTTAGGTGTAATGATGTTGTTAATGAATTCCTCTTCAACGTGCATTTCCGAGGTAGATCCCATCGAAGAAGGGGCGGTAGAACGTGAATCAGCAGAATCAAGAGTAAACTCTGCGCTGAGAGTGATGCCCTGGCAGAGATCGGTGAGAGTAGCACCCTGCAGAACCTCGTGAAGGGCAATAATGAGACCCTGCTTGCGACACTGGACCACAAGCTGACCAGCAAGGAAAGCCTCGCCGCCAAGCACAATGAAGCTCTGGTTGCCGCGGATTGTGGAAGCCTCAATTCCGAGCAGGTTAGACCAGATTGACCGCATCCGCTCCTCGACCTGCGTCAGGGGAAGAGGCTTGATGCTGACTGTCCGGACCTCATCAGGAGATGCGACAGTCGACAAGGCCAGAAGCTGCTCCAAAGACAGCCAGCTAACCATCTTCTGGAGCTTGCGGCGGTTGACCTTCAACGAGGGCGTGACGGGGAGGTGCCTAACGGGCACGAAGACCGTGGGCATCATATGCGAAGGCAGACCGGTGCCCAGGGAAGACTCGATCAGCTTCTTCGCGATATAAGTGCGCTCCTTCGTTGTGATGGTAATCCTAGTCAGATCTTCCGAGCCTTCGAAAAGCTTCTCTCCAAGCTCGACGAATGCGGCGAGCGCGGGTTGCGCATCACGAGTAATGATAGAATCGACGGCAAGGTCAATGCCCTGTCCAAGGCAGCGTCGCAGCTTCTGTTCGACTTGAGCAACAGGGATCACTTGGCCGTTGACCTCGACGTCATCGCGACCGCTCGAGACGAAGTCGAGCATGCCATCTTCCATGTACCGGACGCGGTGGCCAGTCTTGAAGTAGCGGGTCTTTGGCTTGCCATCCTCCAGTGACAATTCCGAGTCCTGAGGCAAATGAGATAGGGGCTGACCGGGAACGAAGCGGTGGGCAAGGGTCGGGCTCTCGATAATCAGCTCGCCGACGGCGCCGATAGGCATAAGCTTACGGTGGTCTTCTGGGTTGACAATCCAGAATCTTCCGAGGAAAGGACGTGCGATGCGAGTGAGATCATCAGCCTTGGTAACCTCAAGCACAGAGATGCCGAGAGGGCAGATATCAGGAGCACCATAAGCCAGAAGGACCTTGGTCTTCTCAAGCCAAGGGGCACAGGTGTCCGCATCCAAGCGGCGAGTCCTGAAGCATATGGTCCTCAAGCTGGGAATGGCAGCCGGAGTCATCTTCCTCGCCAGTACAGGTGTCAGGTAGCTCCAGTTGACATCCATTCTACGGGCAGCGCCGACAATGTCGCTCGTCTTCTCGACGCTGGAAGGCACACATACGCAGCCACCATGAACAAGGGTCGAAAGCAGCTCGATCAGCGCTGTGTCGACGTTGAAGGCAGACAGCTGCATGACGCGGCTGTTGGCATCTAGGTTCAATGCGCGGCCCTGAGTGACGAAAGCTGCGGACAAAGCAGCATGGTGAAAGATGATGCCCTTTGCATCTTTGCCGCGGGATGAGCTAGGAGCCAGCAGAATGCATGCCGCGTCGTTGGGCGCGGCCATGGGCAGCGGCGATTCGGCTGGGAAGTTGACCGAAAACAACGTGTCGTCGACAACAATAACGCCCTCGACAATTGCCTCCAAGTACTTCCAGTGTAGGTCGGTTGCGATGACGATCTTTGGCCCGAGTTGGCGAACGAAGGATTCGACGTTGTTCTTGTCTTCGGCGTCGATAGGCACAAAGCAACCACCAGCCCTGGCATCATGTCAGTTACGAGAAACACTAAAGAAGCCGCCATACTTACTTCAAGACAGCTAGGATGCAAACGACCGCCCATCGGTTCTTGTCCATGACAATCGGGACTGGAACACCAGGTCGAACACCCCATTGCGCGAGGTACGTAGCAAGTCGCGAAACAAGACGACCCAATTGGTTGTAAGACAGATCACCATCCCAAGCGCAAATGGCCTGGGCATCCGGGCGAAGCCTCGCCTGCTGCGAGATAAGTGCGTGCACACATCCGTGAGACTGCTCGGCAGCCTTGCCAGTCTCCCAATCGCTGATCATGAGCTGGGCGTAGTCTCGGTCAGTGAAAAGATCGATGTTGCTCATGGCTCCGTTTACGCCTTCGAGAATGGAAAGAACAGCACGTCCAAAAGTGTTTGTCAAGTTTTGCGCCTGGGAAGCCGTCATGATTCTGTGAGAGACGCCGGTAACGAGCTGTCCGTTGACGAGCGTAAGTGAGAAGGTGACGTCGTAGTCGGGAGTGCTAAATGCCTGGATGCAAGAAAGGCGCATCGGCGGCCGGGTCGAGCTGAACCTGCTCTTGAGTTCATGGGGCTCTTCTTGATACGACAGACAGGTGTTGAAGAGCTTGTCCCCCTTGAGGCCCAAAGCGTTCTGGATCTCCGAGATGCAGACGTTCTGGTGCAGACGGCAGGCGAAAACGTCTTCCTCGACAGCTTTGAGGATCGACGAGACAGTCTTGTAGTTCTCAAGCCCGATCGCGCATGTTGTCGTGTTCTCGAACGCGCCAACGGACATGCTGAGCCCGTCAGGTGCATCATCCCCGTCTCGGCCCGAGGAGCGGTAGCCGAAGCAGACGCGGCTTGAACCGGTGAATGCACGCAGAACGAGAGCCCACGCCATGCGGACGACAGCCGAACGGCTGATTCCCTGTGAACGGCAGAACTCGTCAATCTGCGCCATCGGCAGGTCGATAAAGAAGTTGGTGTGCTGCATGTCGTTTTCGGTGACAGTCATCAGCCGCGGGAACAAGCATGGCTGGTTCTCTTGGAGGCGCCCAACCCAAAAGTTAAGGCTGTTTTCTCTGCGCGCTGAAGAGATGTACTCTAGACAGGTGACGTGCGAAGGGTCGAGGACCTTCATGGGCAGCTTGCTCGAGTTATACATCCTCTTCAGGTCCCACATGATGTTCTGAAGACTCAAAGCCTAAAATGAAAACAAAACAGTGTAAGTACGTACGCACGTGGATCGGCTCTGACGGGACGAAGGTTTTTCTTACATCACAAAGCGCATGGCTGATGTCGAGCCTCAAGAAGGTCCTTGTTTGGGACTTGCAGACTGACACTCGGTGGCGAGGGTTGTACGGCGTAGGACTCATGGGCGGCAACGCATTAAGAACTGCCACGGGGTCTGTGCCCGCCTCAGCATCGACGAAGAGCATTTCGGGCGAACACTTCCGTAGGATGACCTGGTCATAAAGCCCGTCCTCGGAGATACTGTCAATGAAGACGGTTCTAAGGGCCGGGTATCTCGCCACGATCTGCTGCCAGACGGAGCAGATCTGGTTCTGATCGGCGAGGAGGCCTTCGGGCGCGGAAAGCTCATAGATGGCATGGTTGTGACAGGTCTCTAGATTTTGAGTTTGGCTGATGAGAATCTCCTGCTGCAGCGCTGTGACTGGGAAGACGTCCTCAATGTCCTTGGCACTGGTGAGACCGAGGGCAACCAATCGGTCGGTGTTGAGCTTTGCAAGACCCTCGTAGGTTGTGTTGAGCATTGGGACATCGGACAGGGTGAGCTCCTGTCCGCGGTAACGCAGCCTACCAATAGCCTCATAAAGTAGATGCTCATAAAGCTGGATCCATTCCGTGATTCTGTCCTGATGTTGGCAGTTGCGGTTGTACAGAATTTGAATTGAGGCTGCGCCCTGATCTACCATGGCTGAGACCTCAAAGAGTGCGATTCTTCCAACCTCTGAGCCAATGTCGGAAGCACCGTTTGAGAATAATCTGCCTGGAATAGTGAGCTGCTCCAAGACACCGTTTTCTTTCTCCAGTTGCTGAACCGAGCCGGCGTAAGTGAACATGACCTCAAACGGCCACCCCTCAGCGTTGCGGGTTGCCGCGTCGGACCCGAAGTACCTTGATGCAAAGTAGTTCCAGCCCCGCCGGGGGAGTGACCGTCTGGTATCCTTCACCTTGCGGAGGATGTGTAGGAAGTCATCTGCCATGTCCACTTGAAGCGCGACTGGGCAAAGGGACGTAAACCAGCCAACCGTCTCCGTGATGTCGACGTCTTGGCTCCAAGGCTCGCGTCCGTGCTCTTGGTTCCACACCACCGGGACCTGGCGATCATGGAATGTTTGGCTGAATGAGAGCATCAGGGCGGCCATGTAAATGTCAGACATGTCGGTTCTGAATACCTGGTTGCATGCTGTGTGGAGGATAGCGGTTAATTCTGGGGTGAGAGTAAAGCTGGCAGTCGTGATATCGTTATAGGTGTTGAGTGAGTCCTCAAGACCCCAGTAGCTGTATTGGCCACTGGGTAGTTTGTAGGGAAGCGCCAACTGGTCCGGTTGGTTGGAGATGTATTCTTCTTGCAGCTCGTTCCATCGCTGGAAGGGCATCGAGCGCTCAGAGAACAGAGTTCCCTCTCGTAGCAGCTCATCGAGGTCGTGGATGATTGTGCGCCATGACATCATATCCACAACAAGATGGTGAGCGAGGAGAAAGACGAGCTGCTGACCGTCGTACGTGCGAAAGTGGTCGACTGCAAAAACAGGACCGGCTTCGATGTCGATGGTGGCTTGTGATTTTCCGATGACATCAAGAACTTCTGTTGTCGTGCTAACGGAGTGGTAGCGGAACGCGTAGGATCCGTCAACCTTGGGCACGATTCTCTGCGTCCAGCCATCGACACCAGAGCGGAATCGGGCACGCAGCATGGAGTGGTGGCCAACTACCGTTGCGATGGCGGCGTGGATGTCCTCGAGAGTAGAGTTGCTCTTTACGCGAAGCAAGATTCCCTGATTGAAGCGATAGTCGCCGTTCTTTGCCAACCGTTGCTCAGCACGACCACCCATGCCGGTGTCAAAGTAGAGCTGCTGTATTGGCGACAATTTGAACCCTTCAAGCGACTCCTCATCCCACGTGGCGTTGGGTTGACTCTTCCGAGTGGCGAGCGACGCCAATTGGCCTAGTGATGAGCATTGATGAACGTCCTCTGGCCTTACAATAATGGATTCCGTCCGGCACGCAGCGACCAGCATCATTGCGGAAATGTCGTCACCGCCGAGCTGGCTGAATGAAAAGTTCATGCCGACCTGTTTCTGCGGTATCCTAAGGACGTTGCTGACTGTTTTCTGCATGAGTCGCTCCATTTCGGTCAAGGGCTCCTGGAAGAGCTCGTGAGACTCGAGACTCGAAATCTGGTGGTACATGTCTTCGTTGATATTTTGGATCCATGTTTGGAGCCGCCGCCGGTCGACGGAACCCTCACCGTCGGAAGGCATCTGATCCAGCACAATCCATGAGTTCGGTACGGAGTAAGAACCTTCTGAGGTTTCGAGGGCCAGTCGGACTGCTGCGATCTGGCTGCCGGCAAAATGCATTTGAGATTGGGGAATGAGGCGGATGCTGGAGAGGCTGGATTGAGAGACGCGGCCAGAGGCCAGGGTGACGAATGCCACGAGCTTGCCCTCCAGGTAGCCGGCCCTCGGCCTGATGACGGCCGCGCTCGCGATCTGGGAGGTGGATTCGATGTATCGTTCGATGGAAAACTGCGGTGCTCTCAAAGGTGCAACTTCGGCGCTGTGTGTGGATTCGCACGATGATGTTGAGTAACCGCTGCTTCGTCTGGGACTTGAGCTGAAGACATCGGAGGGAGAGGGGCTGTCTTCATCGGAGTCTTTGGACACAGGCGCGGCCTGAACGAAGGGGGTGATGCAGGTTTGAAGCTCCGCCAAGGTGTGACATCGCAGAATGTCGCTCGTCCTGACTCCGAGTCCGAGGCTCATGCACCTTTTTCTTAGTTCGACGGCAGCGGGTCTGTCACCACCCAAGTCAGCGAAAGAGTCGAACAGCTCGATGCTGTTGCGTGGAAGATTCAAGACGGCGGCTGTCGCCGATAGCAGCCTGTCTTCGACGGATTCCCTACGTAGAGGTGGCATTATGGTATCGATTTTTGGGAGGCGTTTGGCGACATTGAGTGAGTTAGCCATGGTGTAAGTGGTTGGTGGCGGTCCGATCGCGACCCGGTCTGAAGAAGAAGGGAAAGAAAAAGAATAGAAGCTGCAGGACAGCGTCAAGGGGTATCTTAAAAACACATAAACCAGAAACAAAGGGTGGCGGCCGGGTACGGGTAGCCAGATACACAGATCAGACGTTGGTCCTCTTATGAGAGGACTCTAACGAGGGTCAAAGATGCTGGGTGATGTTGGTCGGACGGGATGAACAGTCGATATTGGGGGCGACGTTTTCGGGGGCGAGTTGGTCTTTGACTGACCAACAATTATGTTACACGGGCGAATGGGGCCGAATTGGTCAAGCAGCAAAGGCAGTAGAGAAACAAGAGAAAGAAACGAGACGAGGGAGAAGGGCAGTGGTGTAGTGAAATAATATGAAAATCCGCAGCAGCGGCACTGCTTTCCACCCTGGAAGCTCTAATCATCCTACATCTCACTCGAGCAAGAAACAATGAGACGGAAGTCTTGGGCTCACCTCAAGCCATGAAGGAAGACCAGGGTAGGTACCCGGTACGGTAAGGTAAGGTAGGGCCAGGGTCTGGTGCAGCCCAGTAAACTGACCAGGGGCCAGCATGGTGGCATGGTGTAGATCGAGGTCCCACGGCCCCGACCCCTCTGACGTCCTGGGGTCCAGCCTGAAGAAGCAGAAGGGTGGGGAGAAGCAGAGCTTCCCTAGGGTGTGTGGGAGGTCTGGATGAGTGACTAAGAAGAGGGACATGCTGTATGGGACGGAGGGGACGGGCAGAGAGTGAGTTGTGAATGGCAGCTTTTGCTACGTAGTAAGGTGTTGAGGGATGCCGCGCCACGCCATGCTATGTCACGGCCTGCCGCGCGGCCAGGCCATGCATACCCGCGTGGTGCTGGAGACTAGAGTGGAATGTAGGGGCCAGGGTGTCTCCAGGCAGGCGTTCAACATGCAGATTTTGCTTAGGCAGTGACATAGTAAGAATGCCCCCATGGCTGAAGATGGGTGTCGCTGGGGCTCATTGGCCAGATTGAGAGCGTGGAGGCTTGTTGGCTGAGCTGCAGCAAATGCGAATAGCAACTATAGAACGGAGACGGGTGGGATATGGACGGCGGAAACGAAACACCACATGGGAAGAGGATGGACAAGGGGCTTGGAAATAGGCGAGGACGCGGACTCAGCCCCCATCCCCTTCGGTCACCATGGCCCGCCGTAGCCCCCTCTTCACCCATCACGATGTTTGCTTGCATGGTCCATGGCTAATCATGGCTAATGTAACGGTGTCGAGGACGAGGACGAAGACTGAAGCTTCTATTCAGACGGATGAAGATCTAGCCGTCTCTATTATCAAACAGAGGAAGCGCAACACCATCATGGAGCAGGGATAGTGCTGGACCATTTTTGGTGATGCCCATGCTATTTAGGAGGGTAGCTGGCGCGGTCTGGGAGGTGAGGTGGCATTGGATTGCCGCGGTAAAGCATATGTTTAGTTCTGCTGCAGCGTTTAGTATTTAGACGGGCGTCTGCAGATGCAGAGGGTATCGAGATGTGAAAGACAGAAGCGAGAGGGTGATGATGGGAGAAAAGGAGAGAGAGAGGGGCGCGGCAGCTGTAGTTTACGATTCCAGCGTCACAGCCAACACAGGGTAAAGAAGAGATATAATACCAACGATTTCCGCCTTTGAAGACATCTTTCATCAGAATCCACAGAATGAACCAGTTTATGCCAATCATCATTTGGCATTGCCAGTTACAAGTATACTTCCAGCACCCAGTCTGTTCTCTGTTTAGAAAATCACAGTGTCACCACATTGTCTTAGTACTCTGCTTCAGTGGATTTTCGCCAATTATTGGGTGCCATTGGACATGCTAAATGTGACAAGCGCCCACGAGATTCCCACAGTACAGCTCATGTACCTCGTCCCTTGCCTAAGCGGAGGGGGCTGAGCTCAAAAGCTGTGCAGCTCTGCATAAGAGTTATAGCCGAAAACGGTAGACAGTACAAAGCGAAAAGAGCCTAGTACATGATATAATGTGCATATTCTTAGTACATGGTACATGGTATGAGAATAGAAACGGCCCGCCCAATAAGCGCCCCCTCATCATCCATAACTATCTCTGTGTGTGTGAGAGTCTCGCCAGCATCCCCCCATCACTCACACACTCTTCCTCTTAGTGTCGCCAGTGCCACCTCCGGCCAACAGCCTCGCGGCACCACCACCTTCACCGGCGAGGTTCTTCCCAGTTGGCGGAGTAGTGCGGCGGGCTGGACAACGGCGTGACAGACCTTCGGCCGTCTTCCCGTCCCTCCCTCACCCCAAGAAACATGGCCAAATTGGCTCATTGCCATCCACCTCTCCCAGCCAGCTTCGTCAGCTAGGACACGCTATTACGACTATGTAGTGCTACTCCCATACAAACTCGCTGCCGGCACGCGGCGGCAGCAACACAAACCATCAGTTTTGATTGATTCCTCATCAGCTGGCCAGATCAACCGCAGCATAAACTCAAATCTTCATTTCAGCTCAGTGAAACTCAAATCCTCGAGACATCACTAGCAGTGCGTTCTCACGGTATCAGTGTCATAGTTTTACCATGCGATATGGATCTTACTGTCGCCGTGCGTTCGCGTCGCGAGGGTATTACTCAATGGCCGGTTATCATCTCCTCATCCGTCTCTGTCTTGATGCTTGGAGGGGATAAGCATTCCCTCAGGATGGCGACGATTTGCCAAGGCCTCCTCCAGAAATTTTAACTCTCGTAAAATGTGATCCCACAACTAGATTGTATGCTAACATACCCCTCTGCACATGCTCGGATGAAAGCTCACACGATTATTCTCACTAATAGCTTACGTATGCGGGGGGGGGGGATATCGTCAGTCATATTCATGCCGTTCCCATCCTTAAAACGAGGACTGTTGACATCAGGTCCAACCCTGCGTACAGTTGTCACCGGAATTAAGGAAGTCTACATTTACTTCAGTTCACAATCCACGTTCTGCTGAGCTGCTGATTCCCGTGTTTCGACTCTCCCGTTCTCCATTTATCCCCTCCGAGCCCACCACCGCGTATTTGGGACCGACGTACGCAGGGTACGCGGCCGGTAGCAACCCTGTAACCAACGGCCACTCGGCCCTGTCCTTCAACCACCACCAGGACCCAATACGTCCATCTCTTTTCGCTTCTCTGACGCTAGCTTGCTCTAATCCGTAAATGCCACTTACAAATCCTCCACCGCAGAATATCCCTCTGGCACTCGGTATGGCTCCAGGGCCATGAATGCCGGGTGGCGGGAGATGGCCAAAAAAAAGACTCGGTGCCACGAAACACCATATCCACTCCCTCTGACCAAAAAGTTTCACGAGCATAGAGAACTGAGACGAGGGTGAATGAGGTGGCATCTCGCACAACGGGTTTCTGACAAAGCGTTTGGCTCACGGGCCAGACGCGTCTTCGCCTCTCTGTCCAAGCCCCGACACACGGCACCGGGTCCCGATGCCGCATACCATTTCTCTCTGGTCTTCTCCTCATATCAGTTCTGCAGGCCGTCTCTTCCCCCTCTTCATGGGCCGCCTTGTTTATGGATCACTATTATAAAGCCCGCGGGGACGTAACGGACGATGTGACCAAGTAAAGACGCAGAAGAAACCTCGCCGCCCGCATTCGGAAACACCTCGACTATAACGGGGTCCCTCAGCTATCCAAAACTACGCTCGGAGCCGTCTCGGTCGCCATCGGCCAACCTTAAAGGGCATACCGCACATACATTGTTGCCGGGAACAAGAAACAGGGCTCAGAACAAGCTCGCTCTTGACACACAACGCCCACAGCCCTGGGGCGATGCCAAGATGACATGGGGCTCTCTGGCGCTAGTCCATCACACTCCCATTAGCCAATCTTCGTCTGATAGAGCGTCCCCTCTTCTAGTTGAGCCAATCCAGACAAGCAAAGAGAAAGAAAAGAAATAAAGAAAAAAAAATGATGAGGACACTGTCCGCATGTTGATTTCGAATCAAACCTACTTCATCCTCCTCTCCAGCGGGCATGTGAAAGGTCCTGGTCTCCGCTGCAGGGTCTCAAGACCCCGGATTCCGGGTGCCTACTACCTACTAGTACACCGTCAAGGGCATGTGAGAGACGGCCAATGACATTCACTAAAATACGATTCACAACTGCTTCACCTCTTGACGGAATGTAAGACTAGGAAATTATATTGATCCCTCGGGGGTGGATGCTCACCTATCCACTTCTCGCATTCGATCACAGCCCTGCAATGGATCCCAACCCACTGGTTTTCGGGGGAGTCCATGTCTCTCGACTTTGCTAGTTTGTTGTGTAAACATCACAGGTTGCACGCACAATCCGATCATTTTACCTTCCCAGCTCCTTAAGCGTAGATCCTATCCGTATCCGTCAATTCGCCTCTTGTCCTCGCCGACGTCCCGTATAACAGTGATCCCCGCGCCGTACGGAACTCCGGCGTCTGCTAGCTCACATACGATACTGACGTCGAACAAAACCAACCAACCTTGTACCGCTAAAAAGCTAGTGTACTGATTTGAAAGATTCGAGAAACACATTAGGCTACTAAAAACATGTCTCAGGTCACCCTCGCTCTTGAAGAAAAGCTCCACCAGTCGACAAGGGTGCCACGAAAGCGCTGCCTGGCGCCCCAACAATACCAATCTTCACTCTTCATCGGAGGGGGCTGTACACTACACGTCGTACAGTTTCCGCTCACCCCACGTCAAAGTCCGCTCAAGGGTTGACCGAAAAGAGTATCTCACCCACAGGTGACAAGAAAGGGTGAAAGAAAAAAAAGTGAAAAAATAGCCAACTCATTTCGTTGCTTACTTCCTGAGCGGTGAAAACCGTCGGTGGGAAAGACAACCGAGATTAGCATTGGCCAGGTAGCCGCAGCAGACTGCGTCTAATTCAGGTGACTGTCGACTGCAGTATGTGCTTCGTCCAAGAGCGGACAGTAACTGTTACTTCCCGTCATGCCCAGGGCTGACGCCGAGCCGTCAGGTATCCGGCAACCCGAGGCGATGCAGTCAGACGGCGCCGCCTAGCTAGACCTGCGTGTCTCGTCTTCTTTTGAGATTTGGCCCTATTGGATCGGCCTCCCCCAATTTGGGGTCGGTCTTGGCTCGCTGGGTTGCTGGAGTACTGATTTGCTTAGCTGTCTCCAAGTCATATGGCAGCCAATGTGTCGTCAGTTGCAGATCATTTGTCTTAGGATCAACGACATAGGCGGATTTCTCCATTGGCCAAGGCATACCGGCGTCATCATGAGAGGATTTTGTTTGATCCTGGGACAGAAGGTCTACGGTACTTGCAGGCTTGTGGCAGTCGTCGGCGATTGGACGGTAGTTTGGATAGAACCCTATGCCAGAAGATGACTGGCGAAGGGGGAGAAGTCGCCTACAATTTTCGTCACTGAAACGTAGGTGATTTGCTATCGAGAGCCATGACTTGATAAGTGACGTCTGGACATTACGACGGCGAATGAGCTTTACTTGTAATCTATATCTAAAGACATCATTCAAAGTTACGGTTCCTAAACACTGAGAGGTAATATGTTGCAAGTGTAGTAAGGTCGTCAAGATATGCGTAGAAGTTTCGAGTGTAGCAACTCAGCCAGAGTGCCTTACCTATGTTGTCTAGTTGTTACCTCTTCCCTCGATGAAGTTCGCTGCAACTTGTTGAGACCTGGTACTACGACCTATCGCAATTGGCCTTATTTACCAGTAAAACGCGCCAGATTATTTCGATTAAAATCAATAACCTTCGGTCCCCTCTGGTGACAGCGATTGTCGAGATATACACTGCAGCTAAATGCAAGCGCCATTCAAAAGCATCAGATATCGTCGCGGCAACCTAGTTATAAGGATTATGATTGACAAAAGCGAATCTTTCGAGTTCTTTCAAATATGGATGATGTACTTATGAGGGACTCTATTCAATGTGCGGAATTATCCATGGGACATAGTATTGGGCATCGTGCACGAGCAACGCCTATATCAGTGCAGGGCTCATACTGACATCCTCTCACCAACTATATTACTGTACAACCTTGGATGAATCGAACATAACAAGCAGAATACGTGTGGCCACGGACTGTCTGGTTCTCATTAGGAGGATAGCGCATCAACGAATGAGTGAGCGGTCTGTCAAGTCAACAAGAGCCCTGCCATATCTGGACTAATTACTGGCCGATTTGTGTAGCAGTATGTCCTCTGTAGAAAGAGTAGCAAGCGATCTACTGAAATTTTCACAGAACTACGGGTCAACACAGGGCAGAAGAGTCACTGCGATCTACCTCAAGGCTGACGCATGTGCGAATACCAGTTCAAACACTGCCAGATGTGTGCGATCCATTTCTAAGGCTTCTGCTTTCTTCGAAGGGCGCATTCTTGGAAGATTGACTCTAAACAGTTCTTGCAATATTGAGATACGAGAGTGGTTTCTCAGATCCAATTTTGCATCCAACTTTCTGTCAGCCGGATTGTGTAGGTATACCATGATCTGCGTCCAACATGATTATATTACGGTCCATAGCATGCTTCTACTCCGCACTAACTCTTGTACTCATGATGAGCCTCACATGTGCCCGGCTCGAGGACAGACAAGCAAGAATACATTGGTTTAGAACAAGAACCACTGAACATTGGTCATGTATGGTATATATGGCAACGACCTGGCTCAAGCATCTTGAATCAAGTCTATGTCAATTTTAACAAAATGAAGTCACAAAGACGTAGATTAAATAAGGGATTAAGAGACAAACGTACTTGTAGAGCTGTATAGATAAAAGAATATATATCTTAATATTAATTTGAATAATCTACTTACTTTCTACAGTCTTTTTAGTAGTCGACTTATACATCGTAAGAAATGTGTACTTGGCCATGGGCATATCCCTCCACACTCTTCGCCTCGATCAACACCAAAGCTGACTGGAAAGCAAATCTACAGGCCGCTCCATAGTCCTAGACACATTCTCGACTGTTAATTTTGAAACCCCCACCATCTCCTGTTCGCGCACCAACGGGATCTCCAGGCATGACCTCCGACTCATCTTCGTTATTTCTCGCACGATCTCGTACAACACAGGCACGCGAGGTGTGATCGAAGTAACACCACCTCCGATCAAACCCTGGCGGAAGAAGCTATCTGTACATACAGACGAGAAGGCATGGGTGCGGTTCTGCATACGGTGCCAATCATTTCGCTCGACAAGTGTCCCTCTTGCGCAATCAACTCTAGGCTAAAGGCTACTTATCCAGGCATTGTCACCTAATCCTTATCAAGTTGTAATGGGCTATAACAACATCAGGTATAACCCTACCCTACGCATCTTCGCGTCCCGAGCTCTATCCCACAGTAACCCATCTCAACTATCCTCCGGAATAGGGAGACGGTAGAAGATTAATCAACATCGCCTTCTTGTCACCAACCGTACCCGCAACTTGATTTCACACACAAGGTGCTTGACTTCAGACTCAATGTACTCGAAAAGTCCAACAGGCAATATATTTCGACGCAACACCTGCGCCCAAAAACACAATCTACCAACCAGCGCCTATGCACACCACACAAGAGGATAAACGAAGGTAAGAACCCCAACACCAACAAAATCTCCACGCCCCCTTCCTCCTCCTCCTCCTCCTCCGCCTCAAACCTACCAGGCCGTACTCCTCAACCAGTCCCCAAGCACCTTGATAACCTTCACCGCCTTGGCGTTCCCGTCCCTGATGCTCTCGGGGTCAGACACGTTGGCGCCCATCTCGTGCATGTCGAACGCGTGAATGACGTCCGGGACGAGCAGCCACTTGACGCTACCCCTCTCGTCGCTGACCTCCCACCCGAACCTCTCGTCCTTGGTCTCCAGCTCCTGCGTCTTGGCGACCTCCTTGCGGCCCACCGTCGCGGAGGTGACCTTCTTCCCGCCCAGCTTGCACGCAAAGTCCCACGCCTCCCAGGCGAGGTAATCCAGCTCGGCGGCGACGATGCACACGTTCGCCGGCAGGTCCCCGCGCTCCGCGTATGCGGGGGATAGCAGCGGGTCCTTGAGGTTCGTGCCGTAAGGGACATATGCCCAGTCAAACACCGGCGCAAAAGACAGCACAAAGTCTCGCTGCTCGCCCCTGATCCCGGGCAGCAACCCGATCTTGTACGGCCGTCGATGCTTCTTCTTCTCCGGTGGCGTAACAAAGTCCACCGGCGGGTAGATGGGCAGCACGGCCGAGGGTCGTGCCGTCGGGTGCTCTTTGACGCTCTTCAGTTGCGAGAGACATAGCGATAAGTTGCCTCCGGCACTGAATCCTGTGATGGCGATACGGGATTTGTCTATCGGTAGCGACTCATCCTGCACCGCTGCCAGGTACAGCGCCTCGAGGTCGTGCAGGCCGTTGGGCCAGGGCTTCCACGGCGCTTTCCAGTAATTCAGGGCAATAACCAGAGCGCCGTTTGTATCGGCAAAGGTGCGGTTCCAGGCGTCGTCGTCATCGGGGACGCCAATGGAGAAGCCACCTCCGTGGATGGAGAACAGGGTAGGTAGGGTTTGGGGGGACGTCTGGTCATAATCTGAAGGAAAGAAGATGCTATTCCGCAATCAGTAACCATTCCACGTGAGATTAAGAAGACCTCTAAGAAAAATAGACATACCGTATCAACAGGTTCGGTCTGCAGTCATACTGCTTAATCAGGTCCGGCCGCTGTTCGGGGGGACTCCAATACGACTTCCAAAACTCGAAGCTGGCCTTCTGATAGAACCACGACTGCACCACCGAAAGCTTCGTACCGTATATGATGCGGTTCATGAAGGGCGCCGTTGGTCTGTAGACGGGTTTCTTGTCGGATTGTGCTAGAGTGCTGACCATGTCTGTCATTCTGCTCTTGCGTCGAGCGAACGGGTCTTTTCGAGATTGGCTCAATGGATGGATGACGATATATATCAGTCGCGCGTGTGAAATCAACACACCGTGGCAAAAAAAACGTGATTCTCGTTATGCGGGCTCGGACGAAGTTCCCAGGCAGGCGTAAACTATGTACGGAGTCGGGAGGGTGGACGGTTCCGAGAGAGAAGCTGCGAGAAGGGCGAAGCACATTAGCTGAAGCGGTTCTCCTTCAAGGACGGAACTTCAGACGCAAGCTGAGGTCACCAGCCACGCGAGGCTGTCCGCGTCATCGCGCGTTGAGGTAGGTGAAAGGGGGTAAGAAGAAAAAAGAAGGGGTCCTCATCCGCGTGCGGTTTCACGATTGAAAGCTCGGCACGGGACGCGGACTGGTCTTCATTGGCGGGCATGCTCAAGACACCGAGTATCCGGGCCCCCGGATCTATTGCGATGACTCGAAGGAAAGGGGTTTTGAGGCTTGGATTGACTAACCGGTAGATAGATGCCGACGTAAAAGCCCAAAGCGACAGCAGAGATGATGAGGATGACAACACCACTCAACATCGACGAGAAGCTGCTGTGGCCGTTGCCGAATGGCCGGGCAGCACCAGCCTGATTCGTTTGCATCCTCGCCCTCTTTCTCTCTGCTGTTATTAACAGGGGGGTTGGTTGGAGGGCGAATGGACCACGTTCATGCTGCTTGCTGTCAAAACACCAGACGTGCGCATCTTTGATGCGTGTGCATTTTTGGTGCCTGTGCTGAAGGAGGTTGCTTGGAAAGTGAAGCTCCCCCCCCCCCCCTGCTGAGACTGCCCCTCGCCAAAGGTTCCTTATCGTCCAAGTTTCTTATCGCTAGTCACCACTCTCTCCACCCCCACAGGGGGGTCCCTTAGGGGCTCCATTAGCGCCCAAGCTCCCTGATTGGACCTATCTGAGGATGTTTCCTCAACAGGCAGGGTTCGTCTGCTTCATAACTTGTGTCTTCTATTATGCGCCGTGTTAAGTCTACTGAGATGGCCTTCAGCTGAATTCATAACCTCATCTCATGTGGTCACAATCCTTTCACGTTGGCAACTGATAGAATATGTAGACATCTCCAAGATAGCAATACCAATACCATTGGCGAGATCGGAGCTCCGGATTCCCTCTTCGGATCTAGGTCCGCCTTTGCTGTGCCACTTACATGTCCATCCAGATGAATAACATCAGTATCACCATATCACGGCACATCTCATGTTTGCCTGGGTCATGCAACAGCATCAAAGATCAGCCTACATGTCCAAAATATCATGTCCAACGCATTCTCCATTCAATCGTATTCTACAACGATGTGACTTAAACAAAACACATATAGTACAACGGCGTACCACCGCCTGCCAACCAGTCATGAAACGGCGTCGTCTATTCATCTCACAGGCTCGACGGCTTCTGCACAACCACCTCCTCATCGTCATCCGGGTCTTCAATGCTCGTCCTCCGAGACGCCTCTACAGCAGCTTGAACGGGCTTCTCGTCGTCCCCAGTGACCGTCTCTTCTCCCTCCTTGCCGCTCGTCTTCTCATCCTTGTTATCCTTTGCGCTTGAGAAGGGCCAAATACCGCTAAACGCCTTACCCCCGGACCCCTGAGGCGGATGCACGGCAAGCGGCTTCAGAATGACGTTGTCATTAGAGTCGGTCTCGGGCGCGGGGTCGACCTCGGGCATGGCAAAGTCGCCAAACTCCTCGTCGTCGTCGTTATCTTCCTCGTCAGAGTCGTCTTGCCCGTCGAACCGTTGGTTCCCACTCCGTCCCGCCATTCCACGCCACCACGATCCCCGGCCTGCCGCGCCCCATGCACCCGTCACCGCTGCTGCCGCTCCTGTCCCGTGATGGTCGTTGTTGCCGTCATCGCTGTCATCATCTTCGTCTTCCTCATCATCCGCAAACGGGTTCTTCAGCTCCTCGCCCTCGTTCTCCGCCTTGTCATCCTCGCCGTTTTCGCCATTCTCATGTGAAGCTGCCGCGGCGGCGTTGTTCTTCTGGTGCATGGCAAGCCGCGCCGCCAGCTGAAGGCGGGCCCTGGAAGGCGGGATGTTCAGCGGCGGAGGTGGGGGCGGAGGCGGCGGAATGGACGGCGGGTTGAGAGACGATGACGAGTTGTTTAGTGGATCGGTGTACGCCCGGAACTAAAATGAGAAAAGCGCGGTATTAGCTGGGCCCCGTCCTGCCAAAAGGCGTATGCAAGATTGAATCCCCAGATGCAAGTCATTGTCGTAATAGTGGTTCCCAAGAGGTCGAGATGGACGAGGAAACAGAGAAGGGGAAAAAAAAAAAAAGTCCAAAAGTTGCCTGGTATCCCAAGGAATCGACGCCGGTACAGACGGGGAAATGTAATCTTACACTACTCGCCGCCCCCAGTACATCATGAAAATGAAGAAGAAGAAAAACACGCGCCTCCAACACCCCCACACACCCCCTCGAACAATCACTTCGTCCGTCTTGGCCTTTATTCTTCCTCAATCGTCTCATCCACATCGTCTCTGTTTAGTCTCCGTCTAAGCCAGGCCATGACGTCGAGTGAAGGCCGAATCATGCTCATTTCCTCATCCGTTTCCTCTCTAACCTGCTCATCATCATGTGTTTGACCCTCCCGATGCACAAAAACCGTCTCATCATCATCATTTGCATCTTCACCTAGGATACCAAGTCCGATACCGCGTCCAGCGTAATTCGTGCGATCCTCTTGGGCGAAACGGATGGGATGGGGTCTAGTGTCTCTGTCTGCGTACTACGCATCCTTCCGATCCTTCTCCTCGTCCGACTCGGGGTTGTTGTCCAGGAGTGACTGCGTCCAGGGGTCCAACGCGGGAGGTTCCAACTCATGGAACTCTGAGAGCACATCACTCACCTCATTGTTAACATCCTCATCGTTCTCCTCTTCACCTTCATCCTCCTCGTCGCTGGAGCTGCCGAAACCGGACATGAGGGTGCCCGAGCTGATGGCAAACGGCCCAATGCCGTTTCCACTGTTGTCTTGCAGGTCCATGTTGCCGTTGAGGCCGGCATCGGCCAGAGCGCTCGAGCCCGTGTTGCCTCCCGAATTGGAGTAAGAATTTCCGAGGCCAGAAAGGCCAACTGCGGCGAGCCCATTGCCAGACATGCCCGCTCGGTTGCCAAGCGCTACCTCGGGCCGGACACCACCGAGAATGGCGTTATCACGCTCTCGAGTCTCCGCAAGCGCACCCTCAACATAGCTAATCCATCTAGGGTCCATAACACGCTCCAGAACCGTCTCCGACAGAAGCTCGGGCGGGTGTCGTTCAGTGAACTTGACCACCTCTTCAGCGATCAGAGTCAAGTGACCCATGTAGCCCATGCGGGTCTTCATCTTGGCCTGCGACTCGTCGCTAGCAAGCTGGCCGTTGATAATGGCAGTCGTGACGTCTGCAGCCTCGAACAATGACACAGCCAGAGTCGGGTTGTAGCCCCTGTCCATCGGGCCATTGAAGACCTGCTGAACGATGTCATATACCACGTTATGGAGAAAGTTGTTCCACGGGTAGGCGAAAAAGAAGGACTGGCTGTGTTAGCTTCGTTGTTCAGCAACAATTGGATAGGTGGCATTGGCTTACCAAAATCGTGGGTACAACACGGTATTCCACAAACTGCATCTTGAGGTAGTCACCGACTACCGGCTTCACGGTGTTAGGGTCAGGTCGCTCAGGCACTGCAGGCGGCTGTTCTCCGGCTCCGGGAGGTACGGGAGCCTCGGGAACTTCTGGAACTGGAGGAGCCACTGGGGCCTCAGGAACTGGTACGGTTGCCGGATCAATTTCCTTGTCCTCACTCTTCGAGTCTTGTGATTCTGAGGCGGCGCCAGACTTGGCAAAAAGTGGTGCAGGAACATCTTCAGGATGCGCCGTAAACTTGGGAACATCAGCGGCGGCTGGGGCAGCCTCAGCAGGCTCGGTCTTGGCTTCCGATTCGGTCGCACTTGGGGTGTAAACGACGGACGAATCAGACTCGTCGCCCTTCTGGCTGGATTCTTCAGAGAGAGCACTCTGGTCGGCCTTGTCATCCAAAGACAGCTCTTCCACCTTCACAGTAGTGGCGTCCTCGGCAGTCTTCTCCGCCTTGACATCCGCCTTGACATCCGCCTTGGAGTCACCGGCCTCTGTGGTCTTTTCTTTAGAGGCTGACGCCTCAGTCTTGGCTTCTGCGTCTTTCGGCTTGTCTGTCTGATCAGTTTTGGACTCCGCGGCCGCAGCAAGGTCCTCGTCCGAAGTAGGCTTTTTGGTCGGCGAAAGAGGTGCAACAATCAGATCTGGATCATCGAACCGTTGCTCCTTGATCTTATCGTCCGCGACGTTCAGTCTAGGGGAGCTCAGGGGTTCGTCCACAAAGTCATCCTCGTCCCTGTCCAAGAAGGAAGAAGCTGGCGCTGCGACGGGAATCTCCTCCTCGGCCTTGACAAACTCGTGGGAGGTATCCTCATTCATCTCGCGGCTTGGTTCAACCTCTTCGAATCCGTCATCATCCGAAATATTGGTGACCTCCAGTCGGCGGCCCTCCTCGGGAGAAGAGTGTCCAATGCGCATTGTCAAGTCGTCCGTTGACGGCGCGTCCTCACCGCGGTTGGGTGAAAGCTTTCCTTCGGTCCTGAGGCGCTCACGCTCGGCGTCCCGTGATGCAATCAGGTCCTCGGAGCCGACTTCGTTGAGCAAGCCCATATTGCTGCAGTGCAGCAATTCTGCCATTAACTCGCAAGTTTTGAAGCGATCGAAACCAAGAGGCTCAATCTTCTCGCCAAATGTAGACTCCAAACGCTGCTTCTGCACAGGTGTGTTCATGATGAGGTTGACGAAATCAGGCACGTGCTGCGCAAACAGACGTAGAAGAGTTCCCAGATAAATAGGATCTCTACTGGAAGGCAGAGAGTTGGATTCGGAGCCTACGTCAGGGTCGTAATCGGAGTTGTTCTTGCGAATGACCTCAATGATGATGCCAACGCCAACGGTAAGCGGGTTTCCACCACCTAGCATATACTTAATTAGCTGCTCAACGCATGGTTGCGATACAAGTTGCCGCGTGAGCTCGTTCGGGCCAATGCATTGCTGCTCGTTTTGCGACGCATTTGCGGAGATGGTAATGATTGCCTTGATAAAATCGCCAGCGGCCGTCTGGACCACCCAGCTGTGCTCGGGGCTGAGGCAAGTAAGCAGGGTCGGGACGACATCCTGAGAGTAGAGCCACTGTTCGGGTGGTGGTTAGCAGACAGTCAATTCCTAAAAGATGAGAGGGCCAAATCACCTCAACGACACCCTGGCCACCCTCGGTGCGATCCAGAGCAATGATTTTCAGAAGCAGGTCCATGATCATGGGACACTCGACGTGACGCAGCAAGTCTGAGACAGCATCCGGAAGGGACTTGAGCAGAACGACCATTTCCTCCGTCTTTTTGTCGAATAGCGCCTCGTTAACTTTGGTGAAGTAGCTGGCCTGGAGAGGGTCGAGGGGCGTGGGACGCTTTAGAAACTGCCAGAACTCGCGGATCAAGGGCAGGTTCTCCATGAGAGCCTCGTAGATGGACCAGGTGTCGGACGATAGCACTTCGGCGGCCACGTAGGCATACCGATTGCGCTTCTTTTCTTGCTCCTCCTCTTCATTGTCGGTATCTGTGGCCCTCGAAGATGCGCGGGGTCTTGAGAAGGGAAGCAGCCGGGCCTTGCCTTTGGTTTCGTCGGTGGTGTCGTCGGCTTCGGGGGTGGCAACGGGCTCTAGTTTTGGTGCAACGACATATTCGAGCAGCGTCTTGAGGACCTTATCCTCTCGGAGGTATTCAATAAGTTTTGTGTTGTGCTGCTTGAGCTCTTGGATAAGGTCGCTCTCATCGAGCAAGTCTTCAACGGTGAAGTCGGGCTTCTCGAGGATCGTATCGATGGTGGATATGTTGGCGTAACCGCCAAATCGCCAGAACATGATGGCGGGATTCTAGGCGACCTATGTCACGGCGCCGGACTGGTCACGCCGACGATGGACACAGAGCGGAAGCAGAATTAACTGAGGATCAGTCCGATATTTGGGCATGCGAAAGTCGGTAGCCTGATCGGATAAGCAGAGGCGGACGTGATCGAAAGAGGTAATTCGAATCAAAGGAGTGCCAGGTGCCGTCTATGCCGGTTTTCTCAATGCATACGTAAGCTTCGTTGGGGTATCGGTCGCTTGGATTACTGGTAAACTGTCGACAGCAGGAAAGATTAGCGACAGGGCCGACAAGCCAGACGCGGGGTATCGGTGAAAAAGGCAGCAGGCAGGAGGGCTAAAAGGTGGTGGTGCTTGAAATGCGATGTCGCCAGCGGAGTGGAGGGGCCGGCGCATCGGGGCCAAAAAAAAAGAGGAGCTGATTGATAATGGAGGGGAAGAGAATGAGGGAAAATTGGAAAATGCAGGCTCAACACAACAGGCGGCCACATCAAGACGCACTCCTCTCTATGGCGAGCTGACAGTATTGCCTGAACAGGGACGAGATCATGTGTCTGACAGAGAATGCAGGGCCTCGGATACGAGGAGAAGAAGCAGTGGGCGTGAGGGCGCAGTGGGAGGCAGAGAAACAGGAAATACAAGGGTACGTACAAAAGTGGAAAAGGCGTGTTGTACAGAGGCGCTCCAAGGCTCGATAAAAGAGAGATGGGAGACGAGCTGATGCCAGAGCCGCCGTCGCTCGAGGATTGGGGATCGTGAATGTCTGGCGATGAGCGAAACGTAGTTGGGAGAGGGTAGATTCGCCAGTAGAGTAAAGGTGGTAACGGGATGTCGTCGAGATTGGATTGCGCAGCAGCAGGTTTGAGGTAAGGTAAGGTTACCTTAGGTAAGGCTCCTGGTCCTGAGTAACTCCTGCTAATGACTCTCTCTGTCGCTGCTGTTGCTGATACCCCCCGGTGCTTCTGGGGACACTGGAATGGGCAGTCCAGTCAGGCTTTGACGGGCTGGGCTCGGTCCAATTCGGTAGCTCAAGGTTGAGTCGTTAGCGAGTCCAGTGGTGAGTGGTGTGCTACTCAGTGCCGCTACAGTGGCTGTCTTAAGTCCTAAGCCCTCGGAGCTCGGGACTGGGAAATCGAGAGCCGTAAGGTGGGCAAGGTACAGATACCAGGCTGTGTATCTGTGGACGCGTGCCAAATGCGATGTTGGGCGCAAAATCAGGACTGGTGAGGGGGGGTGAAGAGGGGAACGATGGGGCCTTGGAGCGTCCAGTGCGTCAAGACCTGGTAGGAGCTCTGCGCCGGTGTTTTGGGCAGCGAATTGAAGGTACCTTGGGGGAAAACAAAGTTGACTGTCAAAGGTGAAGAATGTGATGAACCTGTATTCCGAATAGACAGCATGGATGGATGGATGATCTGCGTTGAATCACTGCCAGCTGTATATTTCTGCCTGCCTGCTGCTACTGTCACGGCCATTGACCAAAAGAGCCGTGATTTGATGACTTGAGCCAACCGATATGATGGATGTACCGCTACTTAGACCTATCTTTGGGGGGGCTGATCTGAGGTGACCTGGGGCAGCAGATTGGGTTGTGTTGGGTTGCTTCCCGCCAGCTTCTAGCCTCTCTGCCGGGCCGCCATCTCTCGGAAGCGAAAAAAAAAAAAAAAGGTGGTACAGAGCGATGTACCTTTTGGTGGCGAGGTACTTGTACCTGGCAAGGTACCTCGGAGTGAAGATGTAGTGTGATGAGGTAATTCCCCAGTTGAAGCAGGTCATACTACGTATATACAGTACTACGTAGTCCATCAAGAGCGAGATATGGGAGAGTCCCGCCAAGACTGCCGCTATGCTGCTACTTACTTGCCTTGGATGTCTCACGCTGCCGGAGCAGAATTGGGGCAGAATTTGGAGATGCAATACGACTTGGGCCTTAGTTGTATATGTGAGTGATCTCAAGATGAGAACATGAACGAGATGGTGGCGCCGCCTCGTTCAGTGCCGGACTCTTGGAAACACTTTCGTGGACTTGATCTTGATGACTGAGGTCTGAGAGTACGACAGAGTGTGTACCTGAGTCGTCTAGTTGATGTTGATCGCAGATGACAGGACAGAAAAAGTAATGGTGAGACCAGACGGCCATCTCCCAGCTTCTGTGCTCTTCTGTGCTTCTTCTGCGCCGCTTCTGTGCTTTCCTAGTTCTGCTTCTTTTGCATCTGACGCTCCTCATGCTATTCCTGCAGTGGGATGGATTCTCGCCTAATTGAGCATGCTCAGCGACTGACAAGGACTGGGGGATCCTCTTTGCTTGCCCACCTCAACACCCCTTTTTTTTCTTTTCTTTTTTTTTTTCTTGCCTACTTGTAGTTGTACGTGTAAGGTGCTTAAGGGGTCTGGGAGGTTATCCGTAATGTGAACGGCTTTGACGTGAGGGCATCCACTATCAATACCTCTTCGTACTCTTTTGGCATGGGGGAGCCCCTCCTTGCAGTTCCCCTCTAGGCTGAACAGAAAAAAATAAATAAAATGGAGATGTGGACACAGTAGACCCGCGTCGATATGCGACTCGATTGGTGCCCTATAGCCCTGTCTAGCCCTTTTTTTTTGTTTTTGCTCTCAATACACCAGCTTTGCCCCTATGTGGTTTTGTTTATGTGTGTGTGTGTGAGAGAGTGTTGTGCGAGGGTTTTGTTGGGTCGCCAATCGAAACGAGAAAGGGAAATAGATTAAGCAGGCCGTTTGATTTGGTTTCCAATTGCCATTGGGCAGTTGGGAAACCTCTCAAGTATGGTCAGGTCAATACACTACCTACCATAAGGTCAATGTCAGTGTTTTGACAAGCGGTGGTCTTTTCTTTCCTTCTTGGGTCGCTCTTCTGTTTTGGAAACAGTCACGTTCTGCTACTTCCAAATGGGTGTTTCCGGAATTATCTCGGCCACGGGATGGACCTTGCGTTCCTGCCGCACATGACGATGAGCGGGATGTACCCGATACAGATTTACTAACATCTCCCTATTGTACTCATCTCACCCAGTACCCCTCACACTGCTCCTATTATTACCACCACTCTTTCTGCTACTGCTGTCACTGCTGCTGGCAGATGTTGAGTCACTCCGCTTTTGTGAGAAAAGGGGCACACTGGGGAGAGAATCAAGCCAATTCGCCAGCGTTTCTTATTCCTCCCGTGTTTTCTTCTCCAACGCCGCCTCACTCATCTCAGGGGCCGCTTTGTTCATCTCATGTCTCTCCCTAGCTTCACTTCCCCATCTGAGAGTTTCTTCGCCCATTCCCTTTTTTCCCCATCATGTGCCGATTGGCATGTGAGCCATTTCCCATTTTTGCAGGATACGCTGTGTGTAGTGTAGTGCATGCATGAGATGTAACAACACAGCAGTCAGCTGTACATAATGTGTTCTGGGTCGCCCATAGCCATGTGTTGTTTGTCATGCCCTGCCTAAGCCTGCTCACCAAACGCAAGCCTTCACTTCGGCCGGCTTCAGCACAATTGGCATCCACAAATCGCCTTTTCCAAGCAACCGCCTTTTCTCAACCCCTGGCCTGCCACGTTGTTAATCCTCCCTGCAGAAACTCCCACGTTGTCAGCCGGTACCGGCTCCCCCCTCAAGAGTACCAGACCTCCAGAGACCAAGAGGGCTTGCCTGTTGGTCCCCCCCCCCCCCCGTGGTTCCCCCAAACAGAGTTTCCCTCGTGCCGCATGTCACCCGCCCAGCCGCCAATATTCCTCCGACGGATGGTCCGAGCGAACCTGGGCCGTTGCTTGTCCGCCCGCCTCTAAAAATAAGGCGTCCACGTGAGGGCATCTCTCAACGCTACGCTGAGGACTTGTTCTCGACCGGTTCTTAACCACGCGATGAGGCTCCAACATCGGATCTGGCATTTCACTTAAAGATATCTCCTTCTCTTGGCAATATCAATTACCGAGATTTCAGCTTGGGGATCTGTTGAAAGCTTCATGTCCTTGCCTTTTCACCTCACTCTCACCGCATTTTATGAAGGATAATGATGGGTGTCGGTGGGCATGCCTTTGATTGCAGAAAGTTGATATTGGTCCATCGACACCGCAAAGTCTGCGCCGTAGCTGTCCGGGCTATTCCCATTAGAAATGGCGTTTTCTCCTAGTCTTTTTGCATGACTCCCAGCCAGCCAGAATGAGCGGGGAGCGTCCCAGTGAAGAGGTTCACACGGGTTTTCTACTATTATGTGTTCTGTTCGTTGATTAGCTCTCAACTTGGCTGCAGCACAAGGCTTCAGCGACGCGAATGTCATTGGAGCTTACACTAAGCCCTACACACACAGCAGTGGTAGTACGCTCATTTGTCAGCCCACGGAACAAACCCCGGGGGGTTCCACGGGAAATGCTAATGTAACACGCAGCCTACTGCAGGCTGTGAGAAAACCTTCCCAAAACGTAAAGTCGAAAAGAACCCCTAACGCCCACGTTTATTTTCACAGGAAGAATCAAAGTCTCCGAGTGGTATTTGCTTGTTCAGCAACATGCCTCGAAGCTATGACACGGATTTCAATTGGTCCGATATCATTTAGGTGTGCGTCATAATTGCAGTATCAAGTCCGGCACATCATTGCGTGACGGTCCACTTGCCCACAAGTGGTAGGCACATCAACCCGTAGATTGCCAACCCCGTCTTTGTAATCCACTGTGGTTAGATCATCGTCCCTTCTACAGGTCGCGCGGGCCAGGGGGAGCATACTGTATTACAGCTTGAACTTTTTTTTACTGGGTTGCCAATCGGCTTTTCATCTTTTCTGGGACATTCTGTGAATTGAAAGTGTACTGTAGCTGGGACCCAAAGCACGGCTTGAAGTAGATAAATAGTTGACTCTGACCTGAGATTTTGTGAAGTTATCATAGCACTCAAGCACTTGTTTCTCATCTCATCTCATCTCACAATCACTCATACTCTTAATCTGCTCTTAAGTATAATTGCCGTCGGCCTTCATCACATCAGTCAAACACAATGGCCAAGCTCAACGCGTTGCCCCAAGGCTCTCTTGTCCTCGTCACTGGTGCCAATGGCTACATTGGTTCTCACGTCGTCAAAACCGTCCTCGAGCAAGGCTACCGCGTCCGCGGTACTGTCCGATCCCCAAAGCCATGGTTGGATGAACTTTTCCAGACCAAGTTCGGCAAGGACAAGTTTGAGTCATACATTCTTTCTGATCTCGAGAACGAGGAAGCTCTTTCAAAGGCATTTGATGGTGTCACCGGCATCGTTCATGTGGTACGCGTCGAGAGGCCAGGAGAAAATGTCACGTTTTACAAAAGCTAACACGCTTAACAGGCATCGGATGTGAGCTTCAACGACGACCCCAGCGCCGTCATCCCCTGGGTGGTCAAGGCTACCGAGACCGTCTTGGCAACGGCCGCGAAGTTCCCTGGCATCAAGCGCGTTGTTCTCACTTCGTCTTCCTCTGCCACCTTGATCCCCGAGCCGAACAACCGTGTTCGTATTGACGAGAGTATGTTTCCTGCAAAAAAAATTCTGATGATCACGGCTTGGTTTTGAAGGCTGACACAAGCTTAATTTGTAGACACCTGGAACGACGCAGCCGTCAATGCGGCTTGGGATCCCAACACTCCAAAGGAGGTCAAGGGGTACAGTGTATACGCTGCCTCCAAAACTGAAGGTGAACGCGCCGCCTGGAAGTGGGTTGAGAAGAACAAGCCCGGCTTTGTGTTCAACACGGTCCTGCCCAACTGCAACGTAAGCGCGCCGGTTTCCCACACCCATCTTTACAGCTTCATCAACCTAACTTTTTCATAGTTTGGAGAGATCCTTCATCCCGAAATCTACGGCTCAACCATGGGCTGGGTGCGCGACGTGCTCAAGGGAGACTACAAGGCCTTCTCCGTCTTCACGCCCCAGTACGCTGTTGACGTCGTGGACATCGCCCGTCTCCACACCATCGCTTTGCTCGCCGATGACGTCAAGTCAGAGAGACTCTTTGGCTTCGCTGATTCGGTGAACAGGTCTGACATTTTCAAGACTCTTCGTGACCTGAGGCCTGACAACAAGAACATCCCCGAGCCAATTGAGAATGAGGGACGGGATCTCACTGAGGTTGTGCCGGCCAAGAGGGCAGAGCAGTTGTTGAAGGAGTACTACGGTCGTGATGGCTGGGTTGGTTACAAAGAGAGTCTGGAGGCTGGCATTCGGGACTTGTAAACGGAAGTTTGTGGTTTGATTATGAGATATGATTGGGGTAAGGCAAGTTGGCTTGCTCAAGACAGCGATATAATTGAGTCTGGGTTTGCAAGTTGCAATCGAAGTTTGTGTGATACATAAGTACAACTGACGAATAACAACTGGAAGCATAAATAACCCCATTTGTAGTTTCTGGAAGTTGTATTTGGTTTTCCCCTGCGTGTACTTAATGAATAGGTACTGTTTAGAACAATCTGTCTAAACTACTACGTAAGGTAGTGGGTTGTGGAGGTTTGGAAACCCACGATAAATGGCCGGCTAAGGCGGCAAGCGACCCGCCAACGAAAAGCTTAAATTGCTGTTGAGCTTATATCAAAATTTATGCGAGGTCTATTTTCATGGTTAGGGTATTGTGACGACAGTATGTCCTTGCTTGTGTTGTGACTAGGTAGGATAAGAAGAAATCTAGTCTCAATTATACACTTCATAACCTCCGCTGTAATGTGGTACATAATTCACGTTATACAAGACGTAAAAAGGTCTTGTCTCATAAATAAAAAGAGAAAAAAAAACTAAAAAAAAAACTTCCAGTCTTTCCTCAAATAGCTCTTGTACACTTATTCATGTCCACTTAACTATTGTTGAAATGACAGTGTGACTTAACAAGGACTTAATAGGATTAAGAAAGTGTACTCTTCAGGTTCCCAGTAGCCTTCGATGATAATCTAGTCCGATTCAGCCATGATACCAAAGCCAGACCAATGAAGTTGAATTTCAAGATTCCTACAAGAACTCCGATGTCATTGGTTCATGCTACTGATCTCAAGACACTGTCACCAAGTAACGATCAAGTACATATAAAGATACGTACCGATAATGTCACGTGAAGATAAGATAAGACGACCCATCTAGAAGCTCCATGTCAGTGCCTTGATGATGCATTTCCAAAAAAGTACCAATGGCCTGAACTTGCCAAAACATTAGCCACCACAAAACCGCGTCGCTCCATGCGCACCTCACAGCATGGCCAGCTTTCCAGCTTTCGATCCCTCTCGCCTCACGAAGAAGTCTGCAGCGCATTACTCATCCGAATCAGAAGAGGACGACGAAGATGAGTACCTAGCGCCTGTCACAGACCCGTCGCAAGAAGACTTCAGCGATTTGAACCCGCGCAAGCGCCGTCGCGTTGGCAACACAAAAGAGCGCGCCGCTCTAGGTATATTTGCATCCGACAGCGAAGACGACGGTCCCGGTCGCCGATGGAAGAAGAAGACGTTACGTGACAAGGGCATGAGCTTCGTTTCGACAGGTGCTACAACGCTTGATGAGGATGAGGATACAAACAAGGCAAATGAAAAGGAGTATTCCGATGACGATGAAGACGACGACGACGAAGAGGATGAAGGGAATGGGGGAGTCGGTCTAGGATTCGGGGCCGCGCAACGCGGCCTCGGGTTTGTATCTGCTCAAAAAGACGAGAGCGAAGACGACGACGAAGATGCGGCCGGCACTTCTGTGCCATCCTTTGCAAAGACAAGGTTCGACGGCAAGAACCCCCTAGGCCGAGGCTTTGTGCCATCATCTGCGAACATACCGGTTTTAAATCCCGATGTCGTCGACACGCCCTCAATGCCTAAGATTGCACGACCGAGTGCCTTCGGCGCAAAGGGCGCCAAGGGCAAGCCCAATCCAAAGTCATTCGGCGCGCGGATGATGGCAAAGATGGGTTACAAGGAAGGAACTGGTCTTGGAAAAGAGGGCCAAGGTCGAAGTGTCATTATCGAAGCGCATCTACGTCCTCAGGGTGTTGGCTTGGGTGCTGTCAAGGAGAAGTCAGAACACGAACGAAAAGAAGAGAAACGCCAGGCGCAACTACGAGGCGAGGTTGTTGTTGATTCTGATGAAGAGGAAAAGAAGAGGAAACGAGAAAGGAGAAAGAAGGCCTCCGGCGCGGGCGACAGCAGTACCAGCACACCGAAGCGACACAAGCCGAAATACATGACTGCAGAGGAGTTGAGGAAATCTGCCCCAGGACTGCACATTCCCGAGGCTTTTGCGCCCATCCTGGACATGACAGGCCCGGGCAACAAACTGCTGACCACAGCCTCGGGATTGCTGACACCAACTTCCGCTGCGGTTGCTGAGTCTCCTGATGTAGCAGCAGCTCGGAAGTTGGTGAAGCGTGCACATGCAGATTTGGCTGCGTTCTCAGAGGAATGGAGGAACTTGGAGGAGCGAAAGACGTGGGTTGACCTGGAACTTCGGGAGCGTGAACAAGAGATGGCCGACCTGGCATCGGATCTGGGAAGACTGCAATTGTTCTCCAACATCATCACCAACGAGCTCCCCTCGGCCACAGAGTGGTCAGAAGTAATTCGCTGCTTGAACAAGGCGGTTGAGCACATCGGGTCTTCTACGGGAGACATTGCGGACATCGCTGTTGCGGCCATCCACCCTTTCCTTCGCGAGCCAGACTGGGACTTATTGGAGCAGCCGACGCGGTTTGCTTCAGAGCTCAAGTCCCTCGGGCCGCTCCTCACAAAGTCCGGCGAGGGCGACAAGAGCGTGGACAAGTGGGACTCGACGGGCTTGGGCAACTCGGATCTCTACCGCCAACACCAAAAGGCAACGACGGCCTACGAGACCATGATGTACAAGTTGTGGTATACCAGAGCCATGTCCGCCATCCGAGACTGGGATGTCTTCAACCCAACACCTCTTCTGGCTGTTCTAGAAGCCTGGAGTGACCTGCTTCCTCCCTTCGTGCGTGCCCAGTTCCTGGACGGTGTTGTCCGCAAACTGGAAACAGCCGTAGCAGAATGGAATCCTAAGAAGAAGCGCCAGAGCCACAAACTCCCCCACCTCTGGCTGTTCCCCTGGCTACAGTACTTGCCCTCGTATCATCTCGAGCCCAAGGGCACCGGGCTGGTCGCCGAGGTGCGCAGGAAGTATAGACAACTGATCGATGTGTGGGAGTTTGACCGCGGAGTGATCCCGGGCCTGGAACAATGGCGCGAGGTGCTCGGCGACCAATGGCGCCCGTTGATCATGGGTCATGTGTTGCCGGCTATGGGACGGTACCTACGCAAGAACTTCAGAATCGACCCGAGCGACCAGGAGCCCTACCTACCCATGCTCGAGGGCGTTCTCAAATGGTCTGATATCCTGACACCCAAGGTTCTAGGCGAGGTCATCGTTGCCGAGGTCCTCCCGCTGTGGCATGATAAATTGAGCGAGTGGCTCGGTTTGGAGGACGCCAGCTTCGACGAGATCGCTGCTTGGCTAGAGTGGTGGAGGGACAGCGTCCTGCCAGAGGACATTCGAAACCTCAAGTCTGTGCAGGCAGAGTTTAACAAGGGCTTTGCTACCATCGAGAAGGCTCTAGAGAATATGGTTTAAACCATGGAGCACTCGAACGGCCACCTTATGTATAAAACGCAAATGATATGGAGTACTTGACGCACCAATACCCTTATTAGTATAACCATTAGGCTTAACCGTTCAACGGTTAAGTGAGCACTCAAAATCGAAGCCATTTTAGACAGCTGTGTTTATCTCAAAGATGACGAGTCAAATCCTCAATGTGCATGCAAATCCAGTCCTCACTCAGAAAGAAGGGTCTCTAGGCGCATCTGGATTTCTCATCATGTCACTATCCCAAAGGATAAGCTCATCTCATACTCACCAGACGTAAATAGAAACCCTTCCTTATTGGCCACAATGTCAGCCCCTTGAATGCAATAACTGGACTCCGATGGCGGAAGACGGTACGCCCTCAACGTGATCTTCTTAAACTGTGCTAAGACTGGGCACGGGCAAAGCCCACATGCCACCTGCCATCCCAGCTTCCTCCACATGCGGACATTTCCCCAAAGACAGACAGGTTGCGACGGACCCATGTCACATGGCTGCTCAATATCTCGAGATCTCCGGTCATTCGATTAGCTAACGGAAAATGAAGTGCCCTATGGATACAAGGGCCAAGCTTTTGGAGAAACAGGATTGCGGGTCTCGGGGTAGGACATCAATGCTCTAGGATGCCAAGTAGGAACAAGCTGTCAAAGCCGTAGAACTCAAAAGACCGGCTATACAGCGACGACGTCGTACTAATCGGACGAGGTGTGGCTTGAGAGTGCTTAGTTGGGGGCCAATGGAAGAATCTTTGGAGTGGTCTGCGGCAGTTGAAGTTCGGGAGATTCCTTGGCATAGCGGCGAGCCAGAATGATCGTCCTAAAAAGGGGCAGAAGCATGGTAATGGTAAGGGAAAGGTGATGATCATTGGGCAATATCTCGGCTTCTTGGTGATAGGCCGCGGTGTCATTTCAAGGATGACTCTATGCTTAAACTACAAGCTTGAATGTGTTCAAGGAAGGATGAAGAGCCTAAAGGCGCACATCTACATGAATATGCCCGCTCAATCGTTTCCCCTCGACTATGAGAGGATGTATAAATGTGGCCAAGATGATGGGCGCCTCTTTCTGAAGCAATGGCGCCAGTGGCTGTTTGAACCCCTGAGGATGGATGAACGCCAAACCGTTCATATAGATCCTTCCAGCCAATGAGAACTGATTATGTAAATGCATATCTGTGCAAGGAGATGAAAATGCCAACGTTAAAAGCAAAAAAGGTTCGGGAAGTGGGAGCCTCAATCCTTTATCATCCCTGCTGCTGTCACCCCCTTGTTTAACCTTGTCTTGCAATCTCCTCTCCTCTCCTCTTCACGCCCACGTCACCATTTTGAAACAGCATCAACCGTGAAACCTTGGGGCCGAAGAAAAGAGACTCGGAGAAGCCCCAGCGCAATACAAACAGTCTGATGGCTCCAATAAAGATGTTTGGTTGATAAGAAGTGTGAAAGGGACACCCTATTAACGTGTGATTTCCAAAACCATGTTGCCCCCATGAAATGTCTCTTCGCACGGCAGCACGATGCTCCGAGCTTGATATGGCACCATGGAATCGGTATGAGCTTGCTTGGGAATATGCTTCCGTCTCTCCGGACATCTATTGACAAAAGTGTGGCTCTTCGAAGTCCATAAAGAAACAGCAGCAAGGAAGAGAGACAGAGGGAGCAACGCTGTCCATTGCTACGCAGACCTCGGGGCTATTCTTGGATGTTGATGCAATATACTGCCATGATATTCCGTACAAAGAGTGAGCGCCTGGCGATCAGACTCTTATGATCTGACCGATGATGTTCCCAAGAAATCCCGTACCAGACGATCAGGACCGAATGAACGGGAAGACAACTCCAACTACCATCACAGGGGAAAAGCAGCGGCAAATATGCATTCGGCCATCACCCATGTGGCCTCGACTGCATCAGTTGCAAGAAAACAGCTGCAATCGCGTCATCTCACAAAAGAGGCTCGAGCGAGAGGGAGCACAGAGCTACCACCATGCTACCAGTGGCAGTCCCATCGCCAAGGTACCATCGGTGCATGGCGAAGCAAACAACTACCGGACGATGTTACTCGGCACCTGATCCCAACACATCTCCCCCGGCTTTTTTATTTTTATTTTTATTTTTTAACAGTCCACCAACTACTCCGTCAACGCCACGAGCCTGTCATCTGTAGTTCAGACCATCGCCGGGAGTCCACCTGCCCAGACCCTTGTGCGGCACTTGGCATCGTCTCATCACGTCTCCAAAACAGGGGTGGGCAGCTGGGGGCGGACCAATACACACCCCAAATAGCCTCATTGGCGCCTCTGCTCAATTTCGCTTGGTTCCCTTCTTCCAACGTCACTGTTTCTAAACTATCCTCTCGCGCTCCACCTTTCCCCAGACCGCTACGAACGAAGGAATATATGTTACAGTCCCTCCGCGGACATGGGTGCCTTGGTTTTGACACCGGCCAGGAGCGGCCGTCATCCCCGGTCTAGAACCACCTCATGAACGTCTCAAAGAGTGTTAATCACTAGCGTGAGGCTGCCTCGGGACGCCACTATACGTCGCATGGATGCCATGTTTAATCCTGTATTGTAAAGTCGGCGCTAGCTCTACATCACCCCCTGTCATGAACGGCTGAGCGGAGGCTAGGGTATTCTACATATCAATGTCAGGTCGTCTTCGATTCTCGCTCGGTAGCACTCTATGGTAATAGTCTACTAGGGCTGTCATCTCGTTGACTTTCACAGCTTCTCTTTGCTTTGTGCGTGTGTTTGTCTTCATTCTGCCTTGACGGCACCTTTTCAACCATTCGCCCAGGCGGCTATTTTTTTTCTAATCTTGCTCTCTATACCAGAGGCAGGTCCCTGGCTTATTGTAATAATCATGTCTGAACGATCGTGCCCCGTGTCTGGGTCTGTAGGCGGTGGGAGATGCCCTGTGGGAGGACATGGACAGTCGGCGAACAGACGAGTTGGTCCTAGGGGTTGTTCATTCTCGGGATACACGCAACCTGGAGATCTGCACGCTGCTTTTGATGTAAGCCAAACCACTCACATAGTAGGGCGGACCGAATTTGACGGCGATAGATACCACGTGGAGTCGATGTGGACGAGTGGCTTCGTGCTAGGTACGGGCAGTGTCATCCCCAAACTTAAAGGGTTACTCACAGTGTACAGAGAGCAGAAGGCCATCAACGAGATTCTCTATTCCGAAATCCCTTCGGCGGCACACATCACACAGGTCAAGAACGTCGACACGCTAGTTGCAGACGACAGGGATCTCCTGGCCGTTGCCTTGGGAGCGCCAGCTCGTCAAGTGATTCTCAGGGCCGAAGGCATCGGAAGGCAGACCGGATGGAAAGACGGATATCTCAGCGCCGAGTATGGCTTTTGCGCTCCCGATTCCAACGAAGCAGCAGGCGCACTTGCCAGCTGCCCAGGACGAGTCTGGTCCGACTTGTGTGAGCGTATGCCTGGCTGCGTATCGAGAGGACGAGTGAGAGAGTCTGTCGCCGCTCTGCCTCTCGTGGAAGGGACTGAAGAAAATGTGCCTGACCAAGCACTGTGGGCTGCCATTGTTGCCCTGGGTATGCTTTGCTCCATCTACAGGTATGAAGACAAGAACGACGGCTACGACGGAGTCAGCATCAGCTCCATCTCCACCAAGCCCCGCGTCGAGATGAGCGACGACCTCGGGCCGGAACTGGTTGGAATTCCACGGACTATTGGACTTCCTTACTGGCAGATTTCGAGACGTATGGGACGTGCCATTCCGCATCTGACCTTCTACGACCAGGCATCGCACAACATTAAAGTGCGAGACCCGACTTCCATCTACCCCTATGTCGGGCGTTTTGACAACACGGACTTGCGTTGGCCCATGTTCGGAGAGCGCACCGAGATTGCTTTCTTGAAGGGATGTGCTGATACGTCAGGTTGGTAGATTGTTATAGTTCAGACTTTCACATACTGACCTTCCAAACAGCGTCGTTCCAGCATGGCCCTGATGCCATTGCCGCCTGTCAAGAGCATGTGATGAACCGAAACAATGAAGGCCTCTTAAGAGAGATGGTCAGACTTAAGGAGATCCTCGAGCGAATGCCCAACGCCTTCCATTCCATCTCGACGAATCCGAACTCGGGCGATAACTACGTATCTGCCGCTGAATGGGTTCGATGGGGGAAGTTTTCCGCGCCACTATCCAAGAGATGCCCGGCCGCCTCCGGCCTCCAATTTCCACCTTACCTCCTTATGGATGCTTTCCTTGGCCGGAAGAAATACGATTCATTCCTCGGAAACGAAGGATTGCACCTCCGAGCATGGCTGCCTTCTAACCTTCGAGCGTTCATCGCAGCTGTCGAATATCACTACCGCATTCCAGAATATGTCAAGGAATCTGGTGATCCCCGTCTCATGGGTGTACTTGACGGAATCATCGAGGCCTATGTGGGCGAGCGCGGATTCATGGGTACACATCGATACAAGGTGTTTGGGATCCTGGAGGTAGCATCCAAGACTGGTCGAACAGAAACAAACGGTGCTTCGGGCGCGTCCGACGACTCTGGAAGACCATGGGAGGAGGTTCACCGACAGTTTGCGGACGCTATGAAGGAGCGGCTAGAGCCTCATCGTGGAAACATCCCCGTTGAACCCCACGAGATGCGCGGCACGTTTGAGGAGTGTCGTTACAAGTCCCGCATCCTTACCCGGTCCTTTGTCGACTCGGACCCCGAGCGGTCCATCGCTATGGTCACACTAGACCTTCACAACAAAGGTATCACCTTCCAGCCCGGCGACAGACTGGCCATCATGCCTCTTAACAGCTGGGAGGAATGCGCCAAGGTCGCCGCAGCCCTCGGTCTTGACTCGATGCTTGATGCCCCTGTTCTACTTGACCGCAAGTGGTCTCGCTTTGCCGAGCACCTCGATACTGTGTCTAACCATGGTCTCATCAGACCCACGGGCAATGTAAAAAAGTTGATGGTCAAGGATATTCTTCGACGAGGCCACTTGGCTCCGCTGACTCAAGAGCTCGTCCTCAAGATCCACGCCATGCTCCGGGCTTCGTCCAACACAGTTCTCCAAGTGCTGGCGACTGACGAATGGCCAGTCCGAGGCTCTCTTGGCGACCTTCTCCAGGCTGCTGTGATGGACACTCCAACGCACATCTGGGACCACGCTTTCGATCTTTCCAACAACATTCCCTGGCTGAGCGATCTGATCCCCGTGGAGGTTCCGCGTACGTATTCAATCTCGAACTTCCCTGAGGGACTACTTCCTAGTACTGTCGACCTCACAATCTCGCGCGCGGAATACAAGCTTTGCTCTACATTTGCCGGGAAAAGCAGCATCACTCGCTCTGGAGTCAGCAGTGGATACCTCAACCCTCCAGTCGGCTCGCCAGACGATTTCATCGCCGATGACGACGATTTACTCATTGGCGTCTCCAGGCCCATTGCCTTTCAACTGCCGATCGACGGCGCCGCTCCTTGTGCTTTCTTCGCTGGTGGCAGCGGAATCGCCCCCTTCAGGGGCTTCTGGCAAGCCCGGGCTGGCCGCTCTGTTGGTAAGAATATGCTCTTTCTCGGCGTACAAAACCGCGAAAAGTTTTGCTACGAGGATGAATTACGCCAGTATGTCAACGCCGGGCTCATGGAGGTTCACCTCGCCTTTTCTCGTGACAGCCGCGGCCTTGCGTACGACCCATACCTCAGAGACCTCGTCGAGCGCCACACGGAGCCAAGATACATCGATACACTCATCGCAGAGCAAGGCGCCGGCGTGTGTGACTTGGTCATGTCGAAGAAGCAGGGCGGCCTTGGCGGCTACTTGTACATCTGCGGCTCGGTGGCCGTCTTCGACTCCGTCATGAGCGGCTTGCGCAAGGCTATATACAATCATCGCACAACTACCATGGAATCGACGGACTCGATCATCAACACCGCATTTGCTGAGCGAAGAATCATGTTGGATGTGTTCATGACCCCAAAACCGCTCCCTTGCAATCTTCCCACGATCCCTCTTTCACAACTGGCGCTACACACCGGTCACCGGCCGGGAGGCAGGATGTGGATTGGTGTTCATGGCAGCGTCTACGATGTGACTGACTTTTGTCCTATGCATCCAGGAGGCAACCTGATTATCAAATCAAACGCCGGCGTGGACTGCACAAAATCGTTTGATAACCTGGCGCATACCAACAACCCCGAAGTCGCCAGCCTGCTCACCAAGTATTTCGTTGGCAACCTGACGCCCAAGCCGGAATACCATGACAGCGACGAACTAAGCAGTCTCTACGACATGTGGTCAGCTTACCTTCGCACAACAGTCGAGACGCTCGTCGCGCAGCAGTTCGAAATGGACGACATCATGGGGTCCTCCAAGCTCTGGTTCCAAGGCAGCCTCATCAACATGCTCGGCGTGCGCATCTTTTACCAGTACCAATCACGAGTCCTCCAGGGCGGCTTCTCTGCACTCTTTGGGCCAAAGTTCCAAGAGCTCGTGCTCAAGCTCTCCTTTACGATGGCCAACTCCGCCTCCCCCGGCTCTGATACCAAGCTCCCCGATATCCTCGGCATCATCGCCCGCGCCAAGACGTCCTCCGACGCCGTGGCTACTTCGAAGGAGGTTTCCCGCATCGGACAGTTCATCTGCGACTCGGAGCCGGCACGTTTTATGGAGCGCGGCATCATGGACTACGCCAGCAAATCCGTGCAGTATGATATCGAGCTCCTCGAAGACATCCGCGAAGAGGCGTGCCACGGCATGGACGCCTTCGACACCATCATGAACCTCGAGACGTCATCCGACTTTCAGCGTGTGACGGCACTGTGTCAGTTCCTCATGCAGATTCTGGAGCGTATGGCCAAGAGGCTGGAAATGTTTTACTCCAAGCTGGCTCAGTGTTCCATCTACCAGCCCGAAATCGAGCGCAATCCCGCCCGCACACGGTGGAACCTTCTCAGGAGGCGCATCTTTGACGGGTCGTTCTTCGTGCTCACGCAGAGCACCGTTATCGGTGCCGCACCGGGATACAAACCTGTGCAGGAGACGGTCGAATTCGACAACGTGCTCTCGCAGATCCAACAGACTATCCGCAACGCGCCTCATGTACCGCCACCGCCGCCATCCGGCACGCAGACAATGCAGCTCAACGAGCGGCATAGAGTGAGGGCAGAGGCGCCTGTGCATGGTGCCTCGGCGTTCGAATCGCACCAGAACGGCAACGCGCTCAACCGCATGTCGACATTCATCGACAAGAACATGCGCGCCATCCGGAGGCTAAGCAAGATGCCCCCGATGCCGCTCAATATGAGCTTCGAGCAGATGGTGGTCGCGAACCAGCCGCAGTTCCCGTCCCACGGGGTGACCACCCCCCCCTCTAGCCGTGGCTCGAGTAGATCTCCAACGAGAGGCCGCGCACCCGCTGCGAACGCTTTGCATACTCAAGGTCTCCCTCACTCGCGGACACCGTCGCTCGCCGAAGCATCTATGGCCCGCGCGACTCTTAACCGCAGAGGCACGAACAGCTCCGACGGGGCGCGGTCGATGTCCTCCTTTTCACATCACCACCAGATGATGATGGTGCATCATGGCATGTCCCATCTTCCACCGACCCCGGTCGCGACGCCGCCGCTCGATCCCAACACGGCGATCCAATCAATGGTTAGCCGTCTGAACTTGAAGTCGCGCGGCGTGGCGGGGTCGTCGCCCGCTTCACCGGCCCTGTCGCTGGACGAGAAGGGCCGGGTGACGCGCATGTCGGCGGCTGGGTCAATGCATAATCCGCGGGCAAGGTCGACGAGCACGTTGAGGTCGTTCAAGTTGCGGGAGTTGGTGGCAAGCCAGGAACAGACGAGGATTGCGCCGACATTTTGAGGTATTGTTTGAGAAAGCTTAGTTGAGAGGGTGAGCCGTGCCTTCACAATGGGAATTATTATATCAACTATTATCGATTGTCTTGAAGTTCAATGCGTCCTCGTGATGTTTGATGCTCGGATCTCACTGAGTATAGTTATGGTGAAGTAAAGAGGTCTCTACATCCTACGGCTCCCTGCTCTCCGCGGTGTTGAGGCCAAGTCCATACCTTGCTAGACGTTTTGATTTTCAGTTACATGCCGAAGCAATAAAACTGGCGGATGTTTCCAAAGAACAAATGTCAAAAACAGACTAGAGACGAATTCACATGACAAGAAACAACAAGACTGGAGACGAACGAGCCATTAGCATTTCACTGTTTAGTCGCTCGTATCGTATACGGTGTTAATCCACTTAATCTGCCGCCGAACCCTTGCAGATCCACGAACGGTTCATCTCAGCTGACATGTCACTAGACGCCATCGGTTTTCGGCATCTATCATGGTTTTACTGAGGCCATCTCCATGGATCTTCCCACAGGATCGACCGAAGGCAGCAACATTTTGCTGTACAGGTAACACTACATGACGATTCCATCTCAAAGAGGAATCGTCACGAGTCATTTTCAAAAGACCTACTACAATGGAAGGACGAGTCTACCATTCTTCCTCATAACGGCAAAGGCGGCAAGATTCTTCAACACAAACCGAAGAATACGACAACTAGATTTTACTAGAGTGTAAAGAGTGAATAAAAGAACCTCCAATCAACCACCGAGATGATCGTCCAACTGTGGCGAGTGCAATCGTGGCTGGGTATCCCAACCCAACCGTCATGAGCGTGTGGCTGAGCACACCAACCAACCGCGAAAGCCCAGATCGACACAACGAAACTTGGCCCAATCATACCAAGCGAACATGACATCGCCACATCTCAAACCTGCCTCGCCCCGGCTTCCCCCCAGCGCCCAAAAAGTCTGTCCCTTCCCTGCCATTAGCAGCCCATCCCAATGTAGGCTGTAACGCTCAACTGACAGATGTCCCCCCCCCCCCCATGATATCATTTTCCAACTTGGCAGATGGGCACCGCATCGCTTGTCTCAGCATGATTTGCCCAGCAGGGTCCACCCCGGTGACGAAGCTATTCCCTCCCGGCCAGCTGTATGTAGTAGTATCTTTAGTTCGGGTCTATACTAGGTACTAGTATGGAGCATCGTTCTGCCCGGCCTCGGTTGAGCTCTCGCGTTTACACCCCCACCGGCGCTCGACTGCGCCTGGGGAGAAACAGCGAGTTACCTTAGTGTAGGTATTCGGGCGAATATGTACAATCCCTGCAGCCGTGTACCTGCATCAGCTGCCTCCGCGTACATTACTCTCAGTGTAAACCAAAAGTGCCTTTTTGAAGTGGCGCCTTTTGCCGAGGAACATTCATCTGATGTTCGCTGAAAGAAAAAGCGAGCGGGCGCCCCCGGTACGAGTGTACAGGCAAGCAACCAACCAACCAACCCACACCAGAGCAAGGTTAATCGGCACATCCGTATCGCTTGGTAGTGAGTAGTAGTAGTAGTAGTAGTACGTGGTAGGCCTCATTGGATACGATGAATGGGCAGTGCCACCCTCCCCAATAGACTTTGGATTATAAGTAACGTCGAACTCTTTTGCTACCGTTGACTCCGTGACTCCCCCCCTCCCCTTCCATACGCGTGTCATCCTTCATACTTTTCTCTCCTCTCGTATCCTACTTACACGTTAATAATCTTTCATCAATCAACCAACCAACCAACGAACGTCAAAAATAAAGAAAGGTCATCTCGAAGCAACAATGGAGAAACCAACAAACCAGGCTCCGGCACCAGCAGTCGACCGGCACCCTTCAGACAACTACATCTCCTCCGCCGGCCCGCCACCAGAGTACCCTCCAGGCGAACACCAGCCGCACGGCCAGCAACAACAACCCTACGAACTACCAAAATACGGCGCCCAACCCCAGGATCCAAACGCATACTACGGCGCCCAGCAGCAGCCCCAGCAGCCCCAGCAACCCTTTGGCGGGCCGCAGAACTTTGCTCCCTACGGCACGCCGCTGCCGGCGCTCGGTCCGCACCCGGCGCCCATCGAGTGTCCCGACTGTCATGCCCGCGGCGTGACGGCGGTGGAGTACTCGTCCGGCGGGTTCACGCACTCGCTGGCGGCGATTGTGTGTTTCGTCACTTGTCTAGGTTGCATCCCGTACTTCTTCACCTCGTTGAAAGATGCCAGACATAAATGTGCCAAGGTATGTTTTTTTTTTTTTTTTTTTTCCCCCTTTCGTTCGAGTAAGTTGAGAAGGGGAACCGTGAGATTGACTAGTTGGTAGTGCGGAATCCCGCTGGCCACGTATCATCGTAGTGGACGCACCGAGGTTCACTGGCACGGTGCCTATCGCGGCTGAATGCTGACTGGCGAACTGGATCTTGGATGAGAGGTCGTATCGTGTCAGGAGGAATCGCGGCTCAAACATTGGACAGCCGTCCGGGACAGGTGAAGACATTGTTGACAGGCATGATTATCACGCAAGGCGCTTGGGATACCCTTTTTCTTTATCATTGAATATAGAAGTAATTCATTTCGATTTCGTCTTGATGAACAGGTTGCACTAAATAGTCAAGTTTTGTCTCTAGTGAAATGGCCCTTTCCGTCGTTGAACAATGCCGTATTGAACGCCATATTACCATGATCTTCGTTTCGCTCAAACTATTGCCTGTGCCAAGCGGAACTCGGCCATGGGTCTCTCCATGACCTCCACAGCATCTCTGAGGAATGGCTTCCTTGACAGAATCGACGCCAATGTCTCAGGTGCTCTGCCGCATCCCCGGCCGGCGTGGCTATTCCAACGTCGATATCGAGACCTCTTGGATCCGGTCGTATTGTCATGGCAAGTGTAGACAAACCCCCGTCACTGAATGGGACCAAAGCGAAAGCCCACCGAGGACATGTTGCGGGTATCTATTCGATTATGTACAAGCTCCCCTAAAATCTATGTCATCAGCGAAGGCATCACGTAATCGTCAGATGGTACGCCGTACTTTTGACCCCTTTACGCCTGCCTCCTGTTTGCCCCGTTGACTCGTAAATCATTACGCCTTCAAATTTGCGGCCGTCGCCCGAGCTCTAGCGGCTCGACGTCCTATGCTTCACACGCGGCACGAGATGCCTCCTCAGTCACTGTACTCGCAGTGTACTGTTGTATGATTGCTTGTTGTGAATCAGTTGGCGAAGATGCGGACGTTCAAGTCGACACTTCCTGTTGCGATGACGCATCGGATCTGAACGTCTGCTGGTTTCGCCGTCTTGCTCGGGGTTCCGTTGACGCCATTCTGCCCGTCCCCGTTGGTTGCCGCCTCACGCACAATGCCTGGCGCCCATCGCAAGCATGACACGAAGTGACCGTGGACGTCGTCGAGCACCTTGACGCATTTACCCTCCTGTGCCAAATCCCAGCATCGTAATGTCTTGTCGTCTGATACACTAAGGAGGTACTTGCCACCTGGATGAAAGACGAGAGCGCGCACCCAGTTGTCGTGGCCAGTCAAAGTCTTGATACAGTTTCCTCGCGCATCCCACAAACGGATTGCCTTGTCACGACTGCCGGTAGCCATAAATTCGGCGGTATTCGTTGCCGGCGGCGGCTTCTTCAGTCCTGCGAGGGTCGCCAAATGAGGGTAGGAGGTAGACGGTGCGAGTGTACAGCATTCGACGACGTGCTCATGGCCAACAAGCATCAGCTTGACCTCGGGGTTGGAGGCGCTGATATCCCAAAGGCGTCCCGTTTGATCGTTTCCGGCCGAGAGAAGGAAGCGGCCGTCCGGTGAGGGGCAAACATCACGAACCCAATCAGCATGTCCACGTAGTGTCTTGACGCAGTACCCGGTCGAAACATCCCAAATACGCAGAGTCTTGTCGCGACTGGCTGAAACGAGGAGGTTTCCTGAGCCCGGGGCTCCTGCAGCTCCAGAGGGAATGAACCTCACCGCACTGACGCTGTGATCATGACCGGGCAACGTTCGGATGTTTTTGTACTCGTCTGAAGGGTCCCAAAGCTTAATGGTTAAGTCGCTTGAGCAGGAAGCCAGCAGTGTGGCACCGCGGGGTCCTCCAAAGTCGACGTCCAGCACAGCCTTGGTGTGTCCCTTGATCGTCCTCTCCAGCTCGCCCAGTTCCCAATCCCAGATCTTGATGGTGTAGTCCTCTGAACCCGAGGCCAGGGACGAGAATACGGGGTGAAAGGCGACGCAGGTGATGGGGTCTCGGTGGGATTGGAGAGTGTGTCGGGCGGGGGACCGGGGAAGCCAGCTGGTGGGATCCTGGTTTCGTCGGGACAGCGAGGTCGGTGTCGCGTTGTCGATTTCTGATTGCAGTGAGGCGGTTCGGGACTCGAGTTCCATGATCTGGGTGGCATCGACGTCAGTCAAGGTCATTTAGGACGTGTGGAAGCGACCTGAAGCGACGGACCTTCTTCTGTAACCTTACAACGCTGGTCCACTTCTTCTCCAGCAAGCCCTCGTATTTCTTGGAGGTGGCGGCATCGAACGACTCGCCAATGTCCAGCTCCTCTCTTAGGGCGGCAGCGGCATTGGGAAGATTGCTTGAAGAGAGGTATGCGATGATGGCCTTGTGCCTGTTTGACCTTGGTAAGTAAAGAAGATTCCAACATGGTAGACTGGAGACGGAGAGACGAACAGCTCCTCGGCTTGCCGAGGGGTCAAGATTTGGCTCATTGCGGTGTGAGGTCGAAGCTCTCAAGGGACATGGACCAGCAATAGAGAAATTGGCGAGCTCCCAAGTGTCGAAGAAGCGGGGACAGACACACAAAGGCGAAGACGCAATACAGCAGAGTCGGTGAGACAGTTGTTATTTTGGTCCGGAGTGGGAAAAAGGGTGCTCGGGGCTTCGTCCGGCGGTGTCGCGGCAACCTGGGATACGCGACTGAGACCACACACAGGCAGGGCTATGGGGAATGGTGTGGGCAAAATCTGCAAGGCTGGTGGTGTCAATTGATGGGCGGGAGCCAGATTATTTCCTCGTATCTTTGGAAATGATAGCCTCGTCTTCGGCTGGGCCAATTTGCTGCGGTAGAAATGCGGACAGAGTCAAGGGCCAAAGCAGGCCAAGTGGCAGGTAAAGTATCAAAGGCGGTGTCGGTACCGGTGTTGGTGACGGTCGGGGAATTTCGCGTTGTTGGGTGTCAGTGCTTTTGGAGGCGCGGTGTGTGGATTTGGATTTAGGGGTTGGGTTCCCAGGCGGTGGGAAGCATGACTATGTCTAGGGAGGAATTCACGACCGACTGTGCAGGGCAGTCTCTTTTTTTTTCTAACGTTGTCGCATGGGTTGACAACGATGGAAGATTAATGCAATGAAGAGAGAGAGAGAGAGAGGGGTGAAGGGCTTTAGGAGGGGATGTGACGCTGGAGGTGGGCAGCGAAATGTTTCATGTGCTTCTCGACGCTTGAAGAAAGTTGGAGGAGCCCTGTTTGGCTGCTTTGGGCTGTTTTTGGGGGGGGATAATAACCTTACAGCCGGCGATGAAGCGGTACGCAGTGGCAGCCGCAGGTATTGGCAGCCGGCAGTGACCCCAGGCGGTTGATGGACCCCTCCACAGGGGCCCTGGGGAAATCTGCGGTGTGAGCACCAGCCACAGTATCCCCTCCTACATGAGGCTAGTGATTGAGCCTTACTGTGGCTCGTGTCAGCCTGATCGAGGGAGTGAGCTAGCAGGGCTGGCAAGCATGGCCTGACGGGCCTTACCAGCTGTCGTAGACATGAGCCTCCCCCAGTGACATCACCCAAGAGGGCTGTTTCTATGGCAATGGATCGGTTGCCCATTGGCTATGACCAACTGCATCAAACATTAGATGATGGTGGTACTTGCGCTGCATCAGCCTTTCGGCACAACAGCAGCCCCCCAGTAACTCAGGGTTCAGCCTTTCTCCCCATAGCACAGGCACAAAGAAAGTCAGCGACAGATGGGACGGGATCAGTCTTGGGATGGATAGGTGTTTCACACCGCCACAGACTCTTCAAGGCACAGATTTATGCCATGATTGTATTATCCCAGGGAGTGGGTAACCCCCAAAGTGGCTTATAACGGCCATTAATGCATGAAATGAAGAAAGTGCATCCGTCTGCTGGGAAAAAGAAAAGACTTAATCAATTCACATTCCAGGGCTAGCCTAGTACTGGTACTAGATACTGGATGCCTTGCCGGCTAGGTGAGTGGTGAGGCAGAGGTGAGTGCAGGTAAACCAAAGGTCAAGCCCCAGTGGGGGGCATTGTTTCTGTTATCCTGTCCTATCCATTGGTGACCAGACCTGGTGAGTCATGTGATCACTGTTTACCTGGGGAATCAACGCCCAACTCTGCCCAATCACCCTGTGCATCCCCCCACACACAACACATCAGGGACGAATAAGGGAGCCGGATGTAGCAGACCCAAGGACCCACATCCTCTGACCACAGCCCAATGCCCCCATCCCATCCCTAACAGGACTGTACTGACTGGTACTACTGCTGCTGTACTAGTATGTGGCCTGTGAGGTGATCCCCATCCAAGCACAGCAAAGCAAGGTTCACTACACACAGCAGGGCCACAAAGAGGCACCAGCCTAGGGTCCCTCCTTCCTTGTCCCGACAACCAAAAATTCCCTGTGCTTTCTTTGCTGCTGTTGCTGCTTTGCTGGGAAAACAAAAGAAAACAGTTTATCCACCCCTGGCATAAACCGACTACATCCTCACGGTTGGACTGACGTCGACTTTTTTTTTTCCCTCTCTAAACATTTTCACCTGCAACCACCGCCTCGGGAACTAACTAAATACCCTTTAGAATTCTTTCTGGCGCGACCTTTGACCCCCTTGTTTCCACGCGAACACGCACGCACACACATACACTCTACACACCGCACATACCTTCTTCCTCGTCGCACAAACCTCCTACTACTTTCTATACCTCAACCACCTTTTCCCCAGCTTGTCACTTTTGCAGTCACTCTCGGCTGTCAAACACTTCACTCTATACGAGCACCATACTTGCTCTGTTTTCCGCTCCTACCGTACCGCCAAGTATCCTCCATTGACTTGACGACCTGACAACTCTTGCTGTCGTGACAACATCATCCATCACCTGGCTTAGTTCCTGCTGGATTCCCATATTGTAAGTCATAATCCCTCTCCCTAGGTCAAAACCTCTTCTGGTTGCTGTTGCTGGCTGTCTGCATGACTATCTCTTCAGCGCCTACTACCCTTCCTCTCACTATGGATCGCCATATCAAACATTCGCGTTCCCTCTCGAAACTAATCCGGAGAGTAGCTAGCTTCGCAAAGTCAGACGTCCACGACAAGGAGAACTGTCCTCCCGACTCGAGTCCCTCCCTACCACTCAAAGTAACTCGACCGCCACCTCCGCAACCACGGCATCAAGCCTCAGTTTCAATGGCTGAAGAGGAGGACTTTAGCGCCCTCCCCCTCCCGGACAGGTTTGTCCACAAGGTAGGACAACGTTCGCGACGCGCTCATCGGCTTGGATATATATACTTACGCGCCCTAGGTATGGAAAGTCCGCAAGCAGGCCTACGAAGATGCCGCCAAGGCGTTCGCCGCCACCGCCGACGAGAACGATAATGCCTTCAGACCATTTCTCTCCGACTCGGGCCTGTGGAAGGGCGCCGTCGCAGATTCAAATGTTGCTGCTCAACAAGAAGGTCTAGCCGCATACTGCGCCTTTCTCAAGTTCGGAGGCAAGGAGCAATGCACAAGGACACGCGGAGTAACGATTGGTCCGATTTGCGAAAAGGGTTTGCCGTCGACCCGTGCCGCCGCCAAGGAGTCGTCGCTAGAGGCTCTCCTGCTGCTCGTCGAGCTCGACGTCGCCGCCCCCGTTATCGAGGAAATTCTCCCTGCCCTCTCCAACAAGCAACCCAAGGTCGTCGCCGCCGCAATCACCGCCTTGACGTCCATCTACCACAACTATGGCTGCAAGACGGTCGACCCTAAGCCTGTCCTCAAGGTCCTCCCCAAGGCCTTTGGTCATGCCGACAAGAACGTCCGTGCGGCCGCGACAAACCTCGCAGTCGAGTTCTACCGATGGCTGCGCGAAGCCATGAAGCCCATGTTCTGGGGCGACCTCAAACCCACACAGCAGACCGATCTCGAGGCCCAGTTTGAAAAGATCAAGTCCGAGCCCGCTCCTAAGCAAGAACGCTTCTTGCGCTCACAACAAGCCGCCATGGCGCGTGCGCCTCCTCCTGGCGCAGAAGGAGAGGAGGAGGACGGTGATGACTACGCCGAGGAGCCGGCTGAGGTGGACGCCTTCGATCTGGCGGAGCCACAAGACGTATTTGCCAAGATTCCTGCAAACTTCCACGACAACCTGGCCTCATCAAAATGGAAGGAGAGAAAGGAGGCCTTGGAGGCATTGTACGCCGCGCTCAATGTCCCGCGCATCAAGGACGGCGACTTTAACGAGATCAACCGCGGACTGGCCAAGTCTATGAAGGACGCCAACGTTGCTGTTGTAACCCAGGCTGCTCAGTGTATCGAGGTCTTGGCCAAGGGCCTGAGGACAGGATATGCCAAGTACCGCACAGTTGTTATGCAGCCTATCATGGAACGGTTGAAGGAGAAGAAGGCTACCGTGGCAGATGCCCTTGGTGCTGCGTTGGATCAAGTCTTCCTGGCTACGAGCCTCAGCGAGTGTCTCGAGGACATCACGGCTTTCCTTGTTCACAAGAACCCCCAGGTCAAGGAGGGTACTATGAAGTTCTTGATCCGCTGTCTGAGAACGACTCGCGATGTGCCCAGCAAACCGGAAATTGCCAGTATTGTCGAGTCCGGCAAGAAGCTGCTGTCTGAATCCAGCGAAGGTCTGCGTTCCGGAGGTGCCGAGATTCTGGGTACGGTCATGAAGATTATTGGTGAGCGTGCCATGAACCCTCACATGGAGGGTCTTGACGACATTCGAAAGACCAAGATCAAGGAGTTCTTCGAGACCGCCGAGGTCAAGGCAAAGGAGAAGCCCAAGGCGCCGCCTCCAGCTGCGAAGCCCCCAGCGGGCCCCCCCAAGAGGCTTGTCGGAGGCAAGAAGCCCGCAGGCCTGAAGAAGCCTGTAATGCCTGCAGCCACCGCCGCACCGCCCGCCGACCCTGAGCCGCTCTCACCTCAAGCAAGCTCCCGTCCCAAGCCCGCGGCTGCCAAGCTGGGCATGCCGAAGCCGTCTGGCCTCGCTGGGCTCAAGTCCAAGAGACCTTTGGGAGCTCCAGCTGCTGCAGCACCAGCAGCAGCAGCTTCCCCTCGCCGCCCCGCAGCCGCTCCTATCATGCCCGAAGATGACGAACCTGCTCCTCCTCCTGCCCAGCCCCGACTCGGCCTTGGCCGCGGTGGTCTGGCCGGACGATCCCTCGCCAAGCCTGCCGCTGCTCCTGTGCAGATGCCGCCTGCGTCGCCGCCGCCGTCAAGCGGTCTCACAGCAATGGAGCGGGCCGAGCTTGAGGAGCTGAGAGTATCGAACGAGCGTCTCACTCGCCAAGTTGAAGAGATGAGGCACGAGAGGAGCAAGTTCATGTCCGAGATCCAAGAACTCAAGAATCAGAACGCTAGCCTCATTGAGGACCACACCCGCGATGTCCTCAGCATCAAAGCCAAGGAAACACAGCTTGTCCGCGCGAGAAGCGATGCTGAAGCAACGGAGCAGACCAATGACCGCCTCAGGCGTGAGCTTGACCGCCTCAAGAGGGCGCTCAACCACGCGGAAGGACTCAACTCCAGGTCAGGCATGGTCAGCCCAGGTAAGATGCCATTTACTATTCATTTCAGAATTACCGCTAACCGAGTACAGGTGTCGCTTCACCCACCCACGACGACGCTGGCATCTACCGTGACAACTCCTACGGTACCTCGTCTTCCAGACACAACCGCGTCAGTTACGCTAGCAACATGTCGGAGGAGAAGGAGAATGGAGAGCACCACTACCCCCGGTCAAAGGCACTCAGCCCTGAACTCAGGTACACCGGCAGCGCTTCTTCTGGTCGTGGCAGCCCTGCGAGGGGCTACCGCAGCTCCATGGCCACACCAATCGACGATGCACCACCGCCGTCCTACTCTTCAGGCGGTGGCGGCCACAGTTCAAACAACAATGGCGTAGAGAGCTGGAAGCGCGCCGCTGAAGTCACCAGCCAGCTCAAGGCCAGGATCGAGCAAATGAAGGTCAGTAGTTCATGGTGTCACCCCTTTTTTTTATTGCATTCGCTAACGTTTAGCAGGCGAAACAAGGATTTGCCCGCCCTTAAGCTGGCCAACACCCCCGGAGTAGGAGGCAATGTGGGATGTCATGTGAATATGAAGGCGGTTTGGTTTGGGGTCATGATGGTCACGGTTGGGGGGATCCGGCGAGTTGTTCTTGGTTGCATATCACTGGCGTCGGATGCATACCCACACCTCATTTGAGGTCCGGCCTGCAGTTGGAAGCAGACATGTTTGTGTCTGTATGAGCTATGGATTTTCAGTTTTTTTGTCAACCTCGTCTGTATAGCCCCGTGGGCACGAGTTGTATTTTAATTCATGAAGATTATGAACAGTGGAACTTGAACCCGGTGTAATGCCGGATGCTTGAGTACGGTCACGCAACCTTGACGTGAATATGTGGTATCTTGGATTTTTATTAATAACGTTGATTGTAATAGAACCTTGGTGATGGACCTTTGCCATCTTGTAACGCCCATCCCAAAAACTCCAAATTTTCCTTGCTTTTGTCATACAATGCCCAATACCTGGATGGTCTCCATCATTCATCATCCACCATCTTTCGTAACGCTGAAATCGCTAGTAAATCCATGTTGTCCCCCTCGCAAGTCCTTTGACCGTCTCAATTCATGAATTCTCGTCAAATCATTTTCCAATTCGTCTTGACTCCCCATTCTTTTCGTAAACATCCCATAAGAGTTACCTGTAGATGGGTCAGGCAGAGTTCAACCAGTCGTAACCGGCGTCATACGTCTTTCTCCACCGCGGGATGAACTTGGGCCCCAGCCCCCCGACTTGCTTGTTCCTCGCCTTGTCCGCCAGCTCCACGATGGCGCTCACGTCCCTCGTGTCGATCTTGAGATCCGAGGCCGCCTCGGAGTAAGGCGAGGGCCGGAGGGCGTCGTGGTCCATTGCCGGTTCCCTGGTGTGCAGATCGATACGCACGGGGTCCACGCGGAGCTTGCTCGGGTCGACCGTGTCTACGCCGATTCTGCTCTTGTAGTTGGGGCCTGATAGTTGCGGGAGGAGTTTGTTGTCTTTGGGAGTTGGGGCCGCGATGGAGAGGGGGATGAGCAGTGCGATGATTGCTGTGAGGTGCATTTTTGATTATTGTTTTCGAGGGTGTTTTCGGGTGTCTTGTTGGATCCTTTTTCGATGGGAGATTTGAAGATACGGGCACGTGCGTCTACGCTTTGAAGAGTTCCCGACACGTCGAGGTGGGAAGAGGGGACGGTGACGGTGGCATCTTGGCCGTCTTATAGTTTTGTATGAGAAGCTTTCTCGGTGGTTCCATACCACGCGGGGTGATCTGATCTGATCGGAGATGGAAGGGAGGGGGAGGGAAGGTGTAGGCCCAGACCAGGAGAGCGTCAACCCTTTTGGAGGGGATTCAGTCGGAACGGGCGCCCGTCAGCTGCCAGGTAAGGTAGCTCTCTTTTATGGCCCGCGCGTCGGTGTGCTGGGAGAAACTTTATCGTGAGGGGAAGCGCCGGCGGAAAAAGGGTTCCCCCTCCTTTTGGGTGTGTCCCGTTGTGTTTTGGAGTGAAGTCATTCACGGCGTCGGCGGCCAACCTTTGGCGCGGTTAAGCTTTGGCGGGGGGGGGGGGGGGGGTTGTGATGGTCACGGTTTGGGTTTGGGCAACCACTGGTTGAGGTTCCTGAGGATGTGACGAGGTTAGGGTTCAAGGTGCGCTTGGTGTGAAGAGTTTGTCTTGGTTTGCTTTTCATAACTATCTGTGTTGATGACTCGTGTTGAGTGTGGATGAAGAAATGGTTAAATGATGGGGCTACACTATTGGGACACATTTATTGTTGCTGCGTCGCTGGTTGTTTCTACTATGGGGCATTCCGGCTCGCGCCGTTGGATCTGGCTAGGAGTTTTGGCTAGTCTCTAGCGCGGACTTAATTTGAACGTATGTCAATTTGCTGCCAGGCTCGGGGTAGTGTTTGCGTGTCCAAGTTGCCGAAGGTATGTAGCGCGATGCGGTCTAGCCTTGGCTGTCTTCATCTATAACTCGACCTCTTTGCTTGTCACCGTTTGCTCCTCTCCCAGTGATAGCAAAATGAAGACGGCGGTTAAGGGTGCTGAGAAGCGGGCGAATTACTTAGCATTGTGATGGCAACAGCAGTTGAAGACATTGAGACCTGCACACATTAAGGTATTAAGGTAGCACAAGCATTGCGGCAATCGTGGGCATATTGTGACCAGACGCCATAGCTCTGTAAATCACAGATCTATCAAGTTCCAGGGCGTCATAACCGAACAGCTTCTGGGCAAAACCTCAAACTTAATACATCAGGTAGAAAGCAAGTCCGCCCGGTTACGTATTAGGTCCTTCATATTGACCGAAATGTCAGTTGAAGCATCAGATACACATGGTACAGGACCCATTCGAAAATCTGCTGTCACGGCACGACACGGCATCCGTAGTATATAGCAGCGCCCGAGGCAACATCGAGAATGCATGATATGCTACCTTAGGTATTGAGAACACTCAGCGCGGAATGGACAGTTTGGGCTGGGAGTTGGTAGGATTGATCGAGTTGTCGACGACCATCTCTAGCAAAAGCTCCCACCATTACATTGTCGTAAGTTCCGAAGGGGAACAATCGTGCTAAGTCAATGATGCACCAGGCCCTCGAAGTTGAATGCGTCCACATCTCCCTTGGGCACTTGAAACGGCTGGAAGCATCCTTTCGCAACGGAGGTGCCTTTCCTAACTTCTCTATTCTCTTCTTTTCTATGAGTTCTTCTATCATGCCTTCCGTCCAAAATATGACCATTTTCTTCTTGATCTTGCGGTCGTCATCTACGCCTAGGTGGCATAGTAGCGCGTCGTAATTATCTTCGTCAGGTTGGGCTAATATGAATGTCCTCACATCAATTTGCTTACCTCTGCCCAGGGGGCCGTGTTATTTTCGTTTCCCCTACTCCGTCTAAGTTGTTGTAACAGTTCGTATTGAGCCCGTCGAGGATGTCGCAGATGAGGTTGTCGATTTCTTTATTTCTATTTTTGTCTGCCTCTTTCACGGCTTTAACAACTTCCTTCGATTGAGTAGGAGGGTATTTATGGTCATAGCGTACCATACTACCGGATGGGGGGGTTATATTCTTATTGAATTGCTTCCTCGAGGCCACGATGCAGCCACTGGTCGTAGCGCGAGTACCGTACTGCAGTCTTACAACACAAAATCCAGACCCCTAATATTGGTCACCAAGGCCCATTAACCCTGTTGGGTCTGATAGCTTCAACAGATGATAGCACTACTAAGTGCAACTTTGGGGTCGGACGAGAGGTATTCAACTCAACGAAAGCTGCGCAAGATAGACTTGTCCAAAAGTCAAGGACCCAGAAACCAGTCAGAGCATAATATATGGACCTCAGGGCGTAGTCGACACACTGGCCTCGCGCGCAGAATGTATCTAACCTTCTTAACATTGCTAGGAAGCCTTCAGACAGATGATATAACCTGCCAGACACAGAAACATGGACCAAGCATTCTGTGAAGGATACGGGGTTGCCAAAGGACATATCCATGATTCGATCCAATCTCCGGACGCTGCTGACGCTGTTATGGTGCTGAAGTTCACAGTCGAGTAAGTTTCGACAGGTGTGAGCTCATTCTTGACAACCTAATTTCATGAATGTGGCGTATTTCTCTGAAGCCACCTCTAGGTGCGAGCCATTGTAGCTAGGAGTTGATTACATTCTCCAAGTTTCACTAGTTGCACCTTCAGTGCGTCGCAATGACTACCTTCAATGAAGAATCAAGAAATCTAGACCTTGGGCATCGGAAAGTTTGGTAGAAAGCAATAATATACAAGCTGAAGTGGGACTTCAAATGCCAGCCATCAAGACCAGCCGTCTCAATTTGAGGCGAAGTGCATACATCCACATGTTCAAGAACGACAACAACCTTGAGGACCTAAATGCTCCTCCACCAGAGTCATGTGGCAAAAGAAGGTGGCAAAACATCACCACCGGCAACCCAAGGAGGCGAAGGCCCAACAAGGCCTTTTCCCTCACCGTCGATTAGAGACCCCATCGCCGTCATAGAGTGCCGACTTCACCCCAGTCCTGCGTAACCTGGCCTTGTCGAATATATGCCGGGAACTTTTCGGTAGGAGACGACATCCGCGAATCCGGGGCCGGGGGTTTAAATCACGTATCAAAATGCATGCATGTGGTCGCGGCCTGGAAGGTTCTACATTGATATGCCGCTTTTGCCGCCTTTAAAAGACTCCTCATTTCGTGATCAATCATTTCTCATTCCATGGTAGAACCCGCTGTCAAGCACCAACAAGTTTAACTTCACAAGGATCTAGACGAGCAACCAAGGGTTCCCGAATTTTACCTGGGGGAAAGCAGTTTTTTTTTTTCTTCCTTGGTTCCTCATTGGCGAGGTTGGGGAGTCTGTCTCTGGTGGTTAGATGACCCGAGACACCCTAGCAGTAGACATGGGTCGGGGAAGGCCAACTCAGAAGCCTCTTCCATGCTCCACATCGGTGTGCTTCTAAGTGGTAGCTTGACTAAGAGACAAGAGTGGTAATTTACCGACTACTTGGTAACCCATGCGCAGACCTATCGATTTCCAACTCTGCTCCCCGACACGCAAGGATAATTTGCCTCAATACGAGGAGATAACGTCCAATTAACAACGAGAGCGAGGTGAGATCCACCTTCAATTGTTCAACAACTGTGTGGGCCGTCCCGTGATGCATAAACAGAAAACTTTTGATCCGCAAGCCTTAGCAGACTACACACATACCCAAAGCAGTCACACACAGCTTGCTTATCTCGTGCTAAGTAGGATCGTTCAATAGCGAACATTGAGTTGAAACCTATTAGTTGATGCCACAAAATGAGTACCCTACTCGCCATAAGTAACGTATGTGGAAGCAAAGTGTGTCGACTGACAGCATGCTGTGACAAAATTTAAGATATAAAGGGCAAGTCTTATGTATTCTGGAAGCGCAGAGATCATAACCGAGCTTGAAGGGTGCTTTATTCATTCTCTCTAATGGATTACTCCCTAAAAAGTACCGTTCTCGCCCGCCGAGAAACCCCTTAATTGAAGATATCCCTGATGATGAGTTTCTCCCTCTCCCCAACAGTTATACGCGAGCGAATCTGTTTACTTTCAGGCACGATCATGCTGGCTTTCGTAACCTATCCCATTCCCTATGCATATGACTGATCACTTCTGTACTTCATACCCACATAGTGGTTCTTCATTACTACTTCCCGGAAATGCCAGGGCCTACTTTTCATACGAATCAAAGACTGCCTGGTACTTCTCCCGGTCTGCCTTGTTTCCAACCCAAATATCCCGCTGATCATCCAAGACTTCAACATGAGTGCCCACGAAAGTAGCAACCTGACCGCCACCAAACGCAGTCTTGTCGATGAAAACGTGCTCGTCGGGAAGGACTACCTCGAGGTAGTACGGATGGGAGATCATGGCAGCAAGGTCCTCGGGGGCCCGGTAGAGAAACAGTGCAACACCGTCGAACTCGACGGTTTCGTTCGAGGCGGGCTCAGTAGCGCCAGCCTCGGTGGGGAGAATCCGGCCGCCAACTTGAATCTGTCAAAAAGTAAGGTCTTAGCAAAAGATGATCTCCAAGTTGGATAAGATATGCTCCAGGGACATGATCACGGACCTGTTGGTAACGTGTGATATTGAAGTGCGCGGCCAGTGGCGCGACCTTGGGTGCATGTTGGCTGTACCAGTAGTCCCAGAATTCGGTCTGCGTGAAGTTGGGGTGTCTTTTGACGTGGGTCAACATCTGGACGAGCCCGTTCTTCGAGCTGCAGAGTGCCATGCTGCTCGCAAACAGCGTGGCTGCAGCGGTGAACGGGAGAGAGAGGCGGACCATGGCGATTACTGATGATAATGACGACGGTTTAGCAACTGACAGCTAAAGATGTCGACATAAATCGGCTTTTGATGAGAAAGAAGAAGTCAAAGTCGATAGACCCTGATGATATATCTCAGACACGGTCACATCATTCCATTTATTGCCGCGAGGTTTGGCTACGAGAGTCCAGCTTAGACGTAAGTGAAATGCATGCCCTTGCAGTAAAGGCCGTCTCGGACTAAGACCTCTGTCTCAAATATTGGATATTCGGATGACAATCACCATAATGGTATCGCTTGCCTAGCCCGGTAAGCGGGCTCCCTGCAGAAGGAGTTTAAAGTCAGGGGCGGCGCTGTCAGAATTTCTTTTACTCATGCTGGGAACCAACCGTTGGTGCCAGGGTTTTTTCTTTTCGAAAACTACACATGGATATCACATTTCATTGCCATAATCCTCGCGCGTTGCAGGCTATGAGAACCCTGTTTACCGGCCCCAGACCGTTGAACTTCGCTTGACGAGAGTGAGCCTGCATATTTCTGGCTACTAAACCCCGTGGAATAAGATATTATCCCTGATACATGTAGTAACAGGTCGTCTAATACCCCAGAAGATTAAAATTTTTGAATTCGTTGACCCTTCAGAAAGAATGGATCGGCATTGCAAGCATCAATCGTACGTGTAGTATTTTCCACCGCCTCGGACATGTAATCCACAGATGGCCACACAGCGTTGGGGGCTTTGGAGAAAATATGCCTAATGTAAGAAGGTTATTTAATAGCCTGATGAGGGGTCACATATGGGTGTTTCCTGTCACTACGTTCTTTTCTTTTTCTTTGATATTCGAAGCAGATGACGCACCAAAACGAGCGTCTCGTTTCTCTCATTCGTTCAGTCCCCGTATCCACTTCTTTTCATTAATACTAGACGATTTTAACGTGCATTTCAGCCCTATGGAAAAGGAATATCCGGTTACAAACGGCGTGACTACGCTTGTCAGGCCGCCACCTGGTTATGTGGTTGATTTCGACAACCCGCAGTCTCAGAGCGTGCTAGAACACTACTTCATTTTTGGAATACTCGGCTCGCTGGCTGCGTTGTGTTTGGTTCAGAGGATTTACACAAAGCTCATGTTTTCCGATGGTCTCAAGACTGACGATGGTGAGACTTATCAACTCATGCCCTTCAAACTTGCCGTACTGACTGACTATCTCCTTAGCTTTGATGTTGGTTGCTTGGGTAAGTTTATTATGCAGACTGTCAACAACGAGTCCACTGTATAACTAAATCACTGATTGTCACATGACCAGCTCTGTTCTATTGTCATGCAATCGTTACAAGCTTGTACGTACTGTTATCCGTAGCGAATGCACGGTCCTGACCAAGACACAAGGGTCATGTTCGATTGGAGGCCTCGGCCATCATGTCTGGGAGATGTCTATCGAATTATGGTCAACACAAGCTCTTGTAAGTCTTTCAAAACTCAGTCTTTAGCTTCCGAACGGACCACTCTTGCTGACAGGTACGTGTTGCTTGGGGGAGGTCAGCTACATAGTTGCACCGGTATTCATTTGCGCCAATGGCGCGACAAAGGCCTCGCTCTTCTTCGTATACCTTAAAATATCTCCGTTACTATGGTACCGTCGATGTATCACTGCAGGTATAATCATAGTGTTTCTATACACTGTGATGATTGCTTCAATGCTCCTGTTTGGAACGTGGCCTATCTATGCCAACTGGGACCCATACGTCTCTGCACACTGGTCTCTCAACAGCACCATGTTGTACATGTCTATTGCTACCTCCAACATTGTCTCGGATCTCATTCTCTTTATCATTCCAATCCCCATGGTCCTCCGCCTTCAAATGCAACCTGCTGTTAAAGTCGGAGCAATCCTCATGTTTGGTGTTGGTTCACTGTTCGTTTGGCATTTCCATCTGATGTTCAAGGGTACAAGTGCTGATCCGATATGTAGAACAGTCACAACATCAGTCATCCGCATGGTGTATCTCCAACCCTTACTCAAGACGTTAGATACGCCATGGGTCGCCGCTCCAGCAAACGTTTGGTCGTATGTCACTTCTTTCTGTCTGTCTTTGAACAGGGCGAGCTACAGGAAGCTAACAACTTCAACCATTTCCCGGCTTAGGTTTGTCGAAGTGAACCTCTTTATCATCTGTGGCTCAATGCCTACCCTGCGCAGGTTCTTCAGGGCTGTTGCGCCGAAATGGATGGGATCAAGGGGGGAACACTCGCAAGCCAAACACAACGGCCCCGCGAATTCTTCCAGAGGACCACAAAGCGGTTACTCACAGTTCGATACCATCTCACATGATGACGTCGAAATGTGCAGCATGTCGAGTCACCAAAATATCCTAAAGGCGGATACGTCGGCGGCGTGCCATGTCACGTCGGAGGTCAAAGCGTGAATGGCGTGGTGCAGTACTTTTTATCATCCCTTTGTGAATCAAATTGGACTAGTCGGGAATGTGTATCATGACAAGACTCAGTCGTCAGTTGGGCGACTTTCGTATTTCAAGCGAGTTGGGAGCGAGTTGGCCACGCAATGTCTGGAAGGTTAATATCAAGCAAAGACATTGCACTTCCAATGTATACGAGTCAGACAGTTAAAACATGCCGACACGGTCTTCACAGACCCAAGTCTGCGTATTCATACGTTTTTGCAAAGAAAGAAATACGATAAATATTGGACAAGTCACACAATAAGCAACAGCACACTTCGTCTTTTTTCGTCAGGCCTGAAACTGACATCCGGAATAAGGGAAAAATGACTGATCTGGTCGGAACATCTCCCCCCCCCATTTAGTGGACACTCAGGGACCAGCCGGCGACCGGCAGGCACTAGGTCCGCTGCCGACGGCTAAAGTGCGCGGAAGAGTGGCGTCATTCATCCACTCGGCGATCCTACCGGCTTATTGAAAACGCCTGCATCGCATGATTGTTCTTGTGGGCGAAACCAGCACAGAACGCTCAGAATGGGAAAAGTGGTGTTGTTGGTTGGAAGAACTAACTAACTGGCTAGAGGGCTGTGGAGGCTGGCTAAGACCAGTGGTGGCGGCCGTCAGCCCACGTGACGGGCCGGCGAGGCCTGCCACCCACACCCCCTCTCAGACTCCTCAGCGAAAAAGCAGTAGAATAATAGGAAATACAGGAAAAGTCCCAAATCCTCCAAATCCGAGGAGTTCTCAACTATTAGAAAACTCGGTCAATTACCGGTTAAACCTGGCCAATAGGAGGCCGTGAAATCCTCCGAATCCCGAAGTCTCAATATCAATAGTCCCACAGTCTCAAAATCCCCCTCTCAATCCAATCCCTCCGCCATGCCCAACAAACGAACGAATTCCTTGTGTTTGACCGCAACCAGTGGCTTCGTGAGTCCATCGGCGGCCATATCAGCGCCCTTGATGAGTCGGAGTTCGATGCTTTTCGCAGTGTGAACCTCCTGTATGATCCATTTGTATCGGACGTCGATGTGGCGGGTTCGTGCCTCGTTGAGTGGGTTCATGACGTTGTCGTAGCCGTTGGCACTGTCAGTGAACATGATAGTAGGCGTGGTGATGGGTTTGCCGAGCAGTTGGGAGAGGCAACGTCTGATCCACTTCACAGCAATTGCCGTAGGTGTGAGATTGATGAATTCAGCCTCCGTGGTGCTCAAAGTCACGAAAGTCTGTTTCTTTGACTTCCAAGCAATCGGCGCACCAGCGAGGAAGACGACGTAACCACCTGTCGAGACTCGTGATGGCTTGTTGTCAGCGAAAGAGGCATCTGCAGCAGCGTAGAGCCCCAACTCGTTGATCGTGGGGATGCCTCCAAGTACAATACCGAGATAAACGGTGCCCTTGAGGTATCGGAATAAGTGCTTAATAGCACGAAGATGGGCCTTAGAAGGCCCTGAATTCGCCTGTGACAATTTACTGACGGTGTAGGCCATGTCAACGCGAGTTCCAGCCACCAGGAAGTTAAGGCAGCCGGTTTGTTCGATGTAAAGTTGTTGTTCGTCAAGCGAGCACTCGTTCTTGTCCCAGGTGACGGGCAGATCGTCAGTGGTCGCCATAGGCGTCTTGACAGCACTCAAACCATCAAAGTCGAATCGTTGAAGCACTGCTTTTGCGTACTTGGCTTGGGAAACGAAAATCTTACCGGCAGCTCTGTCGCGTTCAATCTGGAAACCGAGAAAATCGGTAGCCTCGCCGAGGTCTTTAAGAGAACAGACATTCTCGAGGAGACGACGAACTTCCATCATGACTTGCTTGTTGGGAGCGGCGATAGCGTTGTCGTCGACGTACATAAGAACGTACGCTTTAATCTTGTGATTAACGAAGAGACAAACCTCCCCATCAACAGCAGTGAAGCCAATTCGTTCCATTTCACCCTTGATAAGTCGAAACCACCAAAGTAGTGATTTTCTCAATCCATAGAGTGCCTTGTAGAGCAGCCAAACCTTGTTGTCTACAGTAGCGTAGCCAGCAGGGGGCCGGACGTACACCTTAACCCCCTCTGGAATCAAGGCGGCTAGGAAAGCAGTGTCGAAATCATATACTTCGTATTCAAGATCGAGAAGTGCGACAACTGCGAAGAAAAGGCGGGTTGCGGTGGCAGAGGCAACTGCAGCGTAAACCTCTTGCGATGACCAGTCACCTTTCTCGTAGTTTCCACAAACCACATATCGGGCCTTGTAGCGCACGATTTCGTTGTTTTTGTTGGTTTTGATGTCACATACCCACTTGCCGGGCAGGACTTTAGCGTCACGTGGTGGGTAAACGACTTCGTAAACCCCCTTTTCCGTAAATTAAGTCATCTCTCGTTCGAAGGCTTATTCCCACTAGGGCCACTGTAGGCTCTTCTGCGCCTCACGGTAGGACTTCGGGATCACCACGCCGTCGGGTAGGACTTTCGAAAGGGCAGTAGCAGAAAGCACGCTGAGAGAGAATTGACGAGAAGTTAGTGAAGCTAGAATGTCAGCAGATAGAAAAGTCTTTTTAGCATAGGAGCGTACGCCACTGGCGGCTCGGTAGTGACCAGGTGGTCGCTGGGCTGAGGCGCGGCGAGGTCGAGAGGACTCTGCCGGTTGACTCGTTGCTTCCTCAACAATCGTGGAGAGGGAATCAGGGTCCTGGTGATCAGTTTCCATTGTTTCCACGGAAGCGACGAATTCGTCATCATTCAATTCGTTAGTAATGCTGTCACGAGGTGTAGCAGTGGTCTCCAACAGGTTCTCTGGTGGCGGAGACATGAGATGTGTATCAGTGGGTGCCATCGCTTTTTCAACGATGGTCTCATCTGGTTTGGGATCACCAGTCACGGGTTTTTCACCTTCAATAGGCTTCTGACGGATGGTGTACTGGATGATGATATCTGGTTCGACAAACGCAGCATCATGTTCAATTTCATCAATGTTGGGTGTGCCAGTAGTTGGAGGCAACACTGTCTTGTGCGGTTCCTCACGAAATCGAACATCTCTGCAGCGAATAACCTCCTTTCGATCAGGCAGGTAAACGTAGTAAATGTGGCCACGAAGAGAACCGTAACCGACGAGGAATCCCTTGATTGCTCGTGGTTCCATCTTGGCAGAGCGCATAGGGCGTCGAGGGCCCTTCTTGTGTACGTAGGCAGCACAGCCAAACGTTCGGAGATGTTCAATGTGGGGGGCCTCACGTTCAGCAGCCAAGTTCAGCTCTCTCGCCATGATCTCGTGAGGGCTCAAGTTACCCTTGGAGGGTGTGGGCAAGAGGTTGAGAATCTGAGTCACCGAATCGATGCTGTAATCCCACAGTTCCTCTGGAAGGGACATGTCAATCAGCTGTGTCCGGGCGCCTTCGACGATGGTACGACCAGCACGCTCAATAGTACCGTTCATGGAAGGCGTGTAGGCAATAGTCGTGTTGTGGCGAGTACCCTCGAAGTAGGGGTCGTTGAAAACCTTGATTAGCTCGGGAGCATTGTCAGAAACCCAAACCTTGGGCTTGAGGCCGGTGAGACTGTAGAATTCAGTATCCCATTTCTTGATAGCTGCCAGGATGGTGGCAAACTTGTGGTTGGGCAGAAAAACAACCCAGTGGTAACCACTATACTTATCTATGAGGTGTAGAACCTGACGGTTCCCTTTTGTTGATAGGGGAAGAACACCAACGAGATCAAGGTGAATTTCATCGCCAATACTCGTAAGTGGAAGTGGGTGGTCTCGACTAATCCGTTCAGTGGATTTGCTGAGATGGCAAGACTCACAGAAGAAAGCGTCAATTTCTGACGTTATAAACCGAATGCCAACACGGCGGCAAGCCTCCACAACACGTGATGGGTGGGCGTGAACTAGCCGGCGGTGCATCAGTTCAAGAGACGGTCGCTAGGTAGCCCGGAAGGCGGCGAGGCTGACAGCAATATCTCGAGGCACGTGATTTCCAGTATCATGAGTCTCAACGACGCAGACGTCAGAAACCCAATGAACTTTGGCAAGGGAAGTGCGCTGTGTTACGTATATAAGGCTTGAGGTCTGCTAATCATATTCCACGTGATCACGACGAAGTTTTCCAGGGCTTAGTAAGTTGGCTGGGCTGGAAGGGTTGTACTCAACGTTGTGAAGTATCCAATCGTGAATAACGTCAGGGTTGGTAGGGTCTTAGGTCTGGAAGAAGACGGTGCCCACGCTAAGTAACCGGACTGGGGCGCCGGAGGCAGAAGTGGAAGGTGTCAAATCGCTCTTTTCAGCGTACTTGACGAAATATCGCAAGTTGTTAAAGGTTGAAGTAGTACAACCAGAATCGAGAACGATATCGTCTCGGGTGATGAGGTCATCGCGGGCAGCAGTGAAAACTGCTGGGCTGGCGATGGAGGCAAGGGCAGACTAACCCAAGATGGCAGGTGACGCTCTGACAACAGTCTGGCGGGTGCCATCAACAGAAGTAGGCTGATACCAGCGGCAGCGATCGCCACACACGTGCTTTCTCGCTTTTTCAATCAACTTATCCCGGTTGACGTAGTGTAGAGGGATGAGATTGGGGTGGGCGACATAGCACTTTGTGGTCTCGTGATCACAGTTGCAGTGGTCGCACTTCTTCTTTTCCTTGGAGGCAGTGACAGTGGAGGTGACGGTGGTGGTGACGGCTGGAGAGGCAGGACCCCTACTGCCAGCAGACTTGCCTCCAGGTGTGTTGCGAATAGTGGCATAACTGCGCTTTTGATCCTCGTCTTGGGCAAGCGTGTAAATCGTATCAGCCACCTCATTCCACGTAGGATGGGTGGCGCCCTTCGATGTGAAATGCTTGTACGTATCGGGAAGTCGGTCCTTAAAGAAGTTAAGGAGGAAAACAGCGAGGAAGGAGTCTGGCAGACGACCGTGAATGGTCTCAATACGCTTTCTGAGGTGGTGACAGCGATTAAGGGCATCGTGAAGAGTCTTGTGATCGTTGGCGGTGGTCTTGGCAAACTCGTCAACAAGGGCAGCTGTGGCGTCTTGTGAGATTCTCGGAATGTGCTTCTCGAGCGCCTGCCACAATTCGTAAGGGTTTCCATCGTCAACCCAACCCGCTGTGCAGAGTCTGTCAAGAACCGATTCGCTGGCGTTCATGAGGAGACCATTCGTGACGTTACGGTTCTTTCTCCATTCCTCTGCAGCGATAGGGTCAGCAGGGCGAGGGACGTCAGTCTCGAGGAATATCTCGAAGTCGTATCCTCGCAGGGTCGCTGTAATAAGCATGCGCCATGTGTTCTAGTTGGATTCACCTTTCAGGCGAGGAAGAGGCGTGAAGACGGTCTTGAAGTCGTTTTGAGACATCTTGAAGTGAAAGTAAGGGTATCACAACAGTGCGGGACAGACTTATAGTCGCACCTCGATCACAGGCGTTTCTCCGAGGCCGCAGCTTTGGAGGCGTGTCTGTACGTTAGATGGCTTACTTTCGCTGCTACCTACGCATGCTGTTGGATTGTGTAGGAGGGAGAATCTTGCGTAAGAACACGAGAAATAGGTGGAATTGTGAGATCCGACCGTAGAAATACGGTGAATCGAAGGGAAGAATGAATACTCGTAGAAGATACGAGAAACTGATGGGCTGGTTCGAAAAACCGAAGCTGAAATGGTTGAATTCTCGTGAAAAACGAGGAATCGAAGTAAAAGTTGTAGTTGTGACTGAAAAGTCTGTTGTTGACCGTGGTGTTCGTGAAAACCAGTGGGTTGTGGTGGTCGGTCGCGTGCCACGTGATATTCGTGCGCGCCAGGCAGCCAATGTCGCGTCAGAAAGTGAAATTCATCAGCGAAGAGGAAGGAAAGAAAGCGAGAAAATCGCACAGAAGGGTAAATAAAGCGAATAAAATCGCAAAAATTCGTGAATCAATAGAAAATTGACAGACGAGTAGAATAATGGGTAAAACGACGTTATTCCGAAAGAATAACGCTGGGCTCATAACCTGTGGGCGAAACCAGCACAGAACGCTCAGAATGGGAAAAGTGGTGTTGTTGGTTGGAAGAACTAACTAACTGGCTAGAGGGCTGTGGAGGCTGGCTAAGACCAGTGGTGGCGGCCGTCAGCCCACGTGACGGGCCGGCGAGGCCTGCCACCCACAGTTCTCATAGTCACAGATTGTACCAGTAATCTTTGGCATGGATTGCAATGAGCTAGGAACTTGATCCTGCCTCGTGGTCTCACAGCCTCATTTGGCGGGCGTTTGAACCTAATGCAGGTGAACGAAATCCTTTTGGGAATCCAGGGAATTCTTTTCTTTTCTTTTTCCAGCTGATGCCTGGCCTCCGGGCATCTTGAACAAGTCGGCCAGTCCCGTACATGGCTAATAAACCAACAAATATTGAAGAGTATCGTATCTTGACCACCTAACCAGATACGTCTACACCTAGGTAATGTACCTTAGTTGCCATCGATCTGGTTCACCCATCACTTATGCGAAGACTTGCGTGGAGCTCACATGAACCATACCTTTGTGGGGATGCGTAGAATATATTCCGACGCCACTTACAAAGAATTTGCCATTAACACTATTAACTTCCGACTTCCATTGCAACGACGTTGGCCCAATATGAAGTCGAATTTCAAAAGTCAGACCAACATGAGAAGAAACTCTTAGCATCACGTTGCCATGAGGACGGAACCCTAATAAGCCTGAGGGATGGTATTTCCCGCCAATCAGGCAATTCGAAACCTTCACCATAAATGAGTGCCATGATTTGGTAATGTGCCTCCTCCAGGTGGTCTACTGTGGCTCAAGACTGTGGCTTTGCTTCGTTGGCTGATAAATTGGGTGACTAAAAACTAAATGAAGCACAAGAGAAAAACAGCAGAAAGAAAAAAGAAATTCTACAGAAAAATCTGCCCCTGCATCATTGGCCAGCGGGACTCTCTTGTCCGTGCCTTCGGCCCGCAGTTACCCGCCGCGATCCCGCAGGCCTTGGCCAATTAGCACTGCCAATTCTGGAAGTATTTTGTAGATCCCGGCAGTGTGGATCCCACGGCTGGTCGCTTACAGGATGTTGACTACTCTGTTGGTAGTACCATGTTACTGACCCGGTTGTTCCGGGGCGTCTTCGCTACACAGTAGTGTACTACTACATAGTAGATGGCCAGGGACAAGGGCAAAGATACCCTTACCTCATTCATAGGTCGCTGGTTCGGAAAATCGACCGAGATCGTGCCTCCGTCAGCCGACACAGCTTAGCGAGGTGCGGTCCGGTACCAGCCTCTGAGCAGTCCGCACACACAATCGCTTCTCACCAACACACACGGCACGCCCGTATTGCAACGTACCGGGGCGAATTTGACACATTGGCACAGCACATAATCCAGGAAACCTACAACCGTGGAATTTGACCACTGAACAACCGGAAATTTCCCCTCCCCTATCAACACAATGAGGAATGATTAAAAGTAGGTACCAACAATACTCGCAAGAAACACGCGGAAATGGCGAATCCTCCGTCAACCTTTTTCCCCTTGTCGAACCAGGGTGTTGAGCTGCACAGTCTGTGAGGCATATCTGCAACGACCCCAGTTTCTCGTGTTGGGGGTTCGGCCTATCAATCCTTGTAACGAGCCAGGATTTGCGTGATTCAGTTCCATGGGTTGCCTTAGTCCAGACAGTCTCAATCTTCATTTCGCAGCCCTTCACTAAATTTCTTCTTCTGCCGTCTCCAGGTACGGCAGTCCGCAGGGCGCACTAGGTCAAAATTCAAACATTACCTAATTAGGATGCATAAACGAGATAAGTATATACCACCCGTATAGATAGTTAAGCTTCTTATCTTTACTATATAATTATTACAAATTTAAGCGAATTCTATATTTCGTATACGTATATATATAGAGTTTTACGAGACCGTATAGGAGTATATTCTTAATTCTTAATAATAATATTTACTATATTTTATACGAATATGTTTTTAAGGTGCCTTAAGCAGGCTAACCTAGACTACTTCTTAGTAAAACTACTATAGAAGTAGAAGACGTATGTATTTTGTTTAATCGATTTATCCTAAGTATAAGAACTAGACAAAATCGACCTTATAAATACTAACGACTTCGAAACTCTAACAGCTACGATTTCATTACGTATACGACTTTCTAATACTATAATGTTACGGCCAGCTAACTGACAGTGGGTTTGTGTTAACAGTAAGCCAGGGATTGAGAGTAGTAACAGTCGTTCCGTGGTCCTGGTCGAATAGATCGTAGATCTTCAAAGGTCTTGGTGATCAGTCAAGGCCTCAACAAGAGTCGTAGAGTAGTCGTCACTTAGGTATAGCTGAAAGTACCGGTTAGGGTAATCACAAAGTTGATTGCTGAAGAGCTATGGAAGTCTGTCCTCGAGCCCGGCTCGAGTCCATCCTATATACAAGTCCTGAACGGTCCTCCTTATCTTGGCTATGTTGGATATTTGACATATCCAACATATCCGGGGATCGGTTGGATATTTGACATATCCAACATATCCGGGGATCGGTTGGATATCTGACATATCCAACATATCCAGCCCGGGTTGTCCTTACCCCGCGTTATCCCCGAGGCCACGTGACTTGTCCATAGTTCTTCCGTTCCGAGGATCCCTGGTTACACCTGTCCGGCTGGGTTACATATGCCCTGCGTTAGCCGCCGGGATCCAGGCGGGGTCGTGTTGGCGACCATGTCCAACGGGTCGTAACACTATAGTAAGGTATTATAATAGTCTATACGGAGATTTACGAAGGAGAACGGGAAAATATAGATATTAGTAAAGAAATACGAATTAGGTATTTTAAAAAAAACCTAAAAACGCAAGGGTACGGACAGTCTTATGCTTCTATATAAGGGTACTAAACCCTATATAGAAATACCTAACCTATAAACCAAAGTTACTAACTATAAACGCCTATATTTATCTTCTTATTCTTATAAATATACTTATCGTTTTTATATACTAGATTCCCGATTTTATATGCTTTAGTAACACTATAGTATTATATAAATATATATTTACGTTATTTCTAATTATTATACGGTCGTATAGGATTTTATAAAGTCTTACTTAGTCGTAATAAAGCTCGATCTCGATATTTTCGTTTTTATCTATATATAACTAACGTACATGATAAGCGAGTGAGACAGACAAGCGAGTGAGACAGTAAACCAGACCTTCGCGACAATAATATCGAAATCTATAACAAGAAATCTTAGATTGATTAATACTACTCGGATTCCTGTTCTTCGGATGTTTCCTCAATAAATTGACATGTTCTCGCGTTGTGGCCTGTATTCCCGCATACGCCACACCGACGATGAGTCGTCTCAGACCTCACTTTGCGACCACTACTCCGTCGCGTTTCCTCTTGTAGTTGCGTGTCTGCCTCTCTTTGCGACTGTATATCCTCTCCAGTAGATATAGTAAGACTTCCTCCTTTCTGTAGACGTGTTTTCTTAGCCCTTCGACGCCGACTTAATATTGCATTCTCCTCTCGAAGGATTTGAACCTCTGACTCTAGTAATGCTACCCGATGCCCTAGTCCTTCTGTCCCTCTGGCTAGCTTACTCACAGCACTATAAATTGATGCTGGAGAGCTGCTTCGGTGGCGTGAGATTCGACTCTTAATAAAAGTAGACTGTGATCTTGCTTCGCTTGGGTTGCTCGGCGTCCTAGAGATCCAAGGGTCTGGTGTCTGAGGGACCCCCTCCTCAGGCGTTGGCGTTCGGAACTTTACATCCAGCTTTGAGAGAACACTTTCTGCATTCAAAGGGACAAGTCCAGCTCCTCGGAAACCTCCCTGGATATTTTTCCTCGTAAAAGACTGCTTAAAAGCTTCGTGAAATGCTGCAAAGAAATCTTCCTTCGAGATATGGGTTGTGCCTCGCCGCATCTTATTCTCAATTTGCCGACCGTAGGCATTCTTTAACGGCTGAAAACAACCAACATCTAAGGGTTGAAGTAGATGAGACGAGTGAGCCGGCATGCACAGTGTAATAATGTTGTTTTCTTGACAAAAGAGCTCGAAGGCTGCGGAGTGGTGACTTTCATGACCATCAACAACGAGGAGGCGATATTTCCCAGACGTACGTGGTTTTGTATAAATGTCGAAGTGTCTGATCCAGTCAATACCTCTCTCGTTTGTTGTCCATCCATTTTCAGACGTTGCAATAGCCCAATCGCCCGGAAGAGAGGTTTCTGTATACCAGCTTGAGAGGTGATACTGGCCTGCAACGATGATGTATGGCGGGATGCTCTCCCCTTGGGAATTAATAGCCTGGATAACTGTAACCCATTCCCTATTGCCAGGCTGTGTCATCTTCGTATTTGAACGCCTTTCAGCACTTGTAACAACCATTCCAGAAGCAATAACGCCCATCATAAAGCCGGTCTCATCAAAGTTGTAGATATCAGCATCAGCAATACCATACTTCGCAATTGTATTCTTCACAAGCGAAAACCAGCCACGAATCACCTCTGGATCTTCGCATTGAGCTCTCTTATAGTCATACTTGCGAAAGAAACGCGTCCTAAGCTGTGGTTGTCGCTTGACGAAATTAGAAGCCCAGCGCTTCCCAACTGGAGGCGCGTCGCGCTCTGCGAGAAGTCGATTGGCCATTTCTTCCACACCACTCAGCCGGGGAGGAAATGATCGCGCATCTAGGTCGAGAATATACTCAACTATTGTCTTCTCTTCTAAATCTGATAAATTCCGTGAATTAGGCATGCTGTCGCGTCGTGAGACTATTCCCTTTAGTCGCCGGCTTAATGTTGCGTGACTGACTGTATAGAGTGCACCTGCGGCCCGAGCACTAAGTTTTGGGTCATTTCTCATTGCTTGAAGGGCAATTTGTAACCTTCTTTCAATACTAGCTGATTCCATGATTTATTGTAGAGGAAAAGGTGCCGGTCGCGTCAAGGTGCGACGGTCGCGGTTTACTGTCTCACTCGCTTGTCTGTCTCACTCGCTTATCATGTACGTTATATATAAGTAAAGTAGTAGCTAGTTTTGAAAGCATAAGTATATATAAAAGGTAGCTTAGTAGGCAACTCTATAGGAATCTTTATATCTCCGATCTTATCTAGTATAAGCTTAGCAGCTAGCTTTATATCTTAAGCTATAATATACGGTAGTATAAAGTAATATCGAGTATCGTTCGGGATTATAAGGATATTATAAGATGTTATAAGATATTATAAGATATTATAAGATATTATAAAGCTTTGCTAGAAAACTATATATAATATAACGGGGGCGACGCCTAGCGCCTAGGGATATACGAATCTATATAAAAGCTAATAGTTAGTAAATAATTATATAGAAATATATAAAAGCTTAAAAAATCGGAAAAAAAAATCAAAAATAGAGAAGATAAAAGAAAACGGAAGTATAATAAAGGATAAAAACTAAATCTCTATAAAATAGTATAGAAAGCGTTATAAATTTCTATATAGTAAGGGTTATATACCTAAACTCTGCTTAGCGTAGGGAAAAGGAAGAAGTTCTAGGCTTTACTAAATTCCTATTTATTTATCGATTTGTACGCATAGACTATATACCTAATCAACCGGAACCGGAAGATCTAACCTCCGACGGATTATTATAAAGCCTCGTAGGGGGCTATAGTTCTATATAGTAAACCCTTATTTCCTAAAAAGGCAAATACCTACCTAGAAATATATAAAAATAAAAATCGTTTTACGCGAGATTACATATATTTACGCTTATGGGGTGTTCCTATCACTACCTTGAATTTTGACCCAGTGCGCCCTGCGGACTGCCGTATCCAGGCGCCATTTCAACTGTCGACCTGCCAATGATGGAAATCGCAGAAGTCTGACCCACCGCCACCCCCTTGCATCATGAGCTGTCTTGGGGGAAACTCGGGCGTTGTTACTGGCGAGGCACTATCCATACCTGCATCTCAGTGTTGCCGGGAGCATGCCACAATAAATGAAGTTCACAAAGTTAGATGTGCCCGGTGTGATTCAAATACCCTAAGCCTTTTTGACTGTTACCAAACAGCCTTTTGGTCGGATGGCCCAAATCTCGCCGACCTCGGTGAACCCCCCAAAGCCGACACCTTTCGCCTGTTCGCTGGTCGATTGCAGCTCATATAACTCCTCCGTTCCAGTTGTGCTAGCTGGGTGCAGAACCGTGTGAAATTGCTTCCTTTCTTGAGAGAGAAGAACGACGCCGACACTCCTTTACATCCAACCCCCGCGCACTATGGCGGGCGTCGCTAAAGAAGCCGTTGTGGTAAGTGTCAACCCTGCTTGTAATCCGCATCTTGAACTACCCCATCAGGTTGTTTGCTACCATGTTACTGCTTTTACTAACCGTACAACACGGACCAGCCCATCGAGGCCGTGCTCTTGGGTCTTGCTGTTGCCTTCGTCTCCGCCCGATTGTCACTTCGTCTCATCCGCCAGCGCCAGGCCCTTACGATCAGCGATTGGATTCTCATTGTCGCTCTTCTCGATGCCATTGCTCTCTTCGCAACCGATACCATGGCGTACAACCTCGGCGGCATGGACGAGTATGACCCGGATGCGCCTGAACCTTCGGTTGCGGACCAGATCAAGCTGTTGAAGGTTTCCTTCGCGGGCAACTACTTTTATGATACCGGCATATACATCCCCAAGTTTGCGCTTCTGGCCTTGTACTTCAAACTAGTCCCGCAGACTATGCCGATTCTACGCAAAGCTCTCTACGGCGTGACCGGGTTGACCGTGGCCTTTGCTATTACAACATGTTTCCTCGACACGTTCTGGTGTGGCCCCAATGTGTCAGTCAACTGGGACTTGGACGGCACCTGTAGCACCTTTGAGTCCAAGAATGTGTTCCGGATTGACTGGGGAATGAACTTTGTTTCAGACATTCTGAGTATGTTTTGAGGGTTTCCCATCTGGTCTTACTTTTTACTTCTTCCTTTTTCCACTAACAAATTCGCAGTCTTCCTGATCCCGTTCCCGCTCCTTCACGGCTTGCAGCTCAGCAGACGATATATTGTCGGCCTCGTTGCTACCTTCTCAACTGGAATTATCACTATTGGCGCCAGCGTGGGTAGATTTGCCACGGTGGAGTCTATCAAGGCCTGGACGAATGTTTGTAAGTGCTCGACACCCTTGTGAGCGCATCGAGACCGCGCCGTGCTGATCAATCTACAGATGTACTATCCATGACCGAGATTGCAGCCGCCATCTTGGTAGTTTCACTGCCTGCTTTGAAGTCGCTTCTTCATCGCCGCGGAATCAGCACATCAAAATACGGGACAGCCCAGTCCGGATCAGCCGGGTTGAATTACAGCAAACACCCAACTGCGAATAGTCACTTCAAGCTTTCGTCTGGAAGGGACCCCTACCAGGCGACTACTACGACGGTGGCGGCCGAGAACGATTCGGGGAGTGAAGTGGAACTGAACACCATGAAACGATCAGATGTAATTTACAAATCGGAACGAGTGAGCGTGACCTATCACCGCCGGGATGATACTAAGGACGATGGGAACCGTGCAGGGTCTGGGTACTAGACTACAACTATTGCCTTCAAAGTGGGCGGAGTGGCATGAGAGATGAAGCGAGAAATCAGCAGTCATGAACGAATTGTTGGACGCAAATGAATTAGTGCCAGTGAGTGGAGAATGAGAGAGGGGGAAAAAAAAAAATTCAATTCAAAAAAGCTGGACTTGAGAGATTCTCCGTAAAGAGAAGAACCAACAGACGAAAGTAACAACCAAAAGTGCATAGTTATGGGGCCATGGCATGCAACAAATTGACTGGGCTGGCCGGCCCGTCCAAAGAGAAACCCGAACAACCAATTACGAAGCGGGCTCGGGTTAGGAACTTTGCCTAATCGGGGGCCGGGGCGACCGCGTGTATGCAAATCTGCGGCGCGGCTGCATCAAGAGATTGAGCAGTGCTACCTCGCAAGCCGAAAAGACGTACATATACTAGGAACCAACAAGCCATGCGTTGGCCACCCACCGGAGAGGAGGGGGGCAAAAGAGTGAAAAATAAGAAATAAAATAGGGTCCTGGGCTGATTTATGCACCAACAGGTGGCGTTCTTGTGTGCAGAAATCTGCAGCCTCGCTGGCTCGCTTGGTCTAATGCTAGTCAAAAAAAACCGTTGCAACTGTTGATTTCACCCACCCGGGGGGGTTCTCCACCATCCCCTTGTTACAGTTTTAACTTGGTCGAGTTCTCGGCGCTGCAGACCGAGAGGATGTTGATTTCAACCCCGTCCAATAGACAATCCTAGATCCGTACCACGGAGGCATCCTTTGAGACTTTCCCGGATACCACCTCCCCAAGCGGAGAGATTCTCCGTGCCGCTCATAGTTATATTGATTTGCGATTCCGCTCCTCCCCTCCATTTCCCTCACGAGACAACAGCGTCAACTCACTTCACTCTTCCCACTGTTCTCTGTCTTGTGGCTCATCTGACAACATGGCGTACTTCATTGACGGAAAGGATTGCATGGTAAGATCTCTAGATCTGTTGGCGTTTGGTGTTTTTTGCGCTGTCTTGCTCACTGTGCTTCTAGATATCCGAATGGATTCTGCTGGCAGCTTCCTATGTATTCGTCGGCCTGCGCATCTACGCCCGCCTCTTCCGCCTGCGCGAGAAGTTGGCCCTGTCCGACTATCTCCTCATCCTCTCCGCCGTCAATGCCCTTGGTCTGATCATCTGTGACACCTTGACCTTCCAGATGGGCGTCATGGACAACTGGGAGTCTTCGGTCGCTCTTTCCAAGGTAACGAATGAACATGCGGATTTTGTTCTCAGCCTTCACTAACCTTTGTTCAAGATTTCCTTTGCTTCCAACTACTTCTACGATGTTGGAATGGGATTCCCCAAGATGAGCATGCTGGCCTTCTACTGGGCCTATTTTCCCTCCGATACCAGCCCAGCCATGCGCAAGGCTCTCTGGGGTATCACTGCCTTCGTCTGCCTTTCATACATGGCCATCCTCTGGGACGACACCTTCTTCTGCGGAAAGGATGTCTCCGTGCAATGGTCCCAGGAGGAGGGTGCATGCAGCGTGTTCTACGCGCCAGAACCATTCATTCTCAACTTCACCCTGAACCTTGCCTGCTACCTTGCCGGTATGAAGCCTCCCCATCGTCCTGTCTTTCGACAACCACTCATGGGAATAAAAAACGCTAACAATGACATGTACAGTCTACGTTCTTCCCCTGGTTCTGTTGGCGCAGGGCGTTCTCAAGTCCTCCAAGGGTCTCACCATTGCTTTCGTTCTCGGTACCTTGACAATCTGCACCACCATTGTCCGTTTCATCACCTTGAAGATTGGCACTGGACAGGAGAACCTCGTCTGTAAGTTTTGCCGTTCTCCTCGACACACTTCCTGCTTTCGTAGCATTTCTTTTTAGCAAAAGTCGTCTAACAGTTTCCATCCAACAGACCCCATGAGTATTCTCGAAATGACTCTTGCCATTGTCGTTGTCTCCCTCCCCGGCCTGAAGCCTCTTGTGGACCGCTCCGAGAAGCGTGAGCCTTCGGTGGAAACCGTTGATGTGAACCATCAGGAAAAGAACTTTTCGTGAACGACCACGGATCGGTATTCATGTTGATAAAGTGAGCCTGGAATCATCCAGGCGATTAAAACGATTGTAATGTCTTTCTTTAATTCTGGACTTGGTTCTAAGTCTATTGGATCAGTCGCTTGTCCATTTTTTAAAATCTGGGTTGGTAACAGCAGGCCATTGTTAGTACTCAGAATTGAACAAAGGTGCCTTCAATCAAACAAGAGAACGTACCTCTTGAGGAATGCGAGAGTTCTGATTATTCTTGCAAAATGCAATCTCCAATCTGGAGTACATACAAAGTCTTCGTACTCAAATCGTTTCCATGTGACACTTGTTTTCGTACACTTTAACCGAGGTCAAGTTATCGAAACAACTTAGCATGAGGCAAAGAACCCTTTTGGAAAAGCTCCAAAATGCTTGGATCTATCTCCGATATAAGAGCAGTAAATACTCCTCATGCAAGTTGTCTAAAGTAGTAGTCACGTAAACGTGGAAGATTTGCTTTACCATTCAAATGTGAACAGTATGAGTAGTATTGTAGAGGGGTTAAAAGTCAAGGCAACCTTGGCATTTGCTACTTGGATTGGCCAGAATGCCACAATTAGAAGCAATATGTAGAGCTGTTCTGTATTATGTTGGCATCTGCACGAGCTACATCACAAAGAGAGAAAACGTAGTAATCGTACATGTGCATTCAAGTATCAAGCAAGTGTATGAAGTCCCAAATAGCTGAAAGTCCTTGAAAACGTTAGTCACCGGTTTCTGTGGAAATTATATCGTTGCCAGACGGCCAATCTCGAATGATATCCATCGGTTGCTGCGTGGCTACATTCACGTGAAGAACAACAGTCACTTAGGGCGAGTCCACACCCTTCATTCGACAACTAAATAACCTGGGTTGCGAGTCTTTCGGCCATCTAGGAATTCTAGCCATAGTAAGGGTACTAGTATTGCCAGAGATATGCAGTACGCAGAACATGCCGAAACCAACTTTGCTCTACACACTTAGCCAGTGGCTTCTTCATATCGTTATCACTACTTCCGGGTTTAATATTAGAAGTAAATGTTTCATGTCTCCGAGGTAGCAAGCTGCTTTATCTTGACCTGGGCTTCGGCACTAGAAGGTTTTTGGGGGTAGAGCGACCGGATGCAATGCGTCCGTTTCTGCAGTACACAGAGTGAAAAAAAAAAAAAAATGTGATTTCGAGGGACCATCATGTATATCTGTTGTGATTGGAAAAACTAGGTAAGAAACGGGGGGCCTGATGTACTGTAGTCAGACAGCAATCGATGGGGCACTGCTTAGAGTTGCAGATCTGGGCTGGAAGATAACTTGGAAGGGATCACGGGATGCATAACTCGTGCAGTAGAGCAACCCGCGGCGGTCCGGTAGCTGATGATGTTCACGAACGGTGATCGGCTCCCTTCGGATAAGAAGGCTTGTGAAGGCTTCGTGACCCAGCGGAAACTGGTGTACGGCCTGGAAGGCACCCGGGCTGTTCCAGGCGGGACCTGACATAGACTCCCATAGCCTAGAAGTGAACATTATGAAATATGTTGGATATCTCTCAAGTATCATAAAAGCGTTGAGCTTGGAACTCAACGTCAATGCTACCACAAAAGCGGTTATAGTGACGGCTACGTGTAGGATGCGCTTCCTGGGCGTATTGATCCATTGGGCTCAAGAACCCAAGGCTTCGGTTATTCAAACAGTTAACCTCGACAAAAGATTCATCTAGACATATTTATTGTGGTCTCTGTATTAACTAGATCTCGCAAGACTGTTGTAAAGTGGTTGATACAGAAAGACGCAGTGCTTTTTCAATTCGAATTCAAAACGCCAGACCAACACTGACAAGAGTAAGCATAGTGAAGTGCTTTATTAGATACTGGAAAATACAGTATATCTTGAATAGGATACTATGAAATAAGCTTTGTTAGGGTGAAAAGGATGAATCTCACACAAACGCATGGGCTAGCAGGGACAACGACGGTGGTAGCCTCCCTCAAACTTGGTCTCTGACTACCCAAACTTGTTTAAGCTAGATTTTTTTTCGAAGTTCTACTTTTTTCTCATCCGTGTTTCTCCTCTAATACGAATCATATCCACAGCTGAACGAACTCTTGTGAACCGTTGTAAATCCTGATCGTTGCAATAGTCGGCATGCCGTGTTGACTGGCCAGTCACCAGGCCCCTCGTGAATAGTCCACCTTAAACACCCACGTGACGGACAACGGGAAGAGATGCATATCTTCCAACCTTGACCCTGTTTCTAAAGCGTTGGTATCGTATACAGCATTTTCATTACATCTTGGAATGAGTCCCTCCTCATACGCCCGCGCGGGTATCCCGTGATTGCAACACTGATATCCAGCTAGCTGAACTCGGCGATACAGGGTATGGCCGAGGCTACCGGCCTTAAAAGCCTCGGGAGAATTCAATCCGAGGCTTAAACCATATCAAGGTACCAAAGATCCTCAGCTGATGTAGTCCTGCATATCTGTTGTGATTGCACTTGAGTCATCCTCTTGGGACACATTTCCCCAAGAAAAGGACCTATCCACATGCCTTCTCTACGACGGAGTTACATTGGAAAGTTGAGCCAAATACTTTCGTCCTACATGCTTGAATACTTCAAGGTACAAGCCGTTTTGAACTGGCTCCTTCGACCCGCCGACCTAATAGATCTGGTCATGGGATCCCATTGAATGCGACAGGGTTACAGCTTTCGTATTTGAAGAGCCAAAAGGCATGTACATCCTTATTCGGGCTTTTCGTAACCCAGTTCATATACTATCTAAAAAATTAAGGTTTCATCCCCTACGTATAATGGCTGTGCTACAAGTGCCAGGATCCTCGTGAGTAGCAGCTTGGGCAACCGGCACACATACATGAAATAAGACTGGCCTATAATGGTTCTTTTAGGTGAAGGCGGGCCTTTGGGCGAACGGCCGGTATTATTAGTGCACCTCTTTGGCAAACAGTCAGTGGAATGACAATATTGCCGTATGCCAGGAGTATCGTGACTCCACTACATGATAGTGGCGAATCGGCTAAACCGCTCATATCCACCGTAAAATCTCGGTGGCGTATGGGATACGGCAATAATGTTAGCGGAATTAAGGAAGAAAAGGTCATGATAGGTAGATGGCGTACCATCATTCTGACCGGAGGAACATGAGTACCAAACAGTTGACTGCAGCCCAATGAGATTGGATGTAAATCTGTCACATCACTTGTTCTGCAGCAGTAAGGCTAGCTGCGATAGGCTGTAGGTTGTGGGCTTCCCAGCGTTATTCGTCTGCGTTGCCAGAGGATAAGTGCGCCTTTGTGACTGGTGCGCTAGACATATTCTTGTAGAGTGTTTTACCGGCAATCTAGTTACGATTTAGCTCAAACTCGTGAGCGTCCAATACAGGGAATGAAGATAATAGTCGCCCCCTAAAAGTAGGAAAATACGAAGGAAAACACAGGTTCGGCTGAATTGTCGTCAAAATTCTGTCGAGTCATTGAACGACCCTGCACCGCAAACTATTGGCTGGTCTAGCCTGGACTTCCACGAGATTTAATGTGGCCTATCACCTGCCTAGTAAACCAATGAGATATGAAGATAGATACCCCTCCCCCATGTCCTACTGCTAATCTCACCGCCTGTGTTGAGAGGTTGTGTATGGTCGGATCAGTGAGCATCAATACCACTTTTGGGTCCGGCTCGCCCTGCGTTTTAACCTAGGGTAGTAAGCGCAGCGAAGGTTGGATATCGATGTGTGGCAAGGGGGCAGCCGTTGCTACGCAGAGCACCCAAATGAACGGGATTATTAGTCATGCAAATTCCGGTAAGTTCCTATCCCACTTGATGAAAGTGGTAGCTCTATGACACCATCGTATTGTATCCGCGGATTAGGGGCCTAGATCTCTCACCTGACTCTTACATGTGGATACGTTCTACACGCCGCTCAGGGAAGGGAGAAGGGCCCTTGAAAAAACAGCTCGCGAGCGGGACTAAACGCCCCGGAGCCGGAGGTAAAACTCGACATAGCATTAGGGCTGGATTCAGCTCTCTGACTAGAAAGGCGCTGGAGAGGGACAGGGCACGTTTCAAGTCTGATAAGTAATCATTTAACTGACAAGTTCCTTGCCTATAGCGAGGCTTTCATTAAGTCCCCACTGGCTCCGTCATAACTGCCGCTCTCCCACACATTCGGTGCCGGTGGGATCAGGTCAGCAAGCAAAATTTATTTGAGTCAGAAGAAAACTGGCCCGCTGAAAGACATGACTTGAGGGTCGAAGCTAACTCCTTCGGCAGAACATCCCGAGATTTTGTGGTCGGATAGTGTCTAGAGGTGAGGGTATCATGGGCTTATCCGTCCCATGCATGGGAGCAACGTTCTCCAGGTGTGGGCGAAACCAGCACAGAACGCTCAGAATGGGAAAAGTGGTGTTGTTGGTTGAAGAACTAACTAACTGGCTAGAGGGCTGTGGAGGCTGGCTAAGACCAGTGGTGGCGGCCGTCAGCCCACGTGACGGGCCGGCGAGGCCTGCTACCTACACCCCCTCTCAGACTCCTCAGCGAAAAAGCAATAGAATAATAGGAAATATAGGAAAAGTCCTAAATCTTCTAAATCCGAGGAGTTCTCAACTATTAGAAAACTCGGTTAATTACCGGTTAAACCTAGCTAATAGGAGGCTATGAAATCTTCCGAATCCCGAAGTCTCAATATCAATAGTCCTACAGTCTCAAAATCCCCCTCTCAATCTAATCCCTCCGCCATGCCTAACAAACGAACGAATTCCTTGTGTTTAACCGTAACTAGTAGCTTCGTAAGTCTATCGGCAGCTATATCAACGCCTTTGATAAGTCGGAGTTCGATGCTTTTCGTAGTATAAACCTCCTATATAATCTATTTATATTAGACGTCGATATAGCAGGTTCGTACCTTGTTAAGTAGGTTTATAACGTTATCATAGCCGTTAGTACTATTAGTAAATATAATAGTAGGCATAGTAATAGGTTTGC